AGCCAGGACCAGAACTGGGCCGTCTCTCTATAAGGTGAGGGGAGACCTGGATTATAAATCAACCCAAACTCTTTCCCCTCCCAGAAAGGTTAGATGCAACAAAACAAGTGACTATTTGAAGGATATTGTTGTGACCTAATTGTAGAATTTAATAAATTAGAAAGCCTCTCTCAGAGTACAGACAACGAAAGTATTTATGAGCGTGAATGAACATACATGGGTCTCTGTGTGGAAGCAAGCTGGACAAAGACACCTGGGATGCCAGATGTCAGAGGGATCCAAGGTGGTGTCAGTGTTGTGAGGTAGCCAGGTGGCACTGCAAAGGACTTCAGTAGTGGCTGCTGGATACTAAAGCAGTCTTGGGAAATGCAAAAGGGCCTGTTCTGTGGAGGGCCAGAGGCATGTGACCAGATGTAGATTTTCAGAGTTGAGATATTGGCTTAAACAAGGAAGGAGAGCAGTTCTGGTCTGCACGTCAAACTTGACAAAGATTTGGGAGCCATGGTTACCTCGGCAGAGTAGCCAAGAACATCAGTTGGTCCTAACCCTAAGGTAAAAAAGGCAAACTATCATTTCCCAACTGGCTTCACATCCCAGGCCCAGGCCACCTGGGAACCCCACCTTTAGTGTGGATGTGTGCATTTTCCTGGCTTAAGCCTCACACAGGGGAAGGCTTAGTTTCATTTGAATACCTGTTAGGCATCACTGAGATCTTTTCTTATAGTGCTGTGTTCATAGTACAGTACACTTAGCTAATTACACATTCACACACGTATATACACAGTGGATCATTCCTTTGGTTAGAGTGATTTTGAATCCACTGCCCCTTGTGCAGTGGATTCAAAATTAATGGATTGCAGTGGATTTCCTTTGTGAGGGAGCCAGGTTTTGACCTCTGATCTCAGATAGGCTATATTAAAAGTCACAAAGGCCTGCTGTGAATTGATTTGGGTGAAGTTATCTGGGATGTAGCAACAGAGAGTCACTGAAGGACCTATTAGAAAGAGGCATTTCATTATGTTGAATGCTGGTTTTATTGCAGCTCAGAATAAATGAATATACACACAGAAATCACAGTAACGTGATATATCACATGAACATATCCACAAAGGCCGTGATGAAAGTTTGAACCTACGCACAGGATGTTTCCAGATGCGCCTTATTCAACTGTACCATAACATTGTCAAAAGAATTGCAACCTGGAGTGCTACTGCCCCTCACTAGGATCCCGAACCTTCTCCGAAGCCCAATCGGGGTGTCTCGGCAGTAGCACTACAGGTTGCAATTCTTTTGACCATGTCGTGGTACAGTTGACTAAGGCGCATCTGGGAACATTCCATACATAGGTTCGAACCCTCATCACGGCCCTCGTGGATTTGTTCATTTAATAAATGAATATAATTGAGGATGTAATACTGTAATAGTATTACAGTATTCAGTTAACATACTTGTCAGTTACTTCCTTCTCAGGCATTTATTTTAGGCAATAAATTATTTACTTAAGCAGTGTTAATAATACTGTGGTATACATGTCTGGTTGCAGGAAGTATTAAGGTGGCCAGTGATGGTAATGAATCGGATGAACAGTGTGTCCTGAAACTTGTTGGGAATGAAGGTGTAGGGTGTGATGGTGGCAACAGCGATGAAGGTGGCAGTGGAGGACAGGTGGTTTTCAGCGAGGAACTACCAGATGGTCTGGAATCATATGTCACACTCACTGGCACCATCAAGCGGGGCAAGAAGAAAGGACATAGTATTGATGTCAAGGTGTGTTGTTTTCTAATTGATTACTTTTTGTTCCTAAATACTGTACTCAAAGTTAAGAACTATTTAACCTAACCTAACCCAAACCTCAAGCATGACAAGTAGTGAAACAAGGCATGTTTTAAGTGCAATCTAAAATTTCTTCATCTACAATCCATTATATAACTACCAGAATAATCTAACTACCTACTTGCCTGTTTACCTATTGTTGGTTCTGGGGATCAATGTCCCCAAAGCCTGGGCATTTTTCTGCTGCTCCACCTCTTCCAGCAAATCAGCCTGGTAGTGTACTTTGCTGGTTTGAACTTCTCCTCTGCTCTTCGGACTGAAGTTTCTGATGCATGTCTGTTGCCATTTGGCGAGCGGGTGGCTGATTTTTTTGGTGTCCTGCCTGTATGTGTTTCCTCGTGGCAGCAATATGAGATTGCTTGGCACTCATTTTGCCACTCTTTTTTTTTTTTTCTCTTTGTCATCTTTCTTCAGTTTTGGTGAGGTCTATCCTCTCCTTTTTGTCTGGGTTGTTTTATTTATCAGCATCTCGTGCTTAATACTACTGTTATCTTTTATCACTTGATATTACCATATCTGCAGTTGCTTGCATTCAGTGTCAACACTTCCATGGCACTGATTTCCAAGTTGTCCTGTCCATTTTTTTTCATCTCCAGCCTGCACGTGCTCCTTCTGAACCGTTCTAGTCTCTTGACTGACTTTGTTTTCTCTCCTTGCCTCAGTTTACAGTTTCCCCATCAGCTCATGATATATTTCTTAAGGTTGTCTCTCTTGGTGGCTGTTGCCTCTGGCTGTATGATTGAGGAGCTTCAGACTCTTCTCTGGAGGTAGGGATTCTGTTTCTTTCACACTGGTGGGTAATTTGTCCATTGGCATTCTTCTCCTTCCTTTCTGGTGAATGAGTCAGAGGGCATCTGTAGGGGTCCTTTGGTGATTAATGCTTGGTTGGTTCAGCTGCGGGTACATTATTTGTAGTGTCTGTTGGTGACTTTTCACCGCTACCTGTAGGCTACCGGTACTGTCCCACTGGACACCTTGTTGGTTAACAAAAAGTTAACAACAGGGGATGCTGTTTCCTCTGTCCCCCGTTTCAAGGCTCGTATTTCTTAGGTTGTCGGCAGTGTCAAGAAGTCTGGTCAACCTGCGGTCTACTCTTAGACTCATGATATTAGCAGATGTGCTGCTTTGGCCAAGATCCTCTCCAACACGTCCTGGGCTGATGTTGAGGCTTGGAGGTTTTGCCATTCTAACATGGTTCTCATGGCCCGGTGTTTGTTCAGTGTTTCTTGTCCCAGTTGGTTGTGTGTTGCTTTGGGCCATGCCTCGCAGCCTGGTTTCTTTTTTTATGTCCTTGTGCCTCTTCTTCTGCCTAGTAAGTTAAGTTTTATTCTCTGCGGGTTAGTTACTTTCAGGGAGCCATTAGGGGGTGGGTTCCCATCAAAACCCAGCATTAAATGTAATGAAATTCCACTTTCTTTAGGAGCCCCAGTGGCTGCCTTATTTCTCCCCCCACGCCATTCAAGTTTGTTAGTTCATCGTTGGGCTTTTCATCCATTTCAGAACTGACTAGGGAAGCCTGCTGAGGGTTGGGGCTGAGCCACCTTGTGGTTGTAATCAGTACTAATGAGTTTCGAGCTAGTTTGAGTGGTTTTGAGCTAGTTTTGAGTAGTCAACGCTGGCTTTATCACAGTCATCTTGGCAAGTTTGATTATAATCACTTTATCTGTTTGACATTCTCATGCATCACTCCATCAGTCTTCCTGCTAAACTCCCATACTTTTTCCCCTAAAACAATTATAATGGAAAATCAGCATGAAATATGGCAGTACTTGTTCACAATAGAAAAGAATAAAAAAAGGTCATGAACTCCCTGCTCTCAAGCATAGTTCATAGATGCTTTCAATATTTTAAATGGTTTTCATTTTCATTGAGATGTTGGAATTTTTATTAAATATCTTAGAATGCCAGATTCTCTAGGTTATTTTCTTTTGTGTATATTTGGTACTGTACTGTATGGTACTTGAATTAATGAAAAAAATTGTATGTATGTTGTCTCCATTAAAATAAGCTTGTACTGTATGTTTACACAAGAGTATATATGTTTTGGGGTGAATATTGACTTAATTCAATCCTCTTCTAAATAGGTAAACCTCTCCAGAGAAGAACTGGATGATCTGGAAGCATCAATCACACAGACATTGGGGCCTGATAAGCCTAAGCCCAGATGCTCGATGCGTTATGGACCACATATCACTTTATTCTCCCTCATCTGCTTCCCATTTGTCTTCCTGGTGTCTGGAGCGTATTCTTTCTACCTCGGCACCCTCACATGGTATAGGTATGGTATCCTTGCAATGTTTTGTTACATGCTATTTATGTTATGCCATGTATTTTTGGGCTGGCTTTTTAGTACATTACATTACAAGAGTTATTACATTCTTGTACAACCACTAGCATGCATAGCGTTTTGGGCAACTCCTTAATCCTATCTAATATTCTCCGGAATACGACCCGCCAAATCGTTTAACAACCGGGTACCTATTTTACTGTTGAGTAAACAGAGCCTACAGTTAAGGAGTGATGCTCAGTAAATTCTCCCTGGCCAGGATATGAACCCAGGACAAAGTGCTCGTGAAACTCCAGGCGAACATCTTGCCACTACGTCACAGGGACTGCGTGACTTTCTGGTGCATTAGGCTCTGGTTCCACAAAGACTCCTATAACATTACCAGGCCTACTGGTCACCAGGATCAGAATCTAGTGTTCTCATAGAAGTGAGGGGATGTATATGGGGATCAGAGATTAGTCCAAAACTGAGAAACCCCTCCTTTCTTTTCCTTGGATTGGTTTGGTTTTTGTGAAATGTTAAATTGCTTTTGTGAAATTAAAAAAACCAAACCAATGGTTTTTGTGAAGTGAAAACCAAGATTTCAAGATTTGTTCCTGGCCCTCAGCTTTTTGTGAGGTCCCACATTTGGCCTTTGCCCTACAGTGCTGGTATTTGGCTTCTGCAAATTTTGCTATATCTGTTCGCCTTGGTGTTTATAATCAAGGAGTTTTTTGGGCTGTGGGGATCTCGGAGGCTGTGGCACCCTTGTGCACATAGGCCTCACTTTTCCAGGTGTGGTTGTCCCGGCTGCCACGGGGGTCCTTGCTCTTATGTACTGTACTCTCTGGATTTCATTTTATTTTTTTTTTTCAAATTCCGATTCCAAGCTTTTTTTTTGCTGCGTGGGGCCTTCTTCAGTTCTCTTCTGCGTGGGTTCTCTTCAGGGTTTTGATATCAGTCTCAGTGTTTTCCATTGTTCTAAAGGCCCTCCTGGGTTCCATATTGTTACTAGTTACATATTAGTGTTCCCTATTGATATTAGTCTTTTTGGGAGGGAGCTGGTGTCTATTGTGTTTGGTGCCCCATTTTCTTTTCCTTTGTTCTCTTGGTTTTGGTTCCTGTAGTGGGATGAACACTTCTAACTCTCCCTTTCTTTTGGCAGGGATGGGTTTTTAGTCTTTTGAGGTAATGAGTTGGGAGACCCCTGAATTTGACCCATCTAATTTTGGCCTTGTTTTAATTAAGCTTGAGAACTTATTATCCTGGGAGGCTAGTTTGTTCTTACCTCCCTGTCTATTTCTGAAACCTCCTGTGCCCCCCTACCCTTGGAAGTCATTTTGGGTCCTTGGAGTTTACAGGGGCCCTGAGGGTCTAGTGTTCACCTGTCTCTGGAGTTTCATTTTCCTTCCCATATTTTGTTCACAGGCTGCAGTCTCAGTTTCTGGTTTCTGTTGGGTTGTTATTTCTGCTGTGAAGTTTTGTTTTCAGTTTGGAGTTCATGCCTTTGCGGGCAGTTGGTCTCCAGAGTTTCCTGCGGTAACTGTAGATTTATGTAGATTGACAGGAGTTAATTTTGTGAGTGTGGGGGCGTGTGCGAAACATGATTTGCTGTATTTTTCTTTATCGCAAATGTTCGTGTAATTTCTTGACACCAAGAAATAGCTACACCTATTAGGACCATACTCCTGTAGTTCACGAGTTGAAAAATGATTCCCATAGACCAAGTCATGCTTTTTTATTACAGTTCAAAATTGCACTGAACAGGTTAACAATCCACAAACCCCCTGCACTGCACGCCTGTTTCATGTAATAATTTCATGGTGCAGTGGTTAAGGACTTATTAATATTAACTGAAAATTAAAAAAAAAAATGTCAAAATACTGTAATGCCAAACTCAACGATTTTCATTTAAAATAAAAAAGTTAAAAACATTAAAACATTAAAATACTAGTATTGCTAAATTCAAACATTTTTTACACCACCCATTGAGTGCCTTATGTTATAATACACACTGCAGTAGTCAATAGATTATGAGTAAACTACATTGAACTGCACTGTACAATTGAAATAGTTTGAATCTTTATTAAAACCTATGTACTTTACACATGACCTTGTTCATGTGTGAGGATCAAATTCAGTTTGTTATACTAATTACTGTTCCAAGATTTAAGTAAAATAGATATTTTTCTTCTAGCATGTTGACGAGGGTCACAGAAGCTCGTTGTCTCCCAAAGATAACACTACCACCGCTGCTCATTCTTCTCTACCCATTCCTCATTACTGTCTTCACATTTGGATTAGGAATATATGGGGCTCTCGTTCAGGTAAGTCCTGCTTTGTATGTCTTTATGTTCTACTTCTAGACATACAGGTTGATCATTAGATACAAAAGTTCAGTGTCTTGAATTATTTCCCATTTGCTTTAACTTATTGATATAATGTTCTTTTATCTTGTTAGAAATAACACACACGGTTCTAAAAACTAATAAAAAATAACACTACAATGCTTTTCTGGGCAGACCTTTTCCCTCAGTTGCTTCCCTCAGCTTATGGCACTGATACTGCAGGGCCAGATTCAATATATCAGGTTCCTGTGACTGTCTCTGCTGACCAGTGGCAGGCAACATTTCAAATCTGTCTTGCCACTTCTGTCTAGTCAAGTGCTTGTGTATGAGTCTCAAGTGGCAGACTTTGTCAAGTCTGGCACTTGACAAAGGAAAACAAAGGGTTATCTGCCAGCCAGGGATCTCTTAATGCAGCCACAGAGCAGAAGACAGCCCACACACAAAAAGATTTTGGGTCCATCTGAGAAGGATTTGATTCGTTGGTATTCAACCTGCATCTTTTGTCACGGTGACCGTATGAAGTGTCCTGGCACACTCTTTGTCTCTTTCTCACTCTTTATTATGTTTCTTCTTTGTTTCTTTGTTATGTTAACTATTCCTTAGTTTTCCTTTTTGTCCTGGTTGTTTGTGGAACAGCATCTCATGCCTAATACAGTCACTTATTATTACTCTGCTTTGGTAGAGCAACTTTTATTGCCATTTGGCATTGATAGTTCCTCAGTGCCATCTCAAAAGTTGTCTTGAGCTTTCTTTTGCCTCTGACTGGCTCATGCCTTCCCAATTTCTTTGTTCCCCCTCGGTTCACAGTTGCCCCCTTTGGTCCGAGGTATATTTCTTAGAGTTGTTTTTGTTAGCTCTGGTCTCTGGTTGTTGGGTTGGGGAGCTTCATGCTGTTTTTTGGACACGTGGGTTCTGTTCTTTCAGCCATGATGTGTGGTTTCTTCATCTGCAGCCATCTCCTCCTTTAGTGGGAAAGAATGAGATGGTAGACCTCTGAAGGGGGGCATCTTGGTGATTGATGTTTAGTTTGTCCAGGGGTAATTATCTTAGTGTAATAGTAACAGGATGATAGCTACGCTCATGGTGTCCCATCCTCTCAGTACTCTTCTCTGGTTCTTATCCAGTTTGTCCCAGCCTGTTGGTTGGACAACAACATTTGCTGGCTGTGGGTGTGTCAGCCCTGTTTGTTGTGGCTTTTGCCTGTGTGGTGCTTCTTTATTTGCTCTCCCTCAGTCACTGCAGTGTTTTCTTCTGTTCTTCTCTTGGCTTTAGGTTCCTGGTTGTCAACAGGGGTGTTGGCTGTTTGTTTCCTATTGAGTTTCCTGCATTCTCTTTGTGCTTGTGGGGCTTTTGGACAGGATATCCACTGATGTTCCTTAAATTTTCCCAGGCCATAGTCTTCTGCTTTCTTCTTCCATGAATAATTTCTTTACCATTTTTGTCTGTTTTCATTATATTCAGTTCCTTTCAGCAAAGTATTTTTCCCTGTGGCACTGTTGTGTGTTAGCTCTGAGTAACTAGTAAGGAACCGGCACAGAAATAGAACATCGAGTGTAATGAAACAGCATTGTGTGTGTGTGTCCTCCCTCAGTAACTCCCTGTTCCTGTCCTGTTGCCCTTTCTTTCTCATTGGGTTTGGGGGATGATATTGATGGCTTACAAGTGAGGAGAGGGGTTCCCAGGACCTCGGATGACTTGGGTTGCCACATTGTGGTGGCCAGGGTAGTTAGGGCAAGCAAAGGTTGTTTACCCAGTGTTATGGTTTTCCTTGTTCTCTTAATTTTATTTCTTCATAGCAGTGGTTTATTTTGTTTTGCTTATACATTTCTGATTGGTTCTTCTTGGTTGTAGGTTTGATTGACTTGCAGTACATTCGCCTTTTTTTTTTTTTTGTTATCTCTCTCTCTGAAAGAAATAGATTTTGGTCCTAAGTTCCTGGTGTACTGCACGGTCTCAAGATCATGTCACGAATGGGAGGCCCTGTGATGCCAGTGCCATAAACTCCGGGAAGCTACTAAATGGCAGCACAGAAAGTAGTCTTTCATTACACTCAAAAATCCATTTTGTTTCTCATTTTTACAGATATCATTGTCTTATGATTCCTGGTGGGCAGAGGTGAGTGACCCTGAGAAAGGTTTCTATGGGTGGCTGTGTTCTTTGCTGCATGTCGAGGAATGTGCACCATATGAGACTGTTGTGTTAATGACTGAACCTCTTGGCACAAAAATGCAGGACTGCACTGTGTAAGTTGTGTGCAATTACCACATAAAAAGAAACATTGCAGACTACATTGGGAATATACATAGTGTTTATAAGACATCAAACAAATTACCTTCTATTGACACTTGTATTAGTATGTTTATCCATCATCGATATTCCGGAGAATGAGTTTTAAATACAAAAACTACCTGAATTTGAATCTCGCTTATTGACAGAAAATGCTAGAACCTGGGCAGCATTGTACTATTTTGCTTGCATACTTGCAAATATTTCTGTCATTTGAGATTACTGTTCTAGTACCGGTACTGCACACAGTATTTTGAATTAGACCAAAAAAATATTATCATTCAGTTACAGGCATCAGTTTTTTAATGTTCTTTTATGTCTATATAGTACATTGTGCCTGAGAGCTGTCCCAATTGCTCAATCGTTATATGTTACGTGTCGTATCTTTATGTTGTTCCAACTTGCATTCCTTTTTTTGTTGACAGTTTTTTGTTATTTGAACCAAATGTACAGCTCATAGAACTATACTTTGTCATTCCAAGGTTATTGTGATATTTCCAGTGAGTGAAAATAATATCTATACTCTACTGGTATACAGGAAATATATTGTGTTTTAGTTTTTTAAGGCATTTTAATGTTATTTTATTGTTATATAATTTGTGATAGTTTTCAGTTCATCTTAATTATGTTTAACAAAAACACCTTGATACTTGCACATTAAATTATATCGTAAATTTTCTACCGCATTATACTAAATGTGTTAACAGAGAATGGAAATTTATGAATATTGTGCAAGTGTTAACTAGTATATATGTGTACAGCAGTGTGTTAATACCATGCAAGCATTCAGTCTGTTCACCAGATTAATGTTTGTCCTTTTCGTATATGACGTGTGTTTACTTGCACTAAGAGTGTGATGGTCAGTGCTGTCACTTCACAACCACAAGGTCCCAGATTCGATTCCCACCCGAGACGGTGATGTTTGGACACGTTCTTTTCACTTGATTCCTGTGTTCACCTAGCAGTAAATAGGTACCCAGGAGTTAGTCAACTGTTATGGTGTTGCATCCCGGGAGAGTTCAGTCATTGGCTTAGGGATCTCGGTAAGCCTGGCAGGCATCCTGGCCCTGACAGTGGGAAAGTATATCTTAAGTTTACAAACTAAAGCAGGGTGCATTATGCATGCTGAACAAATCTGTTGATTTGTTTATCTATTTAATTATGTAATTTCTATATATAAAGACATTTAGATGGTATGGAAAGCATGAAATTACCTCAGTAGCCAATGACAGTTACAACATTTACAGAAAATAATATAATAGAAGAAAATCAGTACTGAATCTTTAAACATATTAAACACTAATACCAGCAAGAAGTTATATGTTTTGTATATGAGTACAATACAATTCATTGAAAAGAACATGCATCGAAGAGACGGGTATAATCATTGCTTCACTTGTATACTATCGTGGGAGAATGAGCTCGCCTAATGTATTGTGTTTAAATGTAATTTATCTGAAGAATATTGTATGAATAACATTCATATCAGATATTATTGAAATAGAAGTGGAGAAAAGTGAGTATTTAAACCAAGTTAATAAACAGTATTGTATATGAAGAAGGCTAAAGATTATTCCAAATTTGCTGGTATTTCAGAAAAGGGTTACAAGGTAATGATTGATCATGATATTTCATGTAATAACAAAATATGCATTTTTTTTTGTCTCGGAGCACAAATTATGTTGTCAAGGTCACACCAAATTGTGTCTTTAACTAATGAAGCAAGGTATTTAAGTTTCCATGCAACACGGAAATAATCTAAAGAATTTTGTATTTGTATAAGCATTAGAGAATAATACAAATTGTATTGTATTGTATGCGGACAATGAGTCACAATAATGTGGCTGAAGATATAATGACCAAAGCACACACTAGAATACGATGAGACGCCGACGTTTCGGTCCGTCCTGGACCATTATCAAGTCGATTTTGTATGTACAAACATACAATATGTTTATCTCAAATATATTGTATGTTTGAGACAATTTTAAGTTTGGAAGGCTGCCCAGCTTTGTGATGGTGATGCTTGGTGCAGGTATCAAGATGTACATGCAGGTATGTGTGTAATGTTTGAATAGTAACATGTAGAATGTTTGTTCTACCCCCCCCCCCCTCTCCCCCCCTTTCCACACTCATTCCCTCTTTTTCTTCTATAACTTGTTTTGTACCAAAGATTGGAATATGTCTTGGTAATGTTAAGAATATGGATTTGCCTCTTCATTTATGCTATGTTGTAGTCAAATTATCATCATTTGATATGTGCCAATAGTATGTTATTGACCTTTAGTGTCACTCCATCATCCTTTGTTGAGGTTGAATACCTCCTGTTTCAGAGTCCGCCAAAGAATCTTTTTACAGTGCACGTAGCCAAATGCAAGTGCTTTGTGTGCAACTGTATATTTGGCAGCATTTTGCACATGGAGACCTTGAGTGGCAGTGTGACATATTGTTCATACAGGCAGCATGACCTATCCTAGCAACAATATAGATATTCTCATTATGAAAGGTTAATGTGAGATTTGTAATGGCCCTTTTGTTTGTATTAAAGATATCACAGCTTTGCTCTCTAAGAGAAAATGCCTTGAATGTTTTCTGTACATCCAAGCATTCATCTATTTATTTATCTATGTTACCTGAACCATCTTAAAAATATCTTAGTGATGTAATATGAAATAAAAGTTTGGTGTATATGCTCAGCATAAAATACTTTTAGCAAATTTTTATCTTTCATAAATAAAAATAAATAGTCACTTGTGAGACTTGTGTGACATTTCCTTGAAGAAAATGTAATTTCAATCTAGGAATATACAGGGTATGTTAATGAGCTATAGTTGCTACATAATTTACACATGCATGTAAATACTGTACCCATATATTCAAGGGGAAAGTGTGCACTTTAACCTCGCTGACATTGTTTCATTTCCAATTCAGTTGGCTGGAGTAGAGAGCAAAAACAAGAAAATTGTATAACCATCCAAATAATTATTGGCTGTACTGTATAAGGGTTGTCAGTGCCTGATTATTGATAATATACAGCCTGTTCACATGTGGGAATCATCCAGTAAATGTACTTTGACTGTACATTAGCACATGAACCTACACCAACCCATGTGACCTATTGAGGTCAGTGCCTGTTAGTTATGAAAGCATATAATTCTAATGTTTCTATTTCCAGAATATCACTTTCAATTTGCAAATATAGTTGACCTTGGTGTGAGAACAGGTTGAAATACTGGTTGGTTGTAGTGTTCTGAATATTTTTTGTGGGAGATTTATACTTGAGAAACGAAGGTGGAAATGTTAGTGTCCAGGTAGTAAAAATACTGAGGTACAGAGCCTGTTTAGTAAAGATGAGCTCATGGTACAGTGCTACATTCTGAGGCACTGTAGTTGGGTAGTGGATCATGTAGCCCATGAAGTAGATGCACGATCATCATGTTCACAAAATTAACAGCGGTGTATTGTTCTCAGAAATAAAGGTGTCATTGTCGACGGGCAACAGATAAGGCAAGTGTTTAGTTGTTTCTTAATGTATCATTGAGCATTTACAAATGTGTGTAAATGAGACATAATACAAAACTATTTTTATTTCACGAGTTATCTGTACCTCTTTCCTACGCAAAATGGGGGTTAATTAAGTCTTTGTAGTCCCTTTATCCTATTCCTATGCTCACATATCTCCACTGAAATGTATTGGATTTAAAAACAACAAAAAGTCTGATCATTGGAGCATTATACTATAGGCACACCTATACTTGTAACTGAGACCAAAGCCTTCATTTACTCGCCTATTTATTTCGGCAAAATAGTTCCACATAGTAAGGATGCTTTTCTTTATTGCACATTTAAGCTTACCTGAGGGTAGTAAAAACCTAGGTCCTGTATACATTTTACTGATACAGCAGAGGTAATGATGCATTATCTTGGTGTCATGTATAGTTGTGGGATGCAGAGTTGTGTTTTGCCAGTAATGGCTCTCGCAGTGTTGATAATGGTGCTACGTCTTCATTCTTGTAATAACTGCAATTGCTGGTCATATTCAGCATTATTTTCATTAAAAATGCTTGTGTTTTTAGATCTTTGTGTGCATGTGTGTGTGTGTGTGTTGATCTTTTTGTGTAAAAAAAAATTAAACATAATCTGAAGATAATGTTTTAAACTTTGTAATTTTCTGATAAGAAAATGTGTGTTTCTTGTAACATTGTCACTGTGTGATGTAGGTGAAGTGTAACATACTTGGGTGCTTCCTGTGGCTTCCAGAACCACTCCTGCAGTGGCTACTCAGGGCTGCTTGGGCACGAGTTGTCTTAACCTGCACTATGGTAGCTGTGCTCCTATCTTCTGGCTGCCTTGGCCACGCAAGCTAGGTCATTTGGGGGAGATCATTTTAGTATTAAATTAGATTGTACTCGTCTCTGAATCTTTTGATACTATCCAGACTGCCACATTGTGTAGGAGCTTATATAGGTATGATAGTCACTCATAGCCTCGGATATTGTACATTTTATATGATCAAAATCTAGTTACGTGTTCTTCCTCGGTTTACTAAACTTTAGCTTTTGTATGGATACTCAAGTTGATCTGGAGGAGGGGCACCACCTCGTCCTTGTTGACCTGGAGGAGGGGCACCACCTTGTCCTTGTTGACCTGGAGGAGGGGCACCACCTCGTCCTTGTTGACCTGGAGGAGGGGCACCACCTTGTCCTTGTTGACCTGGAGGAGGGGCACCACCTTGTCCTTGTTGACCTGGAGGAGGGGCACCACCTCGTCCTTGTTGACCTGGAGGAGGGGCACCACCTTGTCCTTGTTGACCTGGAGGAGGGGCACCACCTTGTCCTTGTTGACCTGGAGGAGGGGCACCACCTCGTCCTTGTTGACCTGGAGGAGGGGCACCACCTTGTCCTTGTTGACCTGGAGGAGGGGCACCACCTTGTCCTTGTTGACCTGGAGGAGGGGCACCACCTCGTCCTTGTTGACCTGGAGGAGGGGCACCACCTTGTCCTTGTTGACCTGGAGGAGGGGCACCACCTTGTCCTTGTTGACCTGGAGGAGGGGCACCACCTCGTCCTTGTTGACCTGGAGGAGGGGCACCACCTCGTCCTTGTTGACCTGGAGGAGGGGCACCACCTCGTCCTTGTTGACCTGGAGGAGGGGCACCACCTCGTCCTTGTTGACCTGGAGGAGGGGCACCACCTTGTCCTTGTTGACCTGGAGGAGGGGCACCACCTTGTCCTTGTTGACCTGGAGGAGGGGCACCACCTTGTCCTTGTTGACCTGGAGGAGGGGCACCACCTCGTCCTTGTTGACCTGGAGGAGGGGCACCACCTTGTCCTTGTTGACCTGGAGGAGGGGCACCACCTTGTCCTATTGTTAGAATTTCTAGGCAGTTTTTAAGAGTTGGCTCAACTTTAACATTCATGCACTTAAATATGGCACTTGCAGTGAATATGGTTAAGATATAAAGTCTTTTAAGTTTGAGTGAGATTTGACAACACTTTACGGAAATATTTCTGAGAAACATTAATGCAAAATAAGACATTGTGGTGTTAGGCATTCATGTGGTATGTGACTTTCCAGTTATTTGGCCTTTGGTTTAACACTTACAATACCAAACCATTTTTATTAGTTTTTATTCCTTTTTACTCTAGTGTGCTTCAAAAATATATTTGTTATAGTGAACCTCTTAAATTTTGTATATATACATTGTATATGTTTTAATTATTTTATCTTGTAAATAAATCTTATGAAGCAAAGTGATGCTGAGACTATTGCTAGTGATCAACTGAAAAACCTTGATCCCTCAAAATGTATAGGTGTATGTATGGATGTGGGGATATGTGTGAATGTGGGGATATATATTGGCGAGTGTGTGTAAAATTACCGGTACCTTAGTGTAGTTACAGGATGAGAGCTACGCTCATGGTGTCAGTCTTCCTAGTACTGTACTGTTTGTCGTATACCGCTTTGAAACTACTGATGGTTTTGGCCTCCACCACCACCTCACTTGTTCCAACTGTCTTCCATTCTGTTTGCAAAAGAAAACTTCCTAATAATTGTTTGGCACCCTTGTTTCCTTAGCTTAAATCTGTGACCTCTTGTTCTTGAAGTTGCTGGTTTCAGGAATTCCTCTGTCAGTTTGGTTGATTCCTCATATTATTTTGTAAGTGATGAATATATCACCTCTTTTTTTTCTTCTTCTATCATCTAGCTTTGGCACATTTAATGCCTTTACACTCTCTTTGTAACTTTTTTTCAGTTCCAGAATACATTTTGTAGCATGCGTTTGCACCTTTTTCCAGTTTATTGATGCATATATAGATATGGGCACATATCTCAATGAGCACATAAAAAAATTGACCAGATACAGTACTTTGAAATCTCAAGGAATATTGAATGCCGCTAAGAATTGCACAATTTTTCTTTGCTGTAGCATTCCACAATGCAAATGTAGAGCAAGTTTTCTTTTTGCTGATGCAAAGTCAATGGACTAAGAAAAGGAACAAGCTGAGTGCAAGTCCAATAAGCATTACTGAAAAAATCAGATCTATAGAAAAATATGCATGGGAACTTCAAGTCATAGATAGAGTGGGAGAAGAAGATTGTAAATATAAGGAGTTCAAGATGATCAACCTTATGTAAAGGTAATTTTGTTTCCTATTTTCTTTCCTGTTTTGAAATAATTCTGTACTATGCTTCTTTTCCATTTTAATGGTAATTATATTAAAAAAAAGTAAAGCTTGTGGTACAGTGAAGCAATATACATATGTATGTAAAGAAGGCAAAAGTGCCATAGTGTATGTTGGGTGGGGGCACGGAAGGTTGTGGTGACTGTTAGTGGAGGTGTTCGAGATTCTAAATGTGCACATATGGCAACCCTAACCAAGGGAACTCGCCAAAACAAAGCATTTTATTACATTCAATACTGGAATTTTTTTTTAATATAGATTTTGGACTGATGTCTGATCCCCCTAGGTTCCGTGCCTCAGAGAGAGAGCCAGATTCTGGTCCTGGCTCCCAGTAAGCTTGCATGGGTCTCAGACCTGGTGCAGTTTTCTAGGGCTTTGATAGTCTCGGTTCTATACGTTCCATTCACCTGGGCTCTAGAAGACTCGAACTGTGGACACCTTGCATATGAAGCCGAAGCTCTATAGACCGAGCTATTGAGGAGCCTTAATAAGGAAAGTTCTATAACTTGGGGAGTTACTGAATGATGCACCAGAAAAGGGCATTTCATTAGCTGAATTCTTGATATTTTTTGTTCTGGTTTTTGCACAACTCTGAACTCTAGCTCATGTGTGAATGAATGTGTTTGAGAAACTACCTAAATAAAATAACAAAATTTATCAGTAATATACAAGCACAGCTCACTAAATGTAGATTTCTGTTACCAAATGATCTTCATACAATTGAATTAAATTTCCTTGACAGGTGTCAGAGATGTTTATGGATAAAACCATCATCATCATTATACAACAACCTAGTGAATATCTGTTGGTTTCTTCCTAGACACTGATGATGGAAACATTTACCGTAATGTGTTATTGTTTTGATGTTGGTCATTGTGTTATGCTGTTGTCACATCAAGCAAGTCACAATTCTGGAGTTGTTTGACTTAATTTGCTTTAAGACAATTTTTTCAGGGCAGTTGAAAGCACAAAGTCCAGGAATCCATGTCTTCAACACTACTGTATTGGGTAATTTGTCTTGTTCATTTTAATGGTCATATATGCAGTTTTACAAAAAAAAAAAAAATTATTTGCAGGTGCCATTTGCGAATTAAATGCTTATAATGTACATACCTCCTATTTCAAAATAATACGTAAATTATACATTGATGAAGATGGTAGTGTGTTTAACTTGATGAACATGTTAGTTCAAACTGTATAAAATTTTACCGTTATAAAATAACAATTTCAAGATTTTTGTTCTTTAAAGTATGTATAGAACAAATTTATATTTGAAGTTCACAAGTTTTGAAGTACGATAAGGCTTTAGGTCAGATTTTGACATGCGATTTCATTTGGTATGTTGGCGTCAGACTTCACCAGTTAAATGCATTTCAAGTGGCTAGAAATTCCATGTTTGTATTATCCGTAAGTCTTCAATACTATACACGTAATGATAGTATATACAGTAGATATTTGTTACTGTTCACCAACAAATGGGAGCAAAGTAGATCTTCCAGGAAAAAATATCAACTTCACATAAGCTAGTCAATTTAACTTAGAAGTTTTGTATAAAGTTTCCAAGAGCATTTTGCTTGAATACATAACTGATATATTCAGTGTATCCCAGTCACCTGATATTTTAAAATGGTAGATATCTTTGTGGCTAAATTCTATTTTTATCATGGTTGCATTTTTGCAACACAGTTTTTCACACAAAAAATTTCAGACTAAATAATGTATTAAGATTCATTATTTTAGAGAAAACTTAAAGCAAGTTTTCTCATGGCTGGTGCAATAGAATTAAAAGGAATATAAGCTATAACTATGTGAGAAAACCAATAAACGAGCTAAGCCTTGAAGTTTGGTATTTTGTGATGTCATTAATATGTGTTTAGATTGTGTTGATATGTACATGTACAGTATATATGTATACATGCACCAGTTAAGCTTCATGTGTCACCATTCTGTAGGTACTGTATATACAAGTGCATCTTATTTATCCAAATTTAAATATTAATAACACATTTACAAGGGTGGGCTGTTCCTTGAAGAATCAACTGTCCTGGTTCCAATCCTTGCCTCAAAATGGGGTCAAAATTTGAGTAAATTCAAGTTAAATTCCAAATAATGCAAAATTTGTATAACAAGGAAAAAGTATAAGTTGAATGCTTCAGTTTCCCTTCAAGAAGACTAGCATTAAGAAATGGCTGTCATTGAGCCTTGATGTCTTCACCTTGAAGACATCTTTTCTCAAAGAGAAGAACCTTTCCATGGTGGCTCTGGAGATAGGTGTATTGAACATGAAGAAATCTTTCAGCATCGGTTTGGGGTACAAGTCCTTGTTGATAATGAAGGGTTCCCTTTTACAAGCCTCTCTGAGGAATACTTCCAACTTCAAAACAAAAGTACTGAGGATCGTCAGACTGGGTTTGAAATCCGATCGTCTATGGATAACATTAAAAAATGTAAAAGAAATGGAAAAAGTATGTAAAAAATTCAAGTTTATAAAATTCTTGACAGACTTGAAATATTTTATCTCTGCTAGTTACATTCAATATAAGATTTGGTCTTCTAATATATGTAAAATGTTGTATGTCTAGTATCCGAGAATTTTGTTTTTATTACTGTATTTCTTTCCGTAAATTTGAAAATCTGAAACTTTAAATATTTGAAAATAAAAAGTTTAGCAAAGCCAGCTGTACTGTAGAGCTACATACATAAACCTTGGAATTTTCAGATGTAAAATCTTGCTTTTGAGTAAAATAAAATCAAAGAATCCACCATCAGTAGATAAGGTAGGTGTTGCTCGATTTCCTTCATACTATATATACAAGACTCTTGGTGGGGCTGCATCCTCGAATGTAGGGAAGCTTTCTGACAAATTACCTGTCAAATAGTGAAGAACAAAAGGAGAAAAAAAATACATTGCATTGTTGGTCTCTTTGTGGAGATTTTTTCTGAGAAGCTCCATTTGCGAGAGAGTGGTTATTTCTCGGTCAAATGTGCACACCCATAGTGGCAGAATGGCTGTGTACCAAGTACAATTATTGTTGTCCGAGTTTGAGTACTACCCGCCAAACACGCTGAAACTGCGATGTTGGTACAACATTCGAACAAGTTTTAACACCTAACCAGTTATAACAACCAATATAGCAAGTTGTAACAACATTCTAATACGTCATAAACACTTTAAGCCAAGATGTAACAACTTTATTAAAAGTTGTAACAAGCGGAAAATAGAGACAGTTTCAGTTTGTGTTTCCAGGGTATCATGTTGAGTGTCCCTGAATAGACCATTGCATTTGCAGTGCAAATAAAGTAAGTAATAAATCATATGATGGGGAAGCTTTATTAATTTTATGTATAGCTTGGGTGATCGATGTCATTTTGGATGAGGTAACGTGGCACAGGTGACCAGGCAGGTCACTGACCTCACTTACCTGGGCAGTGATGTCACATAAACCTAGGGAAGGATCAATCAGATGATAGGCCAATGGAAGAAGTATATCTCAAAGTGAACAAGCGTGCTTGGGCCATGTGTTGGATAGCCAATTCATTCACTTTTCAGGTGTCTTTGTTAAACATGTGTGTCCTCACCAACCTAAGACTTGGTGGCAAGCAGTACTAAGTACATTGAGTTGGGGCAATAGCAAGGGTAGCTGTGGTATTGTTGATGCACATGTGAATGCCTTTTGCAGAGCTGAGAACATTCAAAGTTACATTAAATTTGTGGTAGTGGCAGCATTAACTTCTTCAGTAATTTTCCTGGTGCTGTGGTACCAAGAGTGCAAGCAATTGAGACGAGATTATTGCAGTGTTGAAGCTATCTGCAGTCACAGCGATGAAGGGTATAATTGGGAGTGTGCGCGCGCGCACGTTGGTGTGAACATAAGAACGTACAATTTCATTGTGTAACATTTATCTCGCATTCATGGTGACCCATATGATGGCCCAGTTCAATACAATTGCAAGTACCTGCAATAAGTATGCAGTGTATCTGTAGAGACTGGAGGTTGCTCCGAATTCAAGGTTGATGAGCCCAGCTTGAGTGATGACCAGGATGCAACCATCTTAAATTGTGTGCTGAAACTATTTTCTTAGTTATGAGAAGATTGATATTTTTACAATAAGACAATGTGATACAGTGTAGGGTGCCATGAAACAAAGCTCTGCCACTTATTAAAATCTTCATGCTTTCAAATGTAAGAGTAACAAAATTGTTTGTGATAACAGGTGAATGTTAATTAAGTCATGTTTCAGTCATAAAAAATACTGTATATAGACAAAAACAAAATCATGTATACATATACCACTTATAAAATACTGTATTGACATTTGATAGTGAAAAAGTATCGTCATTTTAGTGAGAAAATCCACTGAGGCTTTCTTATCGATGTATATCACATTAGTGTAATTTTCTGTGTATCATAATTTTAATAAAACAATACTCTTGCTTTATGAATATTGTATACAATAATGTTTTTTTATTTGTTGCCACTGTATTTTACTGACCATGCAGTATTATTTGGGAAATACAGTAATGTATGTATAAAGCTAATGAAGGCCAGTGAAGTGTAACAACAAACAACTTGGTCTTCACCAAATTGAATGAAATCATATTTGGTATTTTATTATTAAATGAAAATGGTCTGTGTACTATATGACTTATTCCTCCTTTATTGGAGTACTTGACATGTATGCATCTATTAACTATAAATTGATCATGAGACTCTCAAGGTAAGCTAACTTTAGCCAGATAGCTAGTGATAAGTTATGTATCCGGGTATTGTGCATGCATTGGCTGTTGAACATAGGAGAATACTGTAGTCTTAATTAAACAGGAACAGTAGGTGATATCTTTTGATACTAGTCATAGTGACCAGTCACACTATTGGCTCAACTCTTCAACTCTCGTGTAATTATTGAGGTACTAGACACTATAGTAAATACTGGTTTTAGAAATTACAAGTTCATTTTAATGTAAAAATTGGCAAAATATGGTGCACTTAAATGCATTATTTACACGGTGCTCTATCCTGTTTTATAGCTGTATTTACTGTATAATATGTCGAGCCCAGACTTATCAGAGAGTCAAGCCATGTGTAACTGCATATATATTCATAATAATTAATTAATAATTACTATATACATAATGTGTTCCTCATTGTATGCTTGAACCACATTTGCTGATACACTGCAGGTAGACAACAAGAAACTTGCACTTTGAGTGTACAGGCGGCCACAGTTTGCACGGTATTGCATTATGACGATTTAGTTATGTGGGTAAGAAATTTTATGCAAAATTTTGATTAGTAAAGTTTACTTGATGGGTTTAGCTGGGTATTGGCATAGCTATAGCAGCTGCACTAACATGATGGGCAGAGTGCAATATGTGCCATGATTCTCTTTATGGCAGTGCACATGAGCTCTTCCAAATGTCATTTGAACCTTGTCACATCACATTTATTGTTTTATAGGCTTTCTGGCTTACATTCTTCCATCACAGTGCCTACCAAACATGTAGCAACTCTTGCAGCACTGGAATGTAAGGTAATGCTGATGCTGCAAAAGAAACTTGAAATATTGCACAGGTTGGAAAAATGGAGAATCTATTACATCCCTTGGCTACCATTGCAAGGTCAATGAGTCTAGCATTTGTACCATTAAGAAGAATGCATAACATCTGCCTGTTCAGGGCTTGGTTGAGCCAACAGATGAAGTAGGATAACAGCAACAAGATGATGATGCCTTTAGAAACCCAGGTCAAGACTGCATCACATTACTAAATTATTTTTTAGAAATGAAAAGTACAAATGATACTGTAACAAAAAATGTTCTCGAACTATCAGTGCAGTTTAAAAAATGGCAGGACTTTTGAGAATAATATCGCTTCTTAGTATGGAGAAGCAAATGTTAACAAGGTAAAACAACAGAATTATTCGAAGCCCTTCATATCACCTGTAGCTACATCACCACCTCAAATCATATCAACAGCAGTTGCCTCACCAACACCTGTGGTTGGCACATGAAGTTGATTAGAAAATCTTGCAAGCTTGATGTGAGTGAAACTCCCTTAGTAGGTGGCTGCATCGGATGACCCTCCTGATTATCTGTTGTTGATTTCGAGGATCAACGTCCCAGCAGCCCGGTCTCTGACCAGGTCTCCTGGCTGGTGGTCTAATCGACCAGGTTGTTTGATGCAACTGCTAGCAGCCTGACAAATTCTCAGCAAGTAAGTTGGGTTCTGGCTAATCTTCATTCCCAATTTATTAACTTTTTCAGTTATATTTTATATCATTGCACATCCAAGCATACTGAACCCTATTATGTGCTGATATGACTGGAAAGTACAGGGAACATTAAATATTAATGTTAAAATTGGCATTTTGAAGGTTTGGCACCTAACCAAATTTTCCTCGTTCCGGTATACCTTTGTTTGATTTAAAAATAATTTGTAGGAGCATAACTGCCGTGCAGATGAAGGGCCGCCTGTACTTAAACCAGAGTTGTTGATACACTGCCGGTATACAGTACATCCAGCTGCCACTTTGTTGTACAGTACAGTATTTAACTTTATCATGTTCTCCTTAATAGCAACAAATACTTCATTATTTAATGCATTCTCTCATTTTTGTTTTGCCTGTCAAAAGCAGTTGTATAACCATGTCTTCTGGCTTGTAGAATATCTTTTATTGCAAAAGTATTTAGTATGTCAAGTTTTAAGATTTGTGTAATGATTAAGAATACATGTACTCTTTTTATATTCTGTCCTTTTGTACTACTTTTTATGATAAAGAAATTATAATTAAATGTTTGAACTTTTTTGTTTTACCATAAAATATTTAAATTACAGTACTGTATATACAAAACTTTATCCGTCAATGCTAACAAATTTCAAGTATTTCTCAAGAGGTGAAGTATTAATTGGCAAATTGTGAATCATGTTGTAACTTTTTAAAAGTACATAAGGTCTTAAATATGTACTAGAAATTCAAAACAAAACTGTCAGCATTAAAATCTATTCAAGTGACCCAGAGGTGCAGGTAAAGCAGCTTACAAAATGCTCCTGTTGTACTTTGTATGTGACTGTACAAAATACAGTTTAAGTAAATGTCCCAACCCACACACAGGAAGACAGATGAATGTAACAAGGTTTCATTCTATCCTGGACCCCTCATTAAAGCACAACTGACAATGGTTTTGAAGACTCCTGCTAGCAATCTCGTGTGGGGGATAATTGGCACATGAACAGACAAGCAGGTGTTAAGATTTAAGTCAAAATATAAATAAAAAACAGAGTTTCAGGTATGAACAGAAATGTACTAAATGGTACAAACTGAAAGAATAATTTATATAAAAACAAGAGTTCCCACCTCTAGTTGTCACTGGCATTGCCCACACCTTTTTTCCCCACAAGAGTTTAGGGCTCACTCCTTGGGGTTTTCACTTTTCAAGGAGCCTCGCACCGAGTAGTGTATGGGGCTTCGGCTCCTCTATGGGGTCCAAAGTGGACCCCACAGAGGGTATTGCTTAGAGATAGCTTACACCTACCTTTGCTGCATTATCCAGGTTGGTGTAAGTTGGGTGGGGGGACACCTGTCGGTCTTCTCAGGCATCTGGTAGAGAACTTAGTTCTCTTACCAGGGGTCTTTGGTATAAGTTGGTGGGGCCTCGATGGTTGTGGGTGGGTCTGTGGATTCCCACAGACCCACATATAATATATAATGAGAATATATATTTCCATATAATAAGATGAGAAGCATGGACCCCGGGGCTTTTAGATACTGTACCACCTTACTAGGCAGCAAGTGGGGCTGAATTTGAGTTAACACAGAAAGACGTACCTTGCCCCAAGCAGTCCACCCATTTTTAACACTAGACTAACAGTTAACCCAAGTTGCAAAGATCTTCCCCACCAGACACCCAATCCATCCACACTAGGAAATCCTTCCAATGGATGTGCCAATGACCCAAATGGTTATATTAAAATTGTAGGCATGCTTGGAGAGATGCAGAAGTCACCCTCAATGGCCAGAAATTACCCCCTCGTCATGTAAAGATGGTATCTATGATAATCCTTTCACCTGTATGACTATTCTACCTCTAATATACAAATACATGAGCATTCTAGTGCATTACAAAATCAATGTAATAACCTGCAGTGTAAAAGAAGAAAAACAAGAAAATGACAAACGGTTTTTAAATTGATCTCCTTCGTTTATTTGGGTGATAATTTTGCCATCGTCATATTCACATAATACATTCACCCTAAGGACAGAAGAGAGCAGATAATGACACTCTGCATTAGCAATCAAGCCCTCTGAGAGACTCCATGACAATACATTGCTTGCTTGCAATTCATTCTCAAAGAGCTCTGAGTAGAATCACAGGTAACATGTCGACAGAGAATCAGCTGATTTCCTTTGTATACCAAATAGCATTGCTTTTTAATAATTGAAAATTCACCTTTAACAAGAAGTTTGGGGATTAAAAAGAAAAGACATAAATCCCTCGCTTACTAAGAAATTAGTATACTGTGACCACAGTTTTTAGCATCTGACGATTTCTAAAAAAAAAAAATATATATATATATAAATTACATTACAATTGATTATTTAAAAAATGCTGTCAAGTATCAGTATTGAGGTAAACCTGATGGTCATCAACTGAATACACTAGCCATGTCTGACCTGATTCTAAGATACCATGACCCTGGTGGGGTCATATGTGGGGAGTCTTGAGGTTACATGGTCTCTCGCATCAACACAGGCGGGGAAATTTAAACTCGCATAGATGGTGAATCTACCCCAATATCTACATTAGAAAAACAAATAAAATAAAATAAAATTATTTGAAAATTCTTGATATAATGGACAGCAATATTACAATATGGCATAAGCTCTATATGTTTATGAAACTGATCTGCCCATTGTAGGGGGAGAGACCACATATTCAGTTAACATTACATACCCCAGGGTTGACTGTTTCCCAAGATATGATTCATCCCAGTCTACTCTTGGATGTGTAACACATTGGCCTACAAGAACACACATCTTTGCTATACATACTTCATTTGAGGCACATGAACAGGCTAAACAAGGCAAGTAAAGCTCATATATGCTTAAGTGAATCACAGTTTGAAGTTCAGTTATTATAGTCTTCGAGGTGACTATAATACTGTATATTGGATGGTGAATGAGGCCATTCCAAAAATGTCTTGGAATAACACCAAAATGTTTTGTTGTACTTCCTCAGTGAGGTTAAATACCAAGCTTAGCCTGAAATCCTGTAGCACCGAGAGAGAGAACAAAATTGGCAACTTGGCCCTTGGACATACAATTGGAAAATATTAAGGAATATGTTCTTGCAAAACCCATGGAAAGACATCCCCACTGTGTGTATATGTATATGTGTGTTTTTTTTAAGTGCTTGGGAAGATGAACAGTGGTTTTATGCAAATGCTCGCAATGTCAGGACTATTGAATCTTTGCCAAATTATTTTGAGTTTAGTTTTTAAATTTTTTTTTAACAAAAGCATTGTTTAAAGTTACTGTGTAAAGAAATACATAAGACAGAAATGCTTTTGAGAGCTAAATGCAATAAGTTGTTCCACATATCATTAACCAGTAAAAATTATCAATAAGAACTGCTATACAAATATTGTTACCAAACATCTAAGTAATATTCAATGATTTAATATATCAAGTTTGGCAGCTGAACATGCTTAACTTTGTCACATGTAAACACACCCTAAGCTGTGTTAAGGGATCTGACACTCGAGCAATGCCTAGTCACTGAACGTAGCCAGCACGAAGGCTTTCCATATGTCCCATAATAATTCATATACAGCTAATCCTTGTTAAAGCTATGAAATCAGTTCCCAAATATTCCATTATATAGATATCTGAATGAAACCAATCTTTACCAGAGACAGCCAGCATGGCAAATCTTTGTAAGGTCAACTGAGCTTCCCCAAAAGTCCCAACAGTGACTAGGGTATTTAAGCAGTTTCACTAATCTTGAATAAGGTCCACATAACAAATGTTTGACCGATGTTGAGAATCACTGAAACTAATGAATTACCCTACTACTTAGTATTTGATGAGCTTGTGACATGAAGCCTTTCACAAATTAATCCAGGACATATGGTATAAGAGGTACTGCCATTGACAGACAATGTACCACTGGAATACTGAGCTGTCACTCATCACCAGCATTTCTTTTGTGGTCTTTGGAATTGTGAAATTATACAAAAATTACCCTAAATTTAGTAATCTGGTAATACCTCTTTTTTTCTGGTAAAAAATACTTCTGATACAAAGAAAAGGTTGAGACGCTGGAAAGCCCTGCAAAAAACTTTAGCAATACCATTACAACCTAACGTAGGGTAATAAGTTTTCATTATCTATGACATTTTCAGCAATACAAGCTTTATATATATAAATGTAAGACACAGCCATGGGGGTGCAATATGAGCATTTCCAACCTTTTCTTGTCTCAAGGCAGGAGAGGAGGGGAAAGTGGCTCCTGGCACACACTAGGGCACTTTTACCATCATCCGCACTTCATTGCTTTCCTGTGAAATATAATTTTATGACGAATGAAATTTCACACAATTATTGTGATATTCCAACAATTCAGTCTTAATTCACTGCATATATTCTCATCTAAAAATAACAATAAAAAAAAAATAGTCACCCAAATAGATATGGTTATGTAATGTAGCTTCATATTTGGAAAAATACTTGATACATGTGAAGTTTCTTACTGTTGCAAGTGCCTAGTGTTGCCAGGGAACATTTATGACAACAAGAGTTATGTTGCAAGTGAGAGAAGACACATTAGCTAGTGCTCTTGTATCACTCTTACACATTCATTGCATTACAAACTTTTATTTTAAAATCAAGTTATGGCAGCAATTTTCTACTTCTGTACTTTGTGTTTCTATTTCAGATTTGAATAATCATGAATTATTTTTTTTTTGAGTAAAAACTTCTCTTATTTGCAACACAGAAACAACTGTAACAAGACAGTTCAAGACAAGGGGAGACCATGTCTCAAATAAAGGCAAAGTGATAACCTTCAGTCTGCAGGTAATTCCCTTTCTCAGCCATGTCTTTGGACGACACTAAAGGTATGCTGCAGTGGACACAAAGCTGCTTTACAACAAATCCCAACTTCTACATAAGCTGCTAGTCTCTCACTTGATCTGTATTTGGTGTCCTGCCACTTCATCTAAATTGTAATTACAATTCAGAGAGTGGAATCAACAAACCCTCTCTTGCCGACATACTTTACAGACAAGTAGAAGTTAGACACCGTGTCATAAAAAATGCAGACGAACTTGTGCCACTTGCACAAATTTCAACTTATAGACATGAAGTTTCCTTTAATTGATAGAAAATGCACTATTAATCTGTCAAGTAATACATAAATCATGCTAAGGAATGAGATATAGAAATAATAACAGAGTCAACAAGTTAAAGAGCTGGGATTCCTAACCAGTATAGGTATTAGGAAAGGACTGGTGTAACTATCAGACTTATGGTATTGGCCATGCAATTATGACATTTGATAAATTATCATGACTCGCCAACCACTTTGCATTAAAAAATGGCATGTAAAAGGGCCTGGAAAACAGGTAATAACCATTATATCAAATTATTACAATTAGAACCAATGTACACAGACAGAACTCAAGAACAAAGAATAAAAAAAAAAGGGGGAGGAGGGGTTGTAAATCACTGTGTATAACACACACACGTGCTCAGTCTAACTTCCATTACAATGTTCCTAGGTTAAGGAAAACTTAAATGTATGAGGGGTAAACTGTCCACTGGCATTTTAATAACTATTTTTTGTCTTCAAATTTCCCAATTATGGATTAAAAATGGTTATTATATGATTGTGTGTATTACACACAAGATGAAATTCTTATCATGACTGAAGATATCCTGAATGTGTCAAACATGATGAAAAAGTTGTCCAATCACCATATCATCCAGTTTTTATTTTCACACTAGCTGACACAGTCTTGAAGGCAACTTGCAATGGGCCTATTTATTGAGCCTACTCAACTTATGCTTCGAATACTGGTACCATCACCTTTATCACCAACACCAATATATATAAATTTTATTTAGTACAGAGCATCAAAGTGTCGTTGGTGATCTTTTATTGTCTGTTAAATGGTTAAAAGTATACCCCAATTCCATTTTTTCTTCACATTGTGGAAAATTTACATTACATATCACAACAACAGTGTGCTCCTCGAATCATCCAACCCGTAGTTCACACTCAGTCTATTTCTTTTGGTCTTGAGGAACAGTTATGTTTCTCTGAAGATATAAAGTTCACTTCTCAGATCTTGTGTTCAGCATCCTCTAATTATTCCTGACAGGTTCCTAAGGACATCCTCTTCATTTTTCTTTTGTAGTACAGTAAGTTGTTTTCTTAAAATTGTCTTATTAGAATTTCCACTATATGTATTTAATTTTTCAATTCACACGAGTGCATGATGAATTTAAAAGATTGTAAAGTTTTTGTAACGCTCAATATTTTGAGGTTCAGTTCCACAAGAGTCTTATACATAAGTAATATATTACTGAAAAATTATTCTGGTTTAAAATTCAGCTTATCGGAAATCTGGATCTGTATGTAAATATTAACAGCGAAGATTCGTAAGTTTTAATTATGATGTGTAAATTTGCCATTATGAGATGTAGGTGTTAATGCAATATAATGTACCATATTTTCCTATTACCAATATGAAAAAATACAACTATATTTAGGCATTACCTACTACTCATAATTACTAAATTCACTGAAATTTTTGAAATTAGATATACCTAGTTGCCAACAGTCACTAAAAGCGAAAGCCTCCCTCACTAGTACTGTTATTGTCAAATGCATATTCTGTCTCGGTTGATTCCGGTACTAAATTTTGGTCCTCGGCATCCTGCAAGTAAAAAAAAGTGTTACTGCATATTGTAAATAATAACATGATCACATAAAACCAGAAACTTCAAGCTAACAAAGACAATACAATTTTATACAATATTCTAGATACTGTAGTGATTATATGCACTAAGGTTATTTAGAGAGGCATCTCTATTCAACTTCCTACCACATTACCCTGTGGTACTCAAACATACACATGAGGACATATGTTTGACCCTCACCCCCTACACACACGCACACACATAGACATGGAGACTTCTAACATGGATGAAATGTATGACTGGAGAAATGTTACTAGTGGAGTACCACAGGGATCAGTTCTAGCACCAGTAATGTTCATTGTTTATATAAACGATCTACCAGAAGGAATACAGAATTATATGAACATGTTTGCTGCTGATGCCAAGCTACTAGAAAAGATAAGAAACTTAGACAATTGTCATGTCCATCAAGATATCCTGGATAAAATGGTTTGCCTTGGCTGAGAGTTGATCTTTGATCTCCACACATTCCTCTCGCCTCTCTGAAGCAGCCAGAGTCTGGTCGTAAATTGTGGTAGGCCCAGAATGAGTCAGGAGCATGACAATTGTGGCCAGCCTTGTTGTAAACTCTGGGGAGCTACTGAGGAGGCCACCACAGAAAAAACAAATGAGAGAGAGAGAGAGAGAGAGAGAGAGGGGGGGAGAATGAGAGAATGAATGACAAACCAGTGACATGCAGGATACAAATTACATGACAACTTAAACTTGAAAAATGAGACTAGATGAATAATGAATTAAATTCAATAAGGGTGAATTCAACATAGAGAGAGGAGAAAAAATGACAAAACTTTGTAATATTAGATTAATGCATAACAAGGGAGCTGCAAAGTAAATGATTTTCAGAATCTTTTAATACTCACTTCTTCCGAGAAATATCTTTCAATAATACTATATGCCAACTTGTATATCTCTACATTTTCATGGTTCTGGAGGAACTCAATCTTGTCTAGACCTGCAACAGATATGAACTATCATTACTATGAACTAAGAATATTTTTCACAGTATTACAATAATTTCATGAAAAGATAACCGAGATCATCTCCCCAGCACGAGAAAGCTTACCACCACACTCTTCTATCATATTGGCCACCATTTCCACATCTTCACCTGCTCGACTTAGAATGTTGGAGATACCATCAAGTACCACCTGAATGACCTGAGTATCCTTACAAGTCAACAAGTTGCAGAAGGGCGGAATCACGCCTTCACTCACGAGATAGGCCACCTGAAATTATAAAGCAGGTTATACTTGTATATACAGCACTTGTTGTGATGGTAGGCATTCTTTGTAAGTACAGTAACCATTAAGCATATTTTGTTCATGAATAGCTTCAGTATCTTCATCCATCAAAAATATAACAACAGTTTGGTTATTAAAGAAACTAGTGAAAATGTCAATGAGGGTAGATTTTCTAGCTCTTGTGCTAAGTAATTGTTGAATTCTCAAAAATCAATGATAAACAAACAATCATTCCATGAATAGTAAAAATAATTATATAAACAAGCCTGTAAACAGCTAATCAACTTATTTGTTGTGAATCTCATTATCTGGATCTTCATTTTTTCTGCATTCTCAGATTTTCCACATAGAGAACCAGCTAGTTAACCCTCCCCCATCAACTTGGAAGTTTTCATGCAGCCACCAAGTGTAACACTGTAAAAGTGTTTGGTTTAGTTTAATACATACATAGAGTACATGAGTCACAGACAGGGATTAGAGAAGGCGCCAGTTTGTCCACCGGAAAGTCACACCTCAAAGCGTTAATGACCTCAAGTGACCTGAGGTCAGATCATGAGAATTTCACCTTGCTTCCGCTAATCGTATAATTGTAGCCTGTTAGCCTTCAAACAGGCCGACGTTTAAGGAGTGGCTTGGTAGAAAGCCGGAGGCTATCTACTTGTGGGCGGAGTTAGCTACTAGGTTCCCCAATAAATACTCGGAGAGCATTTGAGCATTAAGCAACAGGAGACCAGCCAGCAGAGCAGAGCAGACGGCCCTAGCAGGGAGGCTGTCGGCCGGCAGGGCGGGAGTCTCCGTCAACTACAGACCCCCCCCTCTCTATCCAGCTATAGGCAGAGACACTTGGTGAGTTGAGCAGTAAGGTGACTTGGTCGTGTTTACATATGTTGTGTGATGATCAGGGGCAGTCAAGTTGTAGGGTTCTCGAATTCTTGGATGATGACTCACTTTGCATATTAAACTGGAACATTTTAATTGAATTGCTAAATTATGATACTTCATGTGAATTATAATTATGAATTTATTATTTAAATTGTGTTTAACTTTGTTCCCTAGAGCTTTGAGTTGAGGTGAGAAAGCCTCTGTGGTTACTGGTTTCATGATATTAATGAGTACATGTTTGGAGTTGATACATGGTAATAACATCTTTTGAGAATATTGTGATACAGACAAGTTCCATTCCTTGTCTTGTATGTGATGATCTAGAATGGATGGTGGCAGCATTTCGTCTTCTACTATCTACTCTTCTACTTCTATCTACTCTTCTACTTCTACCTAGCTATTCCTCTCCCTCCACCCCTCTCTAAACTCTCACTTTCAACTAATGACCCTCCTCGCCCCTCCCACCTCTCTACCCCTCACCCCAAACCCTCACTAATTACTTCACTATTCATTTCTTTCCTTTCGTTTTCTCTTATACGTTTGTGGTAAAGATTCTGTATTCTAGAGTTCTCTCTGGAGTTTCGGGTAACTGACCAAGTTACGACGCCTTGTAGTCTTAGCACCGAGGTAGTCAAATACCTAGGTTACAAGGTGTTGAACGAGAGAGGTTGCCTTAGGAACTCTGGGAGTGCTCTAGAATAGTTAGCTAACTGGGGACGGGATAACATACAGAAGAGAGAGCTGTTTCCCCCGGTCTCGTTAGTTAACTGGGGGGTGGAATAATGGACAAGATAGAGCTATTTCCCCCACCCCCCGTTACACAAGAAGTAACAAAAACAAGTGTTGAACGGTGGGCCTCTCAGTAGCTTTCCATGCTATAGTACTGGGGCTCCCAAGCCATAGAGCAGAGCACCAAGCCTCTGGCACCCACCATAAAAAGCAAAGAGCCCACGAGAAGATTATGGCTCTTCACGGGGGTGAGGGAGACTTGGTGATACAAGATAATCAAGGAAAACAAATACCTGAAGTATGAGCACTTCAAAACAACTGTATGCAATGAAATTAATAACTCTTGAGCGGTACAAGGCTAGCAATCATTGACGCAGGGTAAACACCAAACGACTGGTTGCCATTAGATGACATCCCAGTTATGTTATTCACAAGTCATCCGAACTAAAACAACCACTGCCCCACCCCCTACCCCCCACCCCACAATTCCCGAGGGAAAGAAAGGAACGAGGCTAGTGTGAGAGGTACATTACTGAGTGGTCCACCAAATAACAGTACTGTATTTCATTGCACTCAACCCTTGATATCTTGGAGGGCCCCCTCAGCAGCTCCCCAAGATAACTCACAACAGTGCTTCTGTAGAGGAGGATAGCTTTTAGGAGGATACTCGTTAGTACAGTACCGAACACTGTGACCAGGTGGCCCAAAGCTTAGTCCTCCATCAGCTCACAACTCAGTTCTGGAGTAGATAAAACACCCCTAACAATCTGACAAACTTGGAAGGGAAGAAGACAGGGAGTCACTGAGGCTCTACCAGAAAGAGCCATTTCATTACATTCAACACTGGGTTTCTGGGGAAAGCCCCATGATGGCTCCTTGTAGCTAAATAACCACAGAAAAACTGAAGGATTTACCTAAGAGGTGGAGAGGCCGCAGGGACTAACTTGAAGTAGAAACGAACAGCAGCAAAACATGACCCAGAGGCAACACACGATCAATGAAGACCAGGGACATTGACTAAATACCTGGCTGTCATGACCCCTGATAGACCAAACACCCCCCCCCCCTTTCCCCTGAGCCTGAATCTGCCCAATGCATACATCTTAGTAAACACTGCCATAAGTGCAATGTACGTGCAATTGTGGCCCCGGGGAAGACCACAGGCTGGCTACACTTAACAACACTGCGAACAACCTGAGAAATACAAGCCTTCCCACAGAGAAACAAGCATCCACTGAAGCTGAGCCAGTGGCATGCAGGTAAAGATAAACCGTCGTCACCAGACAACAAATGATGCACCCCGCCCAAGTCGATCAAGCATCAATAACCAAAGGGCCCCTCTGGAAGCCTGTCGACTAGTTCTTTGCCAGAAAAGGAGACAGTTGTAGGTGAAAAAAATGCTACTGTTTTCTTTCAAACAGCAGGGAGGACAAACTGTTTATAAGGCATTGATCATGATCACCAACCCCAACAGTACAGTAATGGCTGTTCACTACATGCCGAGCAGCATTACACAACTACAATACAGTATTTTCACTAGTGTCTGTATCCCTTCATTTCATGTTTAAATGAACATATTCCATAAAATAAGCTAAGGATTTAAATGTAAGGTGCTGTGTATTTCTAAACTATGGTGTACTGTACATAGTACTCTATAACCAAATAAATGGCAGCTTATTAACTAAAGATACAGTACAATAGCTGGTGTCTACTGCATGTACATCACCTTATTGTTAAACAGTTAAAGTAATATCTAACATTTGGTGTAACTTGGAGATCAGAAGGCAAAAGGTTGAGCATCAAGGGTTCGAAACACAACCCGAGCATCAAACCACACCTTGGCAGCCTCCTCGGGATTCTTAGTTATTGACTTGCACCTAATACTACGACACTTAAAATACCTTGAACCTATTAACATAAAACTAGGAAAAAAAAAACACTTAGAATAGTAGATGAATTCAAGCTACTGCAAAACTAACACTCATCCATTCATGCAGGGTCATAACTTTGTAATCATCGGTTGTTGTCAAGGCACTAGACCAGCCAGCACACAACCTCAACTGCACTCCATTATCAGTCACAGATCCAGTGAAGTCAGTGACCCTCTCTTACCACTCACTCTCACTTTCATTCATTACATATAGCTGAGGTATATCAAACAGCAGAGTAAATAATCAGAATCCCTTAGAGTTTTGTGCCAGTTCATCATATCTCCAACTATATTATTGTCATTGAAAAGCTTTATTATTATTTTTTGCAATCGCAATTCTCATCATACTCGGATGCTCTTTTTAATCATCCAAGGAGTATGAGGCTCCTCTCTTTACATCATGTGGTGCAATTATGTATAATGCAGGTAGGCACACATATGCATGTGTTCTCATGTACACACTTGTATCATCACATTAACCTCTAGTTAACAAAGTGTCAATTAGGCAACAACTAGATATAAACTATAATTTTATTACATGATATCTCGCTTTAAACACTGTGGTCCTGGAATATGTACAGCACATCTATATCATTTTAGGGAAGAAAAGCCATGAAAGGTGTTGTGCATTTCTTCAATGTGAGGGGTAAGAGGGGAATTTTGAAAGTGAAATGGACTAGTTTGAGGAAGTGGTGAATACAAACCTCCCATCACACATTCAAATACAATGATATAGAAAGGCCCAAGTGATCAGGAATGCATCACACAATATGATTAATAACATGAAGTAATCACATTAACGTGATGTACAGCGTGATGTACAGCATGATGTACATACAGCATGGAACAGCTCATGTGTTGTTCCCTCTATGGGGTGGGAACATTGTTTTAATGGGTACATCATGGGGTCTTTCTTTCAACTTCAGTTCTGCTTCTGTAAATACCATTTTCTAAGGAGGGGGAGGGTTTTTCTTTAAAGTATCTTTACTTTTCTTCATCATACCCTAATGATTTCCTGTTTTCTATATTTTTATGGCTGGATGATTCACTTTTCCCACTACTTTTCTTCATGACATACTATATGTCAATATGCTGTGCAGTCTTAGACCCTACCCTTGCTGCTTTATACTCATCGTTTGGTTCTTGAGATGGTCATTTGGCCTGCTCTCCTTGAGGCATGCACAGTGGCCACATGCTTGCTTTCTTTTCTCAGAGTGGTGCTCATTGCTAGGTGTGCCCTTTGTGTAGCATAATTAATGTACACAAGTCACACCTTTTACTTCTCAAGTTGGTTCCTTATTTGAGGTGCCATGAGATGGAAGTTCTGTGGAGCAACTATGAGGACCCTCCAGAAATTGTGCTAAATACATATATTGAAACGTCCCTTTCCAGAGGGACGTTCTCAAATTCTCTCCTTTCCTACCCCTTTCTTCCCACTGTTAGTCAGGGGAAGACACATGCACCTGGATGTCAAAAAATATTAAGTCACAAATATTTTCCTAAATGTTCATTTATGAGAATCTACTATATAGTATTTACATATGCTATTGGAGGAAATATGCAAAATGCTATGGTGATTTTCTGGTGTCCTTTTACTGAAGATGCAGGAAATGAAAATTTATTTAAACCCCTAATATCCAACAATAACTGACCACCTGGAGATCGGCACCCTTACCCTAATATGAGTAACTAGAGTATTATCAAACTTCCTGTATGCAGATGGTACAATTCTTTTAGAAGAGTGAAATTTTGTTGATGTGCTTACCTGCTGTTTACTGCCTGAAATAGTGAGGTTACTGATGGCCCACGCCGCCTCCTTTTGAGTTTGAAACTCTCCTTTCGTTAGCTGCGTTATTATCATTGGTATGAGACCTGCATCAATGACTGCCTGTACTTGTTGTTTGTTACCTGCTGTGATATTACTCAGGAACCAAACTGCTTCCTGAATATAAATAGACAAAATATGAAGTTAGTTTAAATTCAAAATAACAGAAGAATATTAAAAATTTACAATTACCATGTACTAATGTAACATGGAAATTTTCTGTGCATTGTGGAACTTAGTTAAAAATGACACAATTGTCACCATTCCACTTTCTGACCATATCTGAACCCAAAAAAATGATTTGTTAAGATTATTGCATGTACCCTTCTGCTCCCAACAAAATATTAATTTCTTGTCCAAAAAATAAATCACAATACATGTTCACTAATACCAAAAATTATTAAAGACATCACAATATTGTACAGGTACACATTGCACAAAATAATATTAAAACTGCACATGTACTCATGAAGAGGTCAGGTGATCCTCCATATATGCCCTTAGAAAGATTTGGAGGCAAGTACAGTGGTGTACCTTGAGGGAGGAAGGAAAAGTTGAAGCTGAGGTGCTATAGGATTACATGGAGAAGGAGCACTACCATCTTATATTCGAGCTCTCCTGGCAGCCCTCTTAAAAGTATCAAGAAATATTGTTTAAAAAAATAGCATTAGGTGTAATGAAATGCCTCTTTCTGGTAGGTCCTTGGTGGATCCTTGGTGCTTGCTACATGGCAAGCACCACCCAATTCAATCAATGCCAGGACCATGCAAGCCATAAAAAGTCTTCCTGGGACTAAAGGCCAAAATCTAGCCCCCTCTCAAGAGGAGCAAGCAGCAGGGTCTCCTAGATCACCCTAACCAAAAATACAAACTGCAAGATAAACAAAGCCTAGAAAATGAGTCGGCAAAGCACCGAGATGAGAGAATCACCTGGTCAAGAAGCCGTTCTCTCTCTAGGTCCACTTGTGAACCACCAGGAGAATGCACGCCTTCCTCCTCAATCCCCTATCCTTGAACCTGTCATTTAGCCAGGAAGATGAAAAAACCAAACCCCCTAAATGGGGAAGAGAGGATCCGAAAGAGACACCAGAAAGAGGCATTTAATTATATTCAACACCGGATTTACGAGAGGGCACTTAAGGTGGCTGTTTTGGTACCATATCACCACAGAAAAACCCGGCGTTCAATGTAATGAAACGTTTCTTTTTCTGGTAGAGATGTGGCTAAGAAGGAAGGCCCAGGAAGAAAGGAAGAGCCAGCATGAAGGGAAGGTCCGATAGTGAAGGAAAGCCTGGCACGATTGACATTTTACTGAATAAAAAGGCTATAGAGTATTTCAAAAGAGAGGAAAGTGAAACTTTTTGTTTTTTGTGTAAAAAACAGAAATTATTGTACAAGTACTTTTTTATTTATAACACTATTGTTTTATTACATACAGTGCAGTAAGTTAAATCATTTTCTTAAATGGGAATATATACTTTAGGTGCCCAAAAATTGGCCCTAATATTACCAACATTTAACAATGCTGTACAGTGCTTGCATTTAGTGATAAACCGTATGTAGTGAGTAGGGTATGGACCAAAATAGTTTGTTAAAGCTAGACTGAGAAAGAAAAATACTTGGTGGAAAGAGAAGGCGAAATTTATGTTTTAAGATTGATTAGGAAATAAATCTAAACAAAATATTTTTCTAAGCATGTGAGCAGTTTACTCTTTGAGAATTAATCACTAACCTTGTTGATTTTTTCCTTTTGATGTGTGAGGAGAGTAGGGAAGTGAAATAATGCGCCACAGTTGAGGACTACTTGCGTCTGATCATCTGTACCAGTTACAATATTACCCACAGCTCTTAACGCTGCTGTTTGCACCTGTAAAGTTAAAACACTCAATGTCTTACATTCATTATACTCATTTTGACAATATCATCCACCTACCTAGAGCATAAGTTCAAATCCTCATAGCTTCTACTGATTTGCTCATCGATACATTAATACTTAATGTGATTTCTTTATGCAATATCATCAATTAACTATCGGGTTTTAAAAATTTGTAAAATGTAGTTTTTTTTTCATGAGTCAAGACTATGTTGTAATATAAATTATGCATCTAATATGTACCATACAGTTTGTCATTATATTTGTAGAGATTAAAAATAACAAACTTACTTTAACTTCCTTATGAGAAAGAAGTGGTATAAGCTTGGGTACTACACCACTGTCTATAACCAATTGAATATTTACATTACCACCATCAGTCAGGTAGCTGAGTGCCCAAACTGTGTCCACCAGAATCTGATGAAGTAGGTAGTAATTAATGTTCAGTATACATAGTAAATAGCTTTCCAAAACCAATTACAAATAAACAAAACAAAACAAAACAATTCACACATCTACTGGAGAAGCCTGTAGACATGTTAATTGATGCACCACACTGTAAACTGAGCACTAACAAATTGGAACACCACCTGTGCTACGACAACATTCCCAAGGTTTTGGGTCGACAATACAACTAAAAGTGAAGTTAACCGGCTTCTCATACCCAATAGTTGTGAGGGCGGTATTACATAGAGGTAAAAAGTACAGTCTTTGATCTATTTTATACTAAAGTGTGCTAGTGCTCTCAGTGGTGACTCAGACTCCCCACTCTCTCTCTCTCACCCAGATATGTGATGGGACCACAAGACTACATCATGCTTGCCCCCCAACATATATAAAAGTAATGAGAGCCTGGAGGGCACTACAAGTCCTGAGTAGATCATATATGACCTGATTATTGGAGCATCTGATGACCCTCAACTCAATGTATTGAAGATCTAGCATTAATATGAAGTAACAAGTCAGAAGGAGAAGTGTTGGGTTAAGCAGAAAGTGTACAATTAAGTAGCTGGTGTCTGCTGTCCCCAGTGCATGTGTCTAAGAGCATTATAAATAACGAATAACTCTGCTTGACTTAAATAGAACAATTGATAATCTTTATTGAATGTAATGATATAATTTCCTGAGAGTTCTTCATTTTAATATTTACCAAAGTTGCAAAAGAATACAATTCATTGTAATTCAGATTTGACACTACTGTACATTTAAAATTAAAACAAAAATTATGGTTTCAAGGAAATGTCAAGCAATGAATATTTAGATAATCCAATACAGCAATCTGGCATTTTGGAACTGCTTTGCAATTAATTATTACTTCACAAAAATTTAATTACTGCATTAAAAACTATTCTCAGACTCACTGAGGTGTCTTGGTGGTGTATCAATATATTAAGAGCTGGTAGTATCTCCTTTATAGTCTGCTGAGGTGGAGGCGGTTCTTTGTTACGGCATAGATTAACAACAACCCACGTCACATTCCGCAAAAATCCAATGGGTATCTCTGGGTTAATGAAGCTAAGCAGCGGCTGAACGACACCCAAGGAGATGACATAATCCCTCAGCTGTGGCCCATCACCAATAATATTACCTGGGGAAGTATATTAAATATTGCATTACTGTATGATTAAATCAAATATCTGGTGAGGGAAGGGTGATTGTAAGAGATGATAATGATGATGATGGTAATCATCATCATAAAAGAAAGGTGGTAGTGAGAGGTTAGTGTATGAATGCCAATAGCCATTACATGTGTGTGTGTGTACTAGGAGCGCAGATAAAGTATAACTATAATACCCTCCTGGCCAAATGTATTAACACTTTCACTGTCCAGTCATGATGCCAGCCAGAAAATCCTAAAAAATAACACTTTTTTTTGGCACAAAATACTGTATATAAAATTTTTTCGTCGGCCCTAAAGACGAGAGGGTTCAAGACTATCTGACCTTTAATGGTATTTAATAAATGATAATTCTCCTCTTGCATTGATTCAGAGGCATAACTTAAACAGGGGCATGCATCATATCAGTGGAATTAGAGATGAAAATGTAAAAAAAAAACAATGAATGAAAAGCATGCACCAATGACTAGATATTTTTTTTATTAATATATATCATATTAGTGTGATTTCTTTGTGTGTCTGAAGCTGGAGCATATGGTTGATTAGCTACTTTACTTACACCAGAGTGCATGGGGGGGGGAGTTATATGTAAAACTTGAAGGGGCTTCAGTAGAAGCCTCCAGACTTCCTGTGGATTCAGTGAACTCCCAGGTTGTGTAACTTATACTATGTCATGGTGCAGGGGGTAAGATGAGTGGCTGGGATCAGCTGAGATCAGCTGAAAAACCAGCTGATCTCTGGTTGGAGTCACCTCACCTCAGTGCTCCAATTGATTTTCTCACTGATGTATATCATGTTAGTGATATATATCACTGAGAACAATTTTCTCAATGCATTTCTACAAAGAAATATATATTGAGAAGTACACAAAGAAAATATATTGCTTTGTGTATCCTCAAAGAATGTCTTGAAATTTATACAAATGCTTGGAAACTTTAGCTTGTAATCTCCTGCAAGTTAACATGTTTATATAATGCCAGATACTGTATACTGTACCTCCAAAGGTATGCAGACAAATCGACTATTAAAGAGAGGAAGAGAAAAATATTAATATTTCATTTAGAAAACTGTATTTTAATACTTGGTTATGAAAGCCCTTGCCATCTTAGAATTTCCTCAAAGCACTGTAGTTTACATGAGGCCAATTACAATAGCACAAACATTATTGCCAGTAAAGTAATAATGAAAGATATACTGTATCAGTAAAATATATAAATATTTCAGTAAAGAACCAAGTCATCTTCCTAAAATTCCAAGAATAATAGGCATAAATTTGCATTCCTTGTGCTCACATGGGAACTTGAAAAGCAAATAACGATGGCATAATAATTTACTGACAAAACATTACCGGTGCTATTACCAGTACTTACATTGCTCTTACCATGAAGAAGTAGAAGTGATCCTACAAGTCATTACTATACTGTACATCAAATGCTTACCTAATGCCCAGACGGCTTGTTCACACACATTTTGACTTGACGAGTGTAGAAGTTTCAGGAAGAGAGGAACAGCACCGGCTTGGACCACTGCCTGAGTTTGCCTGGATGTACCAGAGGCAATGTTGGTCAGGGCCCAAGCCGCTTCAAACTGCAGCGACGGGCTGTCCGGGGAAGACATACTATTCAAATTATACATCTGCTTCATAATTAAGGGGAAAATAATACAATCAAAAAACATTAATTTAATTATGTAAAAATGAATGATTTGCCCAGAATTTACATAAAATGCAATCAAGTACATTCATATAAGATATATCAAATAAATTTGGAACAAAAATAAAAAATAAAAAATAAAAACATTTTAGCAAAACATGGACCCACAATATAATATAAAAATGCACTGAATATCAAGTCACACTGATAAAAAAAAAAAAAGCATTCAAATTAATGAAATGCCTCTTTCCGGAGGGCCCTCGTGGCTCCCCATTACAACCCACCTAATTAGCTCCTCACCGGCCCTTGCGAGTCATTAAAAGCCCCCCACCTCCCCCCTTTATACTGGTGCAGGGAGCAAAGGATGCTATAGATTACTCTGGCCAAGAAAAGCCGCCAGAAAGATAGAGCAAAACAAAGCTGACCACAGTGACAACAAGACAAATCTCAGCAACTCTGAGAGCGCTCCACCCAGTATTTAGGTTAGTAGCAGCTGGTAATTTCTCAGGAAAGGCTAGTCTATGTCCCCATGTTAAGTATGTCTCTTATAAGTTTCACTGGGTTTTCTCCCCACATCAGTCTGTCATGGTAACAAGTAACAAATTCATTACATTCCATTACAGTATTGAGTTTATAGTGTGACAATAATTCTGCATAACTTCAGTTAATTTTTTTTTTTTTACAAATCATGCACATCCCACATTCTGTCATGTATCTTGGTTCTTCCTGTTTTTTTCTAGTTCATCCTGGGTAGGTACCCCCTAGTACCTATTCATTTAGGTAGGCATTCATTTGGGTAGGTACCCCCAGGCTAGTGCCCTACACCAGTACACTATGACACGGTCAAAGGTAATGCAACCTGGAATTCAGCTGAAGCCACTAGGAGTCCTGAGGGCTTCCAACCAGAGCCCAAAACAGCTGAATCCCAGGTTGCATGGTTTTTGACCGTGTCATGGTGTAGTGATCTAGGGTTTAGGAGTAATACTTGGGAGTAATAATAAAGAAATACTTGGCTTGGGAGTACCAAGTGAGCCGGTTCGAATCCTCCTCAAGGCTACGACTAATTTTCTTGTTGATACATCATGTTAATGTAATTTCATTGTGCAATAATAATAATAAAAATTATGATGATGATGATCCAAAATGAACAGGAGGAAGAGCAAAAATGTTTTTCTCTACTGTGAACTGGGAAAAAAATAATACATATAATACATCATATCGCCTGCCAGACATTACCGTATTAATATTGGAAGTTATTCGTTAAACCGTTTTAAAGACTCTTAACATCACATCTGTTACTTGCTCAAAACAAACCTCCTTCTACTTACTGGTCTGTGCCTTCTAGACATTTAACAAGTATAGGAAGAATGCCAGACTGGATCAGATCATCTATGGGTGGGTTTCTATCAGATGACAAGAGTTTACGGGCTGCCTGGACTGCTGCAAGTTGAACTGCCTGGTCCTCACTTGCTGCATTAGCAACAATTAATGCCAAATTATCTGCTGTAAGTTGCTTGTCAACATCTTCATCATCTGAAAGAAAGAAATACTGAAAATACTTCTGTCCCGTTGAGAAATATTACATGAAATAAAACCAGATATACAGTGTGTATATTATTTAACACTGTATGGCCAATCTCTCTCTCTCTTTTTTTACATCAACAGCTTATTTCTTATAGCCTCATTTTTCTCAGGCTGATGACAGGGTCATCAATTGGTTATACTCACTCTCTCACTCTCTCTCAATCTCTCTCACTCTCACTCACAATCACTCACTCTCACTCAATCTCTCTCACTCTCAAACACACACATACACAAAGGTATGCTACTAGACTAGTCCCAGAACTAAGAGGCATGAGTTATGAGGAAAGGCTGCGGGAAATGCATCTTACGACACTGGAAGACAGAAGAGTAAGGGGGGACATGATCACAACCTACAAAATCCTCAGGGGAATCGACCGGGTAAACAAGGATGAACTATTCAACACTGGTGGGACGCGAACAAGGGGACACAGGTGGAAGCTGAGTACCCAAATGAGCCACAGAGACGTTAGAAAGAACTTTTTCAGTGTCAGAGTAGTTAGTAAATGGAATGCATTAGGAAGTGATGTGGTGGAGGCTGACTCCATACACAGTTTCAAATGTAGATATGATAGAGCCCAGTAGGCTCAAGAATCTGTACACCAGTTGATTGACAGTTGAGAGGCGGGACCAAAGAGCCAGAGCTCAACCCCCGCAAGCACAATTAGGTGAGTACAATTAGGTGAGTACACACACACACACACACACACACACACACACACACACACACACGTCGCATTAACAGAGACGTTAAGTTATTGTCACTTTAACAGACTAAACTTTAATAAATTATTTTAAATGAGGTTGTATTCCCAAGAGGCTACTCAGTTTGGAGACGTGACAGGAAAACTAGGAAGGTAGGAGGAGTGGCTGTGCTGGTGAAAGAACACCTGAAAGTAGGAGAGTTAATAATTGAAAACCCTCGAGATATTGACATAATAGCATTGCAGGTCTGGAATCAAGGTTATAAGCTGATACCTTTAAATGCCTACAGACCACCAGCAAGAAACACATGGGACAAAGGAAGAACTGGATGACAAACGAGAGGGCCTCATAATGGTCATGAGAGATTATGGTAAGAGCTGACAAAGATAAATCCCGATTGTTGGTACTGGGGACTTCAACTTTAAGACAATTGACTGGAAGGCCTACGAGGCAAGAACAGAGGACATTTGGACAGGCAGATTTGTAAACCTCATCTTGGAGACATTCATGTATCAACATGTCAAGCAGGCCACAAGAATGAGGGAAGGGGATGTTCCGTCAGTACTGGATCAAGTATTCACCAGGAAAAAAAAAAGGGGTATTTGATATCCAGTACCTTCCTCCCTTGGGAAAGAGTGATAATGTCCTCTTGGACATTAAATATACTATGCAATATAATCTAGTAGAGAATGGAGACACTGAAACAGTTGTTAAACTCAATTTCAAGAGAGGACGCTATGAGGAACTTACAAATTTTTTTCATGGGTATAATTGGACAGACTTGTTGCTAGGCAAGAAAGTAAATGAGACGTATGCCAAATCTTGCGAAATATACGATGAAGACACACAAGCATTCATACCAAAACAGAGATGCAGACCTAGAAAACAGGGTTGGTTCAACAGAAATTGCGAGAGGGCCAGAGATCAAAAGACACAAGCATGGAATCATTATAGGAAGAGGCCAAACCCCCAAACACACAAGCATGGAATCATTATAGGAAGAGGCCAAACCCCTAAACACACCAGCAATACAAAGATGCAAGAAACAACTACACGTCAGCAAGGAGAGAGGCAGAGAGGAACTTTGAGAATGGTATAGCAGACAAATGTAAATTAGATCCAGGCCTATTCTATAAATTCATTAAAAGCAAGCTGCAGGTAAAGGATAATGTTCAATTAGAAAATGGAGAACAGATACATGGAAAATGAAAAGGAAATATGTGAAACATTAAACAAAAAGTTCCAAAGTGTGTTTGTACAAAATGAGATCCTCAGAGAACCAGACACAATAAGAATTCCAGAGAACAGCATAGAGCACATAGAGGTATCTAGAGACAAAGTGAAACAAATGCTCTTGGAGCCTAGTAAGAAAAAAGCAGTTAGCCTAGATGGAGTTTCACCATGGGTTCTGATAGAATGTGCACCTGAGCTCAGCATTCCACTTCAGCTGATTTTTCAGACATCCTTGTGTACAGGAGTCATAGCAGATGTGTGGAAAAAGGCTAACATAGTTCCAATCTACAAAAATGGCAGCAGGTAAGACCCCCTCAATTATCGACCTGTATAACTGACAAGTGTAATAGTCAAAATATTGGAAAAAATAATAAGAACTAAATGGGTAGAACACCTGCAGAGAAATTATATAATATCAGACAGACAGTATGGTTTTCGATCTAGAAGATCCTGCGTATCGAATTTACTCAGTTTCAATGATCGAGCCACAGAGATTTTACAGGAAAGAGATGGTTGGGTTGACTGCATCTATCCGGACCTAAAAAAGGCTTTCAACAGAGTGCCACATAAGAGGTTGTTCTGGAAACTGGAAAATATTGGAGGGGTAAGGTAAGGAAGGGGTAAGCTTCTAACCTGGATGAAAATTTTTTTGATTGATAGAAAAATGAGAGCAGTAATCAGAGGCAATGTATCGGACTGGAGAAATGTCACAAGTGAAGTACCACAGGGTTCAGTTCTTGCACTGGTGATGTTCATTGTCTACATAAATGATCTACCAGATGGAATACAGAATTATAAGAACATATTTGCTGATGATACTAATATAATAGGAAGGATAAGAAACTTATATGATTGTCAGGCCCTTCAAGAAGACCTGGACAAAAGTGTATGAGCACTACTTGGCAAATGGAATATAATGTGAATAAATGTCATGTTATGGAATATGAAATAAGAGAACATAGACCTCACACAACCTATAAATTATGTGAGAAACCTTTAAAGAATTCTGATAGAGAGAGAGAGATCTAGGGGTGGTTCTAGATAGAAAACTAGAACCTGAGGACCACATAAAGAACGTTGTGCGAGGAGCCTATGCTACGCTTTCTAACTTCAGAATTGCTTTTAAATACATGGATGGCAAAATACTAAAGAAATTGTTCACAACTTTTGTTAGGCCAAAGCTAGAATATGCAGCAGTTGTGTAGTGCCCATATCTCAAGAAGCACATCAACAAACTGGAAAAGGTGTAAAGACATGCTACTAAGTGGCTCCCAGAACTGAAGGGCAAGAGCTACGAGGAGAGGTTAGAGGCATTAAATATGCCAAAACTAGACGACAGAAGAAAAAGAGACGATATGATCACTACGTACAAAATAGTAACAGGAATTGATGAAATTGATAGGGAAGATTTTCCGGGACCTGGAATTTCAAGAACAAGAGGTCATAGATTTAAACTAACTAAACAAAGATGCCGAAGAAATATAAGAAAATTCACTTTCGCAAATAGAGTGGTAGCCAGTTGGAACAAGTTAGGCGAGAAGGTGGTGGAGGCCAAAACCGTCAGTAGTTTCAAAACGTTATATGACAAAGAATGCTGGGTAGACGGGACACCACGAGCGTAGCTCTCATACTGTAACTACACTTAGGTAATTACATACACACACACACACACACGTATGTTTAACCCATGCGTAAACAATCTAGTGATCACACATTTACTGTGTTACCCCATACTCTCTCCCATAAATCATATGGTGTTTTTTTTCCAAAATTCTAAACCTCTCCAATTTACATGTGTTGCTTTGAGTTCTATTGTGTGCTGATATATATATTTACATATATATAGTGTTGAATGTAACGAAAAGCCTGTCTGGTGGGTCCTTTTGGTGGGTCCCGCATGCTAGCTGGCTGGTCAACTCAAAGTCTGACGTACACACCCCAACACAATGCATCCTCTCGAATAGTATATTGCATTTTTATTTATAAATCCCAAAAGGCCAAAAACTAATGTACACAAAATCATAACATAGCTAAGTCAGTAATTTGTGTTCTTATTACAATAAGATTAACAAGATTAATTCAAATAAACCAATTTGAAAAGAAATATATTGTATTTGAAAATAACACAAATCACTGCCTGTTAGGCAAGTCAGACCTTACATACTAGGCCAAGTAGTATATTCTGGCTATTAGGTATGACATACATATATGTATACATATATATACATACCATACATATATACATACAATACACACACGCATGCAGTATTATAACTGATGATCTTTGACCAGCAGCAGCTAGGACTCAAAGCTCTCTTGCTAAAGCTAAAGCTTTAGCAAGAGAGCAAACCAGAAATGTAGGTAAGAGAATACAGTATGCTGTTTAATACTCCCCTTATGATTAAAAAAATGTTCACCACCATTGTTGACAAAGCACCCACCCCTATGGGTATGGAGAGAACCATTGACTACAAGCCTGCACCAACAGCCTCCTACACAATAACCAACCAATTTCACACACCAGCCATGGAACAAGGTCACCCGGAGTGGCGTGAAACTAGGTGAAGTGTGTATTGTCAATATTGCAATAGATATAACACCGTCTGTGTTTCAAATTCTAATCACTCAATCTTAACTAGATTTAACTTTGCATGAGTGTGGCCCCAAGAACATCAAATTGAGCAGACAATCAGAAATACCTTTACCATGCATAAATAAGATATACACAGTATATTCGTGCACTCCTAAATACAAACCTAATCTATATCCTATTATATGCCTGTAACATTAGTTCAAATATGTGAACTTCATAAAATTTGTTGAAGTAATACTGTATGATCAGGACCATTAACATAAGCTGTGCAAAATTTGATTAACAAAAGATATTTAAAATCTGTACAGCACTCGATTAATTCTTACACAGTGTGTATTAATCACTACAGTAGCATGAAGAATGGATTCTGCATGTATGTGAGAAATGCCTTTAACACAATACAGTATTCAGGAATAATTTCCAGTATGTCAGTGTACTCATATTGAATGCTTGTTCTTAAGAAATATAATTAGACAACATTAAAATATCAATTAGTATCATGATGTACAGAAGGCCCAGTACAGATCAACTCTGCTCAAACAGATCAATTCACACTATACCCATCTGCTGTAGTGGAAAATCCATTGCAGTGCAAGATCAGCAATACTGTACTGAAATTATGTTTTTCGCTACTTTTTCATTATGTTTGGGGCTCGGCTGGAAATTTGGAGTTTTCTGCTGTTGAGTTGACATTCCTGACCTAGTCAATTTATATCCTGTCCACCCATTGATCTGAAACAGCAGTCCACTCGAACAGAGTGTTGGACTTGTTACATCATAATAATATTACACACGACCAACTGGTCTAAATTACTTTTTTTATTAAATCATTCAATACTTACATTCTGTATTCTTATTCATCGCTGGATCTGAGCTGCCACCTGTATCTGGTATGGACAAACGTATGGTGTTGCATAAGTGAGTCACTCATATTCTAGTACAGTACATGGAATAATGAGACAATACAAGTGTTTCTTCATTTTTATTCTACCAGACGTATACTGTACTTTATACAAGTGTTGTCAATAAACTTTTAATGCCACAATTTATTTTGCTGATGCCTTCTGCATCAGCAAATTTGTGTGTAATTAGGAAATTAAACACAAAAACAAACCAAAAACATTAGAGGAAGAGGGGAGGTAAACAACAAAAGGAGAGAGAACATGTTCCTAAAAATGTTATATAACATAGATGGAGCGAGATAAAAAAAATTCTGGCACTGATACGATATGATTAATCTTAAGGTGTCAAATATGGTTGCACTAACAGAGATGAAACTTGAAAATATTTTAAATGAGGTCACATTCAGGAGGGCCTACCCAATTTGGAGGCATGCCAGAAAAATTAGGAAAGGTGGAGGTGGTGTTGTGCTGGTGAAAGAACACTTGAAAGGTAAGTGGGTTAATAATTGACAACTCATGAGAAGTTAACAAAATGGCACTGCAGGTTTGGAATCAGGATAAGCTGATAATCACAAATGCCTACAGTCCACCAGCAAGCAACATACGGACAAGGGAGGACTTGGATGACAAACTAGACAGCTTTAAAATGATCATTAGAGAGATTACAGTAAGAGCAGATAAGGATAAATCATGATTATTAGTACTTAGTGACTTCAACTTGGAAATAGACTGGGAGGCTTATGAAGCAAAAACTGAGGACATTTGGACAGGCAGACACTCATGTATCAACACTTTAAGCATGGCATGAGAATAAGGGAAGGGGGGATGTTCTATCAATGTGGGATTTAATATTCATCAGGAAAGAGATGGAGGTATTTGACATTTAGTACCTTCTTCCCATGGGAAAGAGTGATCACATCCTCTTGAAAATAAAACATTCAATGCTTTATAATCAAGAAGAGAATGGGGAAATTGAAACAGTTGATAAATTTGGTTTCAGGAAAGGACACTATGGGATCTTAGCAAATTCTTTAATGAATTTGATTGGAAAGACTTGTTGCTAGGTAAAGAAGTAAACCAGATGTATGCCAAATTCTGTGAAATATACGATGAAGGCATAATAAAACAAAAATTATACCATAACACAGATGCACAACCAGAAAACAAGACTGGTTGAACAGAAATTGTGAGAGGGCCAGACAGAAAAAGACAAGACAATGGGTACAATATAAGAAAATGCCAAACCCTTAAATATATTACTACAAACAAAATACAAACAAATACACAGCAGTGAAGAGTGAAGCAGAAAGAAACTTTGAGAAAGTTAGATTACATAATAATTTACACTTGGAAAATATTAGAAGGACTGGTTCCAAATGTGCACACCACATGAGAAAGCATGGCAGGATGTTCAAAATTGCCCCATGTAAAAGCAGAGGTGCAATAGACGCACCGAGAGAACTCGATCGACATCAAAGGCAGAAGACTTTTCAATACTTTCTCTACATATTCGGGGCACAACTGACCAATCTTTTACAGTGTTCAAAAGAGAAATAGACAAGCACCTTCAAAGGATACCTGATCAACCAGGCTGTAACTTGTATGTCAGACTGTGAGCAGCCAGATCTAACAGCCTGGTTGATCAAACCAGCAACCAGGAGGCCTGGTTAGAGACCGAGTCATTGGGACACTGGTCCCCAAAATCTTTACCAGGAAGAACAACATGAAAGGAGTACAGTAGTGGACAAATGTAAAACAGATCCAGGCTTTTTTCTATAAATTCATTAAAAGCAAGCTGCATGTAAAACATAAAATCCGAAGATGGAGAATGGAGAACAGATTCACCGAGAATGAAAAAGAAATGTGCAAAACGATAAATAAACAATTCCAAAGTGTGTTTGTGCAAAATGAGGTTTTCAGAGAACCAGACACAATGTCAATTCCAGAGAACGCCACAGAGTATCTACTCAATTTAAGGACCTTTGATTTACTGTTCCACCGAGTGGAGGTGGTGGGGCAAATGAGCTCGCACTCATTCCAAGAGAATTTGATAATTTGTTTACAAAATTGGTGAATTTTTTTCAGCAGGTTTTAAGGCTTCAGTCTGTACTGAAGGTAACAGTGGTTTGTTTTGACTCGCAGACTTTCTGGTTACTATCCCATAGTTTGACAAAAATAAATGTCACTGCTTCCTGCGCCTCTATGAGAGGGCCAGGTTCTGCCATTGGTCCCCATTAGGCCTAAATAATGCCATAGCTGATGTAACTTAGTAGATGGTACTATACCAGTATATACTGAACTAGCTTCTGGGAGCCACATGGGAACTCCCCTTCTAGAAATTCAGCATTGAATGCAATAAAATGCCCCTCTCTGGTGGATTCTTAGTGGCTCCTTGGTGATTGCTACCTGGCAAGTTAAACCCAGTTCAATCCACACCAGGCCCTTGTGAGTCATATAAGCCTACCGGAGATTAAAAACCAAAATCTGGCCCCCCCCCCCTCTAAACATTCACAGTAAGTAGATCATGTATCATCCTAACCAAGAATAGGCTACAAGAAAGGTGGACAAACCAAAAATGCAAACAACAAGGTAAATAAAGCATAAAAGCAGGACAGCGAGGGCCCAAGATTCACGAATCACTTGCTGGTGAAGCAATTCTCTCATTAGTTCCACCTAATGAGAGAATAATGAGGTGACTGCAAACCACCAGGGGACTGAGCAATCCTCCTCGTTCCATCAACCTTGACACATCAGTTATATACCCAGGAAAATGGAAAACCAAAGCCTCTGAATGGAGTAAAGAAGGTCCCATGCAGCCACAAAAAAAAAAAAAAAAAAAACTGAAATTAGCATTACATTACATTCAATGCTGACTTTCAGTGAGGACTCCTATTCATGGCTTCTTGGTGCTATTTCACCATAGGGAAAATACAAAATGGGTACTCACCAGGGGCAGAGGAGAGACATGGAAAGTAATACATAGGAAAGGGCGGAGTTATACCCAGGAAAGGGCTAAGTTAACAACAACTTAACCACCCCAAAGCCTCACATTGCCCAGCACAGACCTAGAATGTTCATCAAGTAATAGCTATTAGCGCTGTTGGATCATCAAAACCCCCTAAGCCCAAAAACTGGATAACACCACAAATTAATGAACATCATGGGTCCAATGGTAGACCAGAGAATGGCTAAACTTAATGATTGCAGACAACCCGAGACAAATGGGTCCCTGGAACAAGGACACACACACAGACGATACCTCCATGCACCACTGGTATCATGGAGGTAATGAAAAACAGCCACATCCAGACATAGTAAATGATGCACCCACAAAGGATCCCTTCAGTAACCAGCTGACTTATTCTTAGTCAGAAAGAAAGAAGAGGGCTCTAAGCAAAGAAAACAACCCCAGGATATTAACAGCAAAACACCCACTTCTAGAGGAGAGCATGAAGCTCTCCAACCCAACTGGAAGAGAGAGGTCAACAAAAACAAAGCTTTGAAGAAGGCAGCAGATCCTCGGTGGAGAGCACCAGTTCATCTACCTCCACTGTCGAAGTGGAATGGCAATCCCCAGAAGACCCAAGTACATCTAAAGTATTATCACGTCCAGCTGCCAAAACCCTTAGACATTTCTGAACTGGGAGCAAATGGAGAGGCCCCTGGGCCCACCAAACAATACCAGACGAACCTGGGGAAGGAGATCGAGGAGCAAACCTGAAACAAGAAAGTAGGGGGACCCAAAATATTTAGGTTAATAGCTCATTAAACATTACATTTACATAATGTACACGATTAAGGTATCAAAGATAAACTTCACCACTTGCTCTAAATATCATAGTTTCCATAAATGCATTAACATGCAGTACAGTATTTTGTAAACCAGATTTGAACACCAATAATTTTTTTTGGTAGCCAAGTATTAGTGTCTTTCCCGTACTTGGCCAAACACCGACACAAGATGTCCAAACACTAAGTGTCTTAACGGCATATAAAAAAATAAAAATTCCAAAGTAATTAACTGCATTTATACAGTATATCCAATTTAAATACAATTAAGTTTCTCAGGTGGCCAAAGGCTGATCATTTTTACCCCTAACAGGTTCAATTCAGCAGGTCAACCACGAATCAACAGTGATTATAACATTCGTGCTAAAGTTTTTGGCAACACTAATACAGTATTTCCATGTCTTTTGGTCCCATAGTCAAATATATTTTTCTTTAAAACATTTTGCAGTCGTCTGGACAATACAAAATGTAATCACTGGAATTTAATTTTACTTTAAATAAGATTATAATTTGTTACAGTTATTTGTACCTTCAGCCCAAATTATGATGAAAACTTGAGAAATTATGACAAAGGCTCATCTACCACTGTGTGGGGTAAATTAAAAACTTCAAACAATAAAAATACATGAACAAATCCACAAGGGCCGTGACGAGGGTTCGAACCTATGACCGAGAGGATCCCAGACGCTGCCTTAATCGACTGAGCTACGACATGATTAAAAGAATTGCAACCGGGAAATCATCCTGATTTACCGACGGCTCCTGCAGTCTCTCCGAGACACAAACCAGGGTTTTATGCAATTCCCCCATGCACTCGAGCTACGTCAATAAACTGTTCTACCTCTTCGCCCTTACTTCATTACACACAGAAATCACAATAGCGTGATGCATTTGATGCATTCCCCAAACCACATCCACAAATCCTTGTGGATTTGTTTATTTGATACATCACACTATTGTGATTTCTGTGTGTAACAAAAATACAGTCTTGCCCTGCTCATGCATATTGCAAATGGATCAGAAAATAAAGAACAATAACAGTACCTTAACTTTATGTATTCAAAAAACAGTACTGTATATATAGTATCTTACCTGTAGAATCAACTGTAGGTACATTACGTCGTTTCAAAAATGTTTCTTCTCTCTTGTTCTTTCTTAATTCAACCGTAACTTCAGTCCTTCGTCTTCTCATCTCCTATAATATAAAAATTCACGTATTGAACATAAATAAATGGTATAAAGAACTTTTACAGGATAGTACATTAAACAATATATTTTATCTGCTCACATTCCTTGGTTTCCTCTCTTACTCACAAATTCACTCATAAACCCTTTTTTTAAATTCACCATGTGTCACCAATAACCATACCACTGTAACACTCTCCTGAAATGGTAAAAGCATTTGCACTCCACATCTTCCTATAACAGTACCAACCTCCTAATTCTTCTATTGTCCTAACACCACAAATTTAAAAGTTATATTGCTCAAAACAAATCGATAATTTAATTCATTGTTGGGGAACAGGCAGCCAATTTATAGGTACAGTATATATGTGTTGTTGACCAGACCACACACTAGAAATTGAAGGGACGATGACGTTTCGGTCCGTCCTGGACCATTCTCAAGTCGATTGTGATGAGGAGGTAGGGGCAGGCAATAAATAGGCAAGGGAGAGCTGAGGAGGAAAGTCAGGTGTAGGGGATAGTAGTAATGAGAACTGCAGCAGGCCTATTGGCCCATACGAGGCAGCTCCTATTATAACCACCGAAGGAGATAGTAATAGGAATAAGAAGAGGATAGCAAGGGAGCGTAGGAGAAGACAATGAACAGAAAAAGGGAGAAGAGAGAAAGAAAAGGAAAGAGAAAGAAAGAAATGGAAGGGGGAAAGCTTATGTTAAGTTACGTTTGTTAGAAAGATTAGAGCATTTGAGTATATACTGTGAAAGGGAAGAGTCCACAGCAACAAAGCCAGGACTCAAGTTCATGTTGGGTACATTGTTTATAAGAGCCGATTCAACAAGACGGCGTCTGTGTAGAGTAGAGGCAGGAAAGATTATTTTGGAGGAAGACCAATCAATGGGATGATTAGAATTCCTCACATGGCAGAAGAGAGCATTGTTAGTGTCTGCAGACTTAACACTTCTCTTGTGTTCTTTAAGTCTGTCATTCAGTGTACGGCCAGTTTCGCCAAAGTATTGGAGAGGACAAGATGAACAGGAAATAGAGTAGACACCAGCAGCATTCGGTCCAGGACGGACCGAAACGTCGTCGTCCCTTCAATTTCTAGTGTGTGGTCTGGTCAACATACTTTAGCCACGTTATTGTGACTCATCGCCTGCATACAGTATATATGTGTTAGGCTTATATCGAGGCCCACCCCCCCCACCCAGGGTCGAACTGCTGACCCCGCCCAGGATGCAACTCTACAACACGCTATCTGCTGGATGCTAGAGGGACAGGGGTATTAGGTAATAGGAAATGCACTAAAACATTTCTGTCCCACCCAGGATCAAAGCTTAGGACAAGCTTTTGTGAAATCGGTGTACATTATATCATCAATTTGCTTGCCTTTCATGGCAACCAAGGTCATATTATAATGATCTAACAATTGCAAGGCAGAAGCAACCTGCACTAAAGCTATGTTGGCCAGGGTTATGTGGACAGAGTGACTGTGTGTTCTGTGAGGGCTTTTCTTCATAGCACTCTTTCACATTTTTTTATGAAATATGATGTTAGTCTATTGGTCTATAAACATTTGCTTCTGTTCTACTTCCACTTTTGTGGAGCGGAGTGATCTTTAAGTGTTAATATGATTACACTTGCAAAATTTTCTTACAAATTAGTTATACTGTTCATCTCACAATCTGAAAAATCTGCATAGTGCTTTATTTTACCAACATATTTAAATCAATATCTAAAGTTTAATATCTACAGACATGACTGGTAATCACTTTATGGATATAAACATTTTCTTTTGCAATGCAGTCCACCGATGATTACATGATAGTATTATTTACATCTCTAAATCTGATTTGAATACCAATAATTTACATTAAGTATTCAGTAACTGCCGATATTACCTTATCCACATTACTAATATAACTTCATTGTACGTATACACCAAAATTGTTACAGAAAACTTATGCATGTTCTTCATAAATCAAAAACATTAATATCAACAATTTGGCTACAGTATTAATAAAAACAACTCTTCTGATCCACCACACATTTTCACAGTTGCACTATTAGGAGTCCCAACTACTGTATACAAATTATAGCCATCCTGACACATTTAGGTCAGGGGTAGCAATGAAAAAGCAAATAAAACGAGGCAGAGCAGCATTAGGCCAGATTAGGCCAGAGGCCAGATGCTTCTCATGTTAATCAAGGAATGCCTAGCCACTTGAACTCATCACTACCGTGGAGGTCTGCCATTTTTGGAGGCTGGCGTCCAATCACTGATGGTCGCAGTAGTTGTGCACTGTTCCTTCCCCCCCCCTGTTCTATCCCAGCGCCTTGTCCCTGTATCCCTTCCAAGTACAAGTCATACTAGCTTTGGCCATTCACTTCATATTTACCTCACCCTCCTCGTCAATAGCAAGTAAATTAACCTATTCGCCCACTCGGTAACTGGACAGACCCATCAATACTTAATCCGACTGACGAAGTTATCTTTAACACCATACAATGCTTCAGAACACTGATTAATTATATAACTTTTTAAACACGTCATTAAAATAAACACAAGTTTTTGACATTTCCACTGACATTCAAACAAAAAGCTTATCAGTGTCAATATATGCATGGGACATGGGGAGAGCTTTACCCTTCCTGACCTCCCCCCCCCCTCCCCCACAAATGGGATACCATACCCCACCCTTAACGACCCTGTACCCAACACTTTACCTGAAACTGCGTCATATGTTTGTTAAGGCACAACACTGTTGCAGGCCAAACCACCCTTGACAACGTCCACAAGGCCAAGATGACCGAGTCTTGAACATATTAACTCAAAAATTCCTCGTCACCCATTTTTCCCCCAGACTTGGTGAGCATGGCGAGGTGGTCCACGCTCACCTGGCATCCTCTCTCCACCCAAGGCAATACTGAGCCCGCCAAAACATTTATGCATTCTAACATAACCCTTAGAACTACTTTACAGCCAGAAGAATTAGATTTTAAAAGTAAAACTCATTAGAGAGGTCATGCCATCGTGCTGAAACTTTCTTGCTGCAGGTGTTGGCAACTGTCTAACTTACGTCTTGGTCCTTTCCTTTGTTCTTGAATACGCCCATTCTGTTCTTGAACTGGTCATTTTGTTGCTTATCCATCTTAAGGTAGTCTCAAATATTATTTGTGTATGAAAACACGTCCGGTGTCCTGGAAGACAGACACCGCGTGACGTCACAGCTCCGGACTACACCACCGTTCTAAGCCACCAGCTGATTGGTCACTCCTCCCCAACCTCCACCCTCATCCTCGCCGCACAATCTTCCTTATAACCTATTTATGAGTTTTCTATCATCCTAAATAATAAAGCTGTAATTGTTTAAAGTCGTCAACGGATTTAATGAATTCCATACGAGGTATTTAATCGATATCGTAAAGAAACTCACGCCTCGGCAGATTTGTTTACAAACTGAACAGCCAATCATAGCTAACTTCTTAAACGGTTTTGGTCTCAGTGTAGGTACAATACCTTTCATTTTGACATTTTGCATATGCATATTCACTTTTGATATCTTTATGTATATATGTATTTTAATTTATAAATATAATATAATATAATATAATATAATATAATATAATATAATATAATATAATATAATATAATATAATATAATATAATATAATATAATACAATAAATATATACTATGTATATATACAGGGAACTTTATTCTATACGATGATATGATTACAAAATGTGTCTTTAACACATACACAACACAACCATTACAAATAAAAAGAAACCACACCAACGGAATACATAGTTTAGGTTAGGTTAAGATAATTTAGGTTAAGTTAGGTAAGTTTAGTTAGGTTTGGTCGTATTGCTATGTTAGTTTTGACTCAAAATAAACAAAAATCATTTATCAGTCCATATATATCTATCCATCCATCTATCTTTCTATCCATCACTCTATACATCCATCTTTCCATCTATCTATCCAGCCATGTATCCATTCATCATCAAGCTATCCATCTTCTCATCTATCTGTCCATCTGCCATCCATCTATATACTCATCTATCTGTCCATCTGCCATCCATCTACTCACCTATCTATCTATCCACCTAAACATCTATCTATCTATATCCATCCATCTACTCGAATATCTATATCTCTATCCATCCATCTACTCATATATCTATCCATCCATCTTTCCATTTATCTATAACCATCTATCTATCCATCCTTTTATCAATCCACATATTCATCTATATATTTATCCATCCGTCTATATACTGTCTCTCTGTCCCAATCTATCTCTTCCTGTGTGTCTATCTGTCTGTCTCCGCCTGTGTGTTTCTGTCTCTGGCTCGGTCTCTCTCTCTCTCTCTCTCTCTCTCTCTCTCTCTCTCTCTCTCTCTCTCTCTCTCTCTCTCTCTCTCTCTCTCTCTCTCTCTCTCTCTCTCTCTCTCTCTTATAAAAAATACAATTGTCTAATAGGTGAAGGATCGCGGGTGAAGAGCTGAAAGTGTGAAATAGAATTGTTACTCCTTTACTCTGAGAAAGGGGCGTGGTGGTTTGTGAAACCTCTGAAGCTTTGGTAGCACTGTCTGTTGTATGCGAATACAGTATGAGCAAATTTATATATAATTTGGCTGTGTAGCCGGCAACACAAAAATCGTCGTGGGGGTCTCAATATGACCCTGGCACGCTATTCCCTTGTGAATTCTGGTGACCCGGTCGGCCGAGCGGACAGCACGCGAGACTTGTGATCCTGTGGTCCTGGGTTCGATCCCAGGCGCCGGCGAGAAACAATGGGCAGAGTTTCTTTCACCCTATGCCCCTGTTACCTAGCAGTAAAATAGGTACCTGGATGTTAGTCAGTTGTCACGGGCTGCTTCCTGGGGGTGGAGGCCTGGTCGAGGACCGGGCCGCGGGGACACTAAAAAAACCGAAATCATCTCAAGATAACCTTAAGATAACCCCCCCGACCAGCCTATGCTCATCCCGTACCCCAGACCATTATTCTCTCTGCTAATTTGGGTGAGGCTAATCCCCAAGCGTCTTGCTTTCAACTTTGGACAGAGAAACAGACAGACATTTTTTCAAATAGTACATGGACACACACACAGACACACACTTGTATCCCTAACTTGTATACCATGTAAGGTGATGGAGAAGATCGTGAGGAAAAGGCTCATAGAGCATCTGGAGAGAAATAGTTTTTGTGACACACCACCAACATGGGTTCAAAGATGGTAAATCGTGCCTCACAGATTTAATAGAATTCTATGACCAAGCAACAAAAATTAGGCAAGAAAGAGAAGGGTGGACAGACTGCATATTCTTGGATTGTCAGAAAGCCTTTGACGCAGTACCCCCATAAAAGGCTGTTACAAAAGTTGGAGCAACAGGCAGGAGTAAAAGGTAAGGTGCTCCAGTGGATAAGGGAGTGTCTAAGCAACAAGAAACAGCGAGTAACGGTGAGGGGGGAGACATCAGAGTGGCGAGATGTCACCAGCGGAGTCCCACAGGGCTCTGTACTTGGACCCATTCTGTTTCTAATATATGTAAATGATCTTCCAGAGGGTATAGGCTTATTCCTCTCAATGGTTGCTGATGATGCAAAAAGTATGAGAGGAATCAAAACGGATGAAGATAGACAGAGACTACAGGATGACCTGGACAAACTGGAGGAATGGTCTAGAAAATGGCTACTAAAGTTCAACTCAGGAAAGGGTAAAGTAATGAAATTAGGCGAAGGGAGCAATAGGCTGAACACAAGGTACCATCTGGGAGGTGAAATCCTGCAAGAGTCAGAGAAAAAGATCTGGGGGTTGTTATCACACCGAACCTGTCCCCAGAGAATCACATCAAAAGGATATCATCAGCGGTATATGCTAGGTTGGCCAACATAAGAACTGCCTTTAGAAACTTGTGTAAGGAATCGTTCAGGACCCTATATACCACCTATGTCAGACCAATCCTGGAATATGCAGCTCCTGCTTGGAGTCCATATCTAGTTAAACACAAGACAAAGTTAGAGAAGATTCAGCGGTATGCCACAAGACTTGTCCTGGAACTGAGAGGTATGAGCTACGAGGAAAGGCTGAAGGAGCTGAACCTCACTTCCTTGGAAACAGAAAAGAAAGGGGGAGACATGATAACCACCTACAAAATTCTCAGGGGAATTGACAGGGTGGACAAAGACAAACTCTTCAGCACGGGTGGGACACGAACAAGGGGACACAGGAGGAAACTGTGTACCCAAATGAGCCACAGAAACATTAGAAAGAATTGTTTTAGTGTCAGAGTAGTTAGTAAATGGAATGCACTGAATGAATGAATGAAGTGATGTGGTGGAGGCTGATTCCATACACAGTTTCAAATGTAGATATGATAGAGCTCAGTAGGCTCAGGAATCTGTACACCAGTTGATTGACAGTTGAGAGGCGGGACCAAAGAGACAAAGCTCAACCCCCGCAAGCACAAATAGGTGAGTAAACACACATACACAGTTAGTAGTAGTTAGTAATTTTTAGTTGTAGTTAGTAACAATTGATTGATTGACAGTTGAGAGGCGGGCCGAAAGAACATATCACAACCCCCGCAAGCACAACAAGGTGAATACAACTAGGTGAATACACACACACACGTATATATCTATCCATCTAATCAAACTAGGAATAATAAAGCCAACTTTTAACTTTAAGGTAAATAATGTAGTCATTCAACTTTATAAATCTCCAGTGAGTCCCTACTAGATTATTGCATCCAAGCATGTAGACCCCTTATCTTCAGGAAGACTTACATCAGATTTGGGAAAAGTTCAACACAGGGTAACAAGAATCATTCTAGAAGCAAGTCGACTCTCACATCAGGAACAGTTGAGGGCCACAGGGTTAACTACACACCAAATCAAACATAACAGGGCTGATTTCATCGAAACTTTTAAAAATATTTAACAATTTACAGGTTGGTGATCCAGACAACTTCTTCAAAAGGTCAGATTTCCCCTGAGACAGGAAGAAGACAGGAAGTCGGCGGCTTGTCGAACGTCCCCCCATTTGCCTTGATGATCTTTTCCAGTTGTACTTTAAAAGTTACCAGAGTTTTGGCATTTACTACTTTGGCGGGTAGGTGGTTCCACGGGTTAATACCCAGTGGGTAAAAAAGCATCTGTTCTCAGTCCTATACTGATGTAACACAAACAAGGAGCAACGGGCTGCCTGTCCCTGACAAAACAAAACGACTGACTTGTTGCACCATACAAATTCTAAAACATCCTATAAGCTGTTTTAATTCCTCACAGTTAGTTTATATAGTGTTCTGAGGCACTTAGAAAGTGGCACAGTCTTACGGAAAATAAATTTGTAGGAGGTTTAGGAAATTATATGGGCTTATTTGAGAATATAGGGCGAGAGTTGTAGATGGTAGGGAGGGTCGTGTGGAGGGAAAAAGGCCAAAGAATGATGTGTATGGAAGGGAAACTAGAGTTTTGGGGAGGGAGTGGAGGGTGATGATGTTGGAGGAGGGTCAGAGGGAGTGTTTACGGAGGCGGCAGTGGCTAGTACTCCCTTCTGCCGTCCGCTGCTCCTATACCTCGCTGCCTCTCGTGTCGCCATGGCCTCGCGTTTCGCCATTTTGGACATTGATGTCGACCTCGATCAACGAGCGGGGAAGAAGAAGCAGGAGAAGACCAAACTGAAGAGCGAGGAGACCGCCAAGAAGACGGTGAACAAATGTGTCAGCAAGAAGAAGAAGCCTGGGGCGGCCGACGGCCTCAGTGTGAGTTGATCACCTCACCACCACCATGCTTTATCTTGCCTCTCTCCCGCTCTACCTCTCTTCTTTAAACACCCACTAGTGCACGCTGCAACGCTAGTCTGCCTCTAAATGGTCTGGCTTGCTGCAACAAGGAATTCTGATGAAATAGTTATATCTCCCTAGTACCGGTACTGTACATGGCATGCCATTGATAGTCTGGACAAGTCGCTCCACTCTTATGCTCTTGGGGTGGATGCTCTATAACTATTATAATAACAGTATTAAGTTAAGGATGGTTTGAAGAAAGTTTGTGTAGAGACAAGTGAGTCGTGCAAGATGTTAAGCAAGAGCAGCAGCTGTTTTAGTAATATATGTCAAGCATTAGTCATGATCCCATGATTTCTTGGTGGCTTGGGCAGGCCAAAGGTGCTCTGCTTATCTCCACACCAGTGGTTCCTACATTTTTAAAATTTGCTTGATATATATTCATTGAGAGAATACTTTTTTTTTAGATGTATAACTATACAGCAATTTGCTTACATATTTACAATGCCCCATTTGGGCATTGATATTTGGGATACATAATATATAATGTTCAAAAGATGACCCGAATCCAGTGGTGGATGTTGTGACAATGGATTGTGATGGATTCTAATTATATATAATTTAAAAAACAATTATAATAAGGTCAGGAAAGTAGAATACTGTACCAAATAAATGTATTCAGTTGAATGAATGACCTATAAAAGATAACCATGGGACAAGCATGCAAAGCTTAAGATCAAGAGAGAGCAGGTGATGGAGGAGAGGACATAAGTCCTTCATGCAGAACCCTAAATATATATATCTTGGACGACCAGGCTGCAAGTATCTGTATTTGACAGCCTGGTTGACCAGACTACTAACCAGGAGGCCTGGTCACAGACTGGGCTGTTGGGGGGGGGGGGGGCACAGATTCCCAGAATCAACACAAGGTAATTAGGCAGGTTTCTCATGGAAGCACAGTGGGGGAGGAAGCTCATAGGAGCTACTGAGGGTGTAGTCCAGAAATAGTGTGCAAGTATAATAAAATGCCCCTTTCTAATGCCCCTGGGGCAGACCTGCCTGCCACCTTGTGATAGATGGGAGTTGATGGGCGTGCTAGTTTAGTAGTTGTTGTTTCAGTGCAATATATTTATTTTCTTCAATACAGTGCATTTATTGCTTGCTTAATTGCAGCAGGCTGGTGAGTAGTACAACATGATCTTTTTATTACAGACTGACATAATTGCAATCTTATCCATTCTATATTAAAATGGCCATTTTGGTTTGGTTTAGTTGGATGCATGTACAAATTGTACCCATCATCTTGTTCAATTGAAGTGTGGTCAAAGTAAACCCAATTGTTGATGACAATGATTAATGTGTGACTTGTTTCATCAGCTGCAAGCAATGGCATTTGGAACCAACAACAAAGGTAAAACTAAGAAGAAACAAGCTAACAAAACAATTGATGGGGTTGAAAAAGACGTATCCTCTGCTAAGACAAATGGTCAAGTGAACCCAAGATTGGATGAAGACTGGCAGCGTCGAGACGATGAGGTAGTTTCCCTATGAGTGTATAAATGCACTGCTTAGTACAGTATTACCGCACACATTGACAAATGTTGGATACTTTATTATGTGGTAACTTATGAGTGGTAATACTGATTAATGTGGAGGATATGGTGTATAGATGAGTGTCATTTAGATTATATCCGCCTTTGTTACCTTATATTCCTCTCTTAATCTTAAGGCCGAATGCCTCCTTACTGAATGAGTGGGGGATATGGGGGGTAATAGTAACCACAGTACAGTATTTAATTTTCAGTTTATCCGTGATGAGAATGAGCGCTGCCTCAGAGAAGCCCTGATGTTGTCTAAACTTGATTTTGAAGAGAAAAAAAAGTTTTATCAGCAAATGAAGAAGGAACAGCAAGAAGAAGGAAAAGGAGGAAAAGTTAAAAAGAAGAAAGATAAACCGTTAACGATGTCCCTAGACCAGTTCAACAATCTCCGCCCAGACCAGGTAGGTTCTCCCATGAACCTATAGCCTTTCTTCATGTAAGTTTACTTATTCATGTGTGTTTTTATTCATCTTCCAGTTAAGAATGTAGATTCGATCACTCCTTAGCCTTTTCATATTTTATGGTACAAGCAACATGCTTGAAGGTTTCTTCTCTTCTAAAAATTTTGTCAGTTGTATAATTTGCCCAGATGTATATATATACACATCTGGGCAAATAAACTATGACAGTGTCAGACCACGGAGGAAGAATTGAAATAGGAATTTCCTTAAGTACTTTCGTATATTAATACATCTTCATTCCTTCTGAAGATGTATGTTTGGTTTGCTCACCACAAAAGGGCATTTTATTACATTCAGTGCTTGATACTTATTTTTATTTTCAGCTTACGGGAAAATCTGAACCAGATGATCCTGTTCCACCTGGCCAGGAGGTAATGCAAGACCGAGAAAAATTCTTTGATGACATTGAGGAGGCAACTAAGAAAACCCTCGAGAGAGAGAGTAGACATGAAAATTATAAAGCCACAGCTGGACAGGTAATTACCATTGTGGTTATTCATTGTTTTTTTATTTCAAAGCTATTGCTTTATGCTCTTTTTTTTTATTGCACAATTACTTTTAAAATGTAGTTTGGTGGTGTGCTACTGTATTATCTATATTATGTAGTCTCATACTTTACATATCTTATGAGTGTCATATATATATTTTATTGGCACATTTACTACAATGCTTTATTTTAAAATAATATTTTGAGATTACTTAACCTTTCAAGTATGGCTATGGAAATAAGTGCATGTCTGCCCTGACGCAGAAAAATTAAGAATATAAAATATATATATTTTTCTTGTATAATTATTAATTTGGATGTAAGCTGTAGGGAAAATTAGAAATAAACTAAATATTTACACTTTTTAATGAATTCATGAGGTGTAGAAGGTTAGCAGGTGGTGGGCTCGGTCAGCATCTGTCAATGCCAGATGTGAGGTGTGCCGAAACACGGCTTGTGACAGATGACATTGACTTTGTTTCTATAATCGATTTTTACTCTTTTTAGTTCATTCACTATGAACTATTCAACTATGTGTTGAATAACTAGATTTGTACATGTTATTTACAAAAACCTGGATTTGAGTACATTACTAACTATAAAGATAATGTGTTAGGCCTAGAATGTGTAATTACACAAGCAAAATTCTGGTATCATTTATAATTGCTACTATTGATGAAGTTATTGTGTGCTGTAAGCAATGCTATTATCATCAAATCACAATTTTGTATTTCCTGCTGGTGTTTGGGTCTGTGTCTGATGACATTGACAGACTGAATATTAGCAAAGGAATATGTTGCAAGACACTTCCTTTGAGCTATGCCAGGAACAGACTTGTGTGCAATATACAAGTTTATACTACATTGTTGACCTATATACAGTACATTACTCATCACTGTTTTGTTAATTATGTGTAAAGAGAGTTTTTCCACACATTGCATCACCTAAAGTGCAACTGCAAAAAAATAAACCCTTTAAGGCAATCATCACAGATTTCACCTTGACTTAGCTTGTCAGCAGTATTACATCGCCATAATCCATGGACTGAGTGGAAACCTGGTTGATGGGGTTCTGGGAGTTCTTCTACTCCCCAAGCCCGGCCCGAGGCCAGGCTTGACTTGTGAGAGTTTGGTCCACTAGGCTGTTGCTTGGAGCGGCCCGCAGGCCCACATACCCACCACAGCCCGGTTGATCCGGCACTCCTTGGCCTGCTCCCTCTGTCACCTGACAATCTCCTGATGTGATCGAAACCCTTTTTACTCCACACTGGCAGAAGCCCCTTTGAACATAGCTGTACTTTAGGGCCTTTATATGTTCTCTTGTCTGACTCTACTAAGCACACACTTATTTCTCCCCATCACAACATTACTCTGAAAAGAAACTTATTTGATGTTCTGAGTAAGCATTTTGCCAAGTATGTGTGTGTGGAGTTTAGAGCAATGATCCTCTGTAAGCCTTGTACCTATCATTCTTCTTATTGGGGTGCTATAAGTACTGTAGGTGATTTTTAATTGTGTGTTTATTTTCTTATTTAAGTTTGTCACTGGACATTAAAATGTAATCGTTAGAGTAATAGCAAAACTCTTTGCTTAGGTCACCCAAGTAGTGTTGAGCTATTTGGTAAGGAAGGCCATGAAAGATTTTGTTCATTTTATATAATCTGACAGTATAAATGCACAGAATTGGAGGGCATTAAATTAACTGTAGCTATGTTATATTTGCAGTATAATCAAGAAGTTCGTGTATCTCAATATGAAGCCGAACTAGAAAAACGAGACTTTGAAATTCAGGCGTTAAGATTAGAAGTAGATTCGCTGAAGAGTGAACTCTTGTTGGTCAAGACCAGAAATAAGAAACTATGTGAGGTAAGGTTTCATAGAATGTGTTACTACTTTTAAAATTAATTATTCATGTTAAGTTGAAAGAAAGTGTTAAACATGTTCATGCATCTTCCATTATCAGTCTTATTTATGTTTATATATCGATACTTAGGTTTGGAGAAACTGCATCAGCCCTGTCAGTTTCTTTTCTTCAATTTTCATTATTTGTTTACTTCCTGGGCAATATCTCAATTGTCTGTATATATTTACTGTATTTGGAACTCGAGGTTTCTGTCTATAAGATTATAAGCTAAGGTTATTTTTTTGAAGTGGGGTGATGTATTAGGCTAATTTTCATCAGGGGTTCTTCATTCTTGTATAGAATCATGACAGTTAAATTGGAACGTGTTGGCCGTCACAGCCACATTAACTAGACTTTGTCTACTTGTGTAATTCCCAGTGAGCGTCCCCATTGCCTGGGTTTCCTACTTGGTCCTTCAGGCCTGACCAAGTAGGATTGAGGTAGGAATGTGGTTCTTTCCCAGCTTGCCAGGTTCAGGTTCCTAATGAAATGGCAAAAATCCCAGTTAGTTCTATCCCAGGTTCAAACTTGTCTGGGTCTCATGTGGGATTCTTGGTCTGTGTTGCTTTTCCTTCCTCCAGCAGCTTTGCTCTGGCTACAGTACCACTGCCTTCTGGTGTTGGGGTGGCCTCGGGTTACTTAGTGTTTGCTCGAGCAGTTGTGTGGGAGCCGGAACATTGCCCGTATGGTTTCTTGCTAGGCAAGGAGTAGATTAAGGGGCTGTTCTGGTTTCTCTAATTTTAACCCCTTTTGCCCTAATCTGGGAAAAATTGTGGGTGGATAAAGTTATATCCCTATCCAGTCAAAATGTTCCTAGAAGTCTACTGATGTTACCCAATCCAGCCAGTAAGCCGGACAAGCAGAGATTATTCCGGATCAGAAAGTCAGGCATCGGGCCGTACAGTATTAATCCCGTACGACTGTGGCTCCAGGCACGTGGTGTGGTGGTGGGGTGGGTGGGTGGATGGTGTCAGGAGAGAGGGAAGCATTGAGAGGGAGTGCCTGGGGGATAAGGTAAATAGATATTAAATGGATTTTCTGTGATTTATTTGTTTAATATGTGCCGGAAAGATGGGTCTTGATGGATTTGTACTTGCCTAAATGTGCATCAGGATTATTATAAAGATACCTGTATTTCACTACACTACTCTCTTGGTAAGGTAAGTCACAAATTTGAATATATTATAGTGATTGTAGGCCGTCAAATTTTTTCCTGCCGAGGGGGGCGGGGTTGCCTGGGGGGACTGACAGGTTGAACAAAATCCCATATGGAATGAATCAGCCTCGCCCTATACAGTTCGTTTAAGTGAGGACATACTATATGATATTTGATTCCAAGGACGAATGTGGAGATTTTGCTTTAAAGTGCAGATTTAGCTTGAGTTTAAGTATGAGAGTGCTTGTACCTGGTTAAATATACCTCTGTTTATATGTAAGCTTCCCTTACTGGAATTGTCTGGGTGTGAAGGGATAGTAATTCCTTCTTGAAGAAGTCCACCTTTGAGTAGCACTGTTCTAGTGCTTGCTTTGGCTCGGTATAACCCAATGGAACATTTTAAAACATCCCAACTGTTCCAGGGATGAGGATTTGATTGGGATCAGGGATCAGTCCTGATTGGCTTAGGCGATTCTTCCAATCATGGGAAGAACTGGACTTTGGCTATGAAAGAAACCAAGTGTGTTCCTTACATTGTGTTTTATCTGCACTAAAATCCTCATTTTTTCTATTATAAAAAAATTTCACTTAGATTTTTTAACCTCATTTCAAACCATGAATTTATTACAAAATGTTTTAAGTTTGTTTTTACATTCGTCGATTTATGCCCCGACATTAACATGTCAAGTTTTCCCCTGATGTGCTTCACTCCAAGGCTGAAATGCTGGTAAAATTTCTTCTGTGCCACCAACCACAGTGAGAGAGAGTATCTAGTTTGTATTAAAGCATGCATTTGTATAAAGATATATGAAGATGTTCAGTTAAGTTCATTCTAGAGAATAAGGGGTTCTTTACTTCAGTTCATTCATTCATTTATTCAAATTTCAATGTGTGATTTATAGAATGAGTAATATTTCAGGTATTTTGCTCTGCTGAAATGAAAAGCAAGGCAGAGTTAGTAGTAGAACTGGACAAAATGACCAAAGTACGGGAGGAACTCACGCAAGAAGTGTCGAACCTTTCTGCCCAGGTAGAACAAGAAAGGTCAAAAGTCAACCAACTTACGCTTGATCTAAAAAAGTCACATGTAAGTTACTTGTTTGCATTATGTTTTATTTGTATTTATTTTCTGAAAGATTACCTGTTCTTTTATTTTGTGTATATGTGAACCCAAAGGGTTCAGGAATATCAATAGATACTGAAAATATATCATCAGTGAACTCCTGCTCAAGTCAACAAATACAGTCAACCCAACCATCTCTTTCCTGTAAAATCTCTGTGGCTCTATCATAGAAACTAAACAGATTTGTTACACAGGATTTTCCTGATCGAAAAACATACTATCTGTTATTATATCATTTCTCTCCAGGTGTTTCACCATTTAGCTTTAATTATTTTTTCTAATGTTTTGATTACTATGCTTGTTAATGATACAAGGGTCTTCCCCTTGCTACTATTTTTTGTAGACTGGATCTATGTTAACTTTTTTCCGTATATTTGCCATGACCCCTGTTCACAAAGATGCCTGAAAAATCAGTTGGTAGAATGCTGAGCTCAGGTGCACATTCTCTCAGAACCCAAAGTGAAATTTCACCTGGGCCAATTGCTTAGTTCCTTGAACATTTTTCCACTTTGGCCAGACAGAGATGGACATATCTGTGCAGTCCGTTATTCTCAAAAATTCGTATTGTGTTTGGTTCTTTGAAAATTTCATTATGCACAAACACACTTTGGAATTGTTTGTTTAGCATTTCACAAATTTCCTGTTTATTCTATATGAATCTGTTCCCCCATTTTCTATCTCTGAATTTTATCCTTTACCTGCAATTTGCTTTTAATGGATTTAGAGATTAGGCCTGGTTTTTGTTTTACATTTGTCCACTAACCCTTTCTCAAGATTTCTTGCTGCCCCTCTTCTCACTGCTGTGTAGTTGTTTCTTACTTCTTTGTACTGCTGGTATGCTTGAGGGTTTGGCCTCTTCCTATAATGATTCCATTTATTTTTTCTCTGACCCTCTCACAATTTCTGTTGAACCAATCCTGCTTTCGAGCTCTGCATCTGTTTTGGTATAAAAATTGTTGTACCTTCATTATATATTTCACAAAACTTGGCATACATCTCATTTATATACGTCCTTGCCTAACAACAAAGTCTTTCCAATCAAATTTGAAGAACCTTTTTTAAGTTCTCCATGGTTATCTTATCTTGAGATGATTTCGGGGCTTTTTAGTGTCCCCGCGGCCCGGGCCTCCACCCCCAGGAAGCAGCCCGTGACAGCTGACTAACACCCAGGTACCTATTTTACTGCTGGGTAACAGGGGCATTGGGTGAAAGAAACTGCCCATTGTTTCTGGCCGGCGCCTGGGATCGAATCCAGGACCACAAGTCCAGCGTACTGTCCGCTTGGCCGACCAGCTCCCTACTGGTGTTCTCTCCTGAAGTAAAGTTTTCCACTGCTTCATTTTCCTCATTCTTTTCAAGATTATATTGAGATTATATTGCATTACATAATTTATTTTCAAAAGGACATAGTTGCTCTAACCCAAGGGAAGCAGGTACTGTCAAATATATCTTCTTCTTTCCTGGTGAATATCAAATCCAGCATTGAAGGAACATCTCCTTCACTCATTCTTGTAGCCTGCTTAAAGCGTTGATACGTTAGTGTCTCAAGTTTGAGATTTATGAATCTGCTAGTCCAAAAATCCTCCATCCTTGCTTCATAAGCCTCCCAATGTATTGATTTCAAGATGAAGTCACCAAGTACCAACAATTGTGATGCATATTTATCTGCTCTTACTGTAATATCTCTCAGGATCATTACGAGGCTCTTTCGTTTATCATCCCTCTCTGCAACAAGAGCATTATGAAGATGGGCAGAAAAAAAGAGGACCGAGATGAATATTAGCAACATAATATTATCACTAGACCATATAGATGGCAAAATGAAAGAGACTAGTATAATACTAGCCAACCTTTAAACATACAAAAAAGTTGTGCATTACTTGTGTATAATTGAAATTAAAATATGCAGCAGTGGGGCATATTTTAGGTGCATATGCACCCTAACTCCTTTAATATACATATATATTACTAAGGTATGTTGCTAAGTTACAAAAGGCTCAAAAGCATGCAACAAAATAGATCTCATACCTTCACTGTTGACTTAAGATGAGACCTCTGATTTCCTGCTACATCATCACACTCGACACCACACACCTATCCTGCTATTTTCTTACAGATTTACAGTAGTAAACATTGGCAAGCTTCAGTGGAAATTTGTATGTTAGTCTGAACATCATCATCTAATTTAAACATGATTCAGATGGATTGAATCTTTTTTTTTCCCCTTTGTGGACTAGACACTGAAATATTGCATTTGTATTTCAGGGTAAAAAGAAGCATAATGCAGAAGCGGCTAACAAGGACTAAAGCCAAGATCTTGGGGATATTAGTTGGGGAAAATGACATTCAACACTCTTCCAAAATGTTTATGGAGTTCTCTCTGCAGTATAATGTCAGCATGATAAAAAGACTATAAGAAATTTGAGCAGCCATAGTGGAGGTATAGTTGAGAAGTACAAATAATATTAGAACATTTCATTAGTTTATTATAGATTGAATGAGTAAATTTATATTTTATGAAGGCTAATCTTAAATACTAATGTTCTTCAAAATACTGTGTTAAGTATGCAGAAATAAGAGATGAATATAATCATCAGATTAGTGTATGTAAAAATAAGTTGTTTTGCATATATGATTGGCTGATTTTTATTAATTGTTAAATATCTTTGTAAAATGGCATTATGAACGCGTTTAAAACTGTTATTTTTCCTTTACATTTCTATACAATAAAGAGTATTTTATGTTGGGTAAGGTTTAGTTTTCTAAAATATTCTCACAAAGTTGTTGTGGAACTGTAAAACTAAAATTTTCCATGGGCTATATATATATCAAGAAGTTAAAATTTTGCTTCAAATCCTGTCCCGTAATACAGCATTAATTTTTTCCGGATAATTTACTCTTTTTGTAATGGTATGCACAATCATTACAACCATAGGCTGTGAATAGGAAGAAAAATAATGTGCCATTTGCTTGTATTTGTAAACATGATTGATAGTTATGGGAAACATTTTCACCTTACCCACTGCCCTACCCTTTACCTCCCCAGAAGGGGAAATTGATGGTACTGTGATACTTGTGTGCAAGTTGTTCACTTGGTTTAAATCTTGTAGATATATATAGTTCATAGATACATTTAATTTCACTTAATCTATACTGCCATCTAAGGGTTAAAAGCCCTTTACTGGTTTAGTAACCTTTGCCTGTTAAATAAGAAATTTAGTCCAGTATTGATACACAGGTATCATTGGGGGTGGGAGTCTGCACGGTTCCAGTGCTCATCGTGGTAACTTCACACAAATTTTGTGTATTAACAGTTAAGTGAACTGCTTCCAATCATTTGTACTGAGAGTAATCACGGAATTAATACAAAATTCATTCAGCTAAATACCTACTGTGGCAAGTCATGTTAATACTATCAGTAATTTGAAATACCGCAAATTATTTTAAATTTGTTTACAAAAAATGTATTAAAAGTACATACAAAACTCTAGACAATGTATAAATTATGTTTCAACTTTTTAAACACGTGAATACATATAATATGTCTCCGAGATGATGTACTCGTTCTGCCACTGGAGGCTGACGAGAGACCCCTAGAAGGAGCAGGGCATCAAGGACATGCAGAGATAAATATTTATTGTGTTCAGTTATATCTTTGTTCTAAAGATATAGGTACACGTCAGATATGCTGATAAAATATCACAGTAAGAAAATCCAAGTGGTAAACTATGAGTGTATACATTATCTGTATATTTTAATTTTATATATTACAGAATTGTAAGGAAAATACCTAATTCTTGAATTTCTTATAGCACTGAAGTATTATTTCATATTAAAGTATTATTTCTTAATACACTACCTTTTATTATCATAATTTTTGTATGTGCTCTTTCTTTGGTATATGATTATCTTCCTATTTTTACATACCCTTGTTCTTTGATCATTATTGCACTTTATACATGACCTTAGGACAATTTGTACATGAACAGTAATGAGTGAACTGAAGGAAAATATTTTACATGCATGAGATGTAGACTTGTTTTCTGCTCCTGGATTTGGTAACGTCCTTCACGAGGTTATCTCGGTACCATAAAATGTATCGTTATATAGTAAACATATGTTTAGCTTATTAGTCAGACTGATAGTGACCTCTTCGATGGCTAAACAGAAAAAGGAGGGGTCTAAAAGATCACACTGTTGATACCTTCACGTGAGTATAATTCGTATTTCCCAAATGATACAGCTGGTCATCACTTCGTCGCAGGGAATCAGACATGCCCGCAAGAATATATTACTGTAGGCAAACTTATTTTTTATGCTTTGCTTACCTTTCTGTCATCTGTTTTGATTTGTCCACTTTCCTGGTGGTCTTTTTCTTGTTTAGGGTCATCTATGATTCCCTGCAACTCTAAAGAGACTGGCCAGGTTGCCTCTGGTTCCCAGTAGGGTTATATAACTCGAGGGCATGGCATGGACTGAATTGGCTGGAGCTTGCCAGGCACCAAGGACACACCAGAAAGAGGCATTTAATTACATTTACCCATTTTTTCTCTCCTTTTCATGACTTTTCCATACAAATGTATTATTTTATTATAAATAATTTTTTGTAGGTGCGCAGATGGCAACAAATTTTATGATAGTCACTCTAAATGTGGGTTAATTTTCTAGATATTCTTCCTTTTCACCACACTGATAAGATAAAACTATTCTAAAAATCTGCCACAAAAGGGCTACATGATCAAGTAACAAATAGGAGAGTTTCTTGTACTGCAATATGAAAGTGCAAAAAAGTTTGTCAATACACAAAGGCATTCTCCTATTAAATGGCCACCTCAATATTTGGAGAAATAAATACCCTGTACTGTACTGTGAAAGCCAAATAGCATCCATATCAGGAATATCCAACAGTATTCAGAATAAGATTATATATGAAGGAAAATTATCTAGACTAACTCATTGAAAACAATTTTATTTTAGTATTATACTCTCATGAAACATAAAAATATTACAATAACCCGTAAGTGTTGTATAGTGAGAATTCCCTTAACAGACTAAGCTTTCGAGGAATGTTGTAGGAGGTGGACCTTCGACCTTTCGAAACAGAATTCTGGTACAAGAGCAGTAAATTAAAAAAATGTTCCATGAAAGTGGGGTCGAGTTAAAAAAAAAAAACAGCACATATTGACAATGTCAGCCTTTCAATTTTTAAATTAAACAAATTATTTATGAATTAAGTATCAGAGTAATTAAAATTGTTCTTTCATTTAAACCCAAAAAACTAATAATTGTAACCAGAATTAAGTGTGAAATGTACCAAAAATCGTACTTGCCAAAACACTTGCAAAGGTATAGCACCAATTGATCCATTCACCCAGAATTGCTCTGCATATTGGCTATTATATTCTACATTCTACACTTTATAATCTGTTCTATTCTATCTGTATCTTACTTATTAAAATATTCCCATGTTCAAATCCCATAACAATTATTATTAAATTAATATATTATTAATTTAATAACAATTTAATAACCTTGCTTTTGGAGTACAGGGTAAAAAACCGAAACTAATATTACTATCTCATACCTATAAGTATTCAACAAAGTCAGCCATCAAGACTTCATCTAACTCCAGCACTAAACACACAGTATTATTCAGGAAAATACTATTATTAGATGGATAAGCACTTCATCACCACCCCATGGGAAATTGGGTAATGAAAAGTGAATATGTATGTGTGTGTGTGTGTGTGTGTGTGTGTGTATATAAAAGAATTTTATACATTATCCTTGACTTTCTACATTTTCAGGACCCCTAAATCAGAATACTTACTCACACCCAAGACAGCAGGGAAGTTATAATAAACGTCACGAACATCACACAAAAAACAAGTATATCTATTTCTTATAACCAGTTCAGTCTACATAATTAATCAGTGCAAATAAAAGAGCCAGCTACAACACAGAAAAATCTCTCATTTATACAATAATGCTTTTAGATAAATGTTTATGCGTCTACTGATCCCATGAGAATGTCCCATTATATCTACTTACAAATGGGTAAAAAATGTCATTTACAGTATATATATTTTCAGGCCAAATGTAAAATTATACATAAATATTACAAACATTAAAAATCAAGCGACTATTCAATATAATATTTTATATGAAGGGAGTACAGTACCACCTCTGGCTGGAAGGGAAACCCTTAGCCTCGGAGGAAGCAACATATAATGCATTAGAGGGATATTATGTATATTTAATCTTTTATATTACTGTATATAGATTTGTATAGTATTTCCTTTTCATATTGTTTTATTGAATGATTTATCCAATGTCATTATATCTCAAGGTACAATATAAGTAAAACATTCATTTACAAATGGCTATATCTGATCACTGTAATTTTCCTGTGTAACTTTACTGGATTTTCCAACAGAAAAAATCCACCGCTGAATGTAATGAAATGCTTTTTTTCTTCCAGAGCCCTGGTGACACTAATCATCTAATTGCGCTTGCAGAAAGGTTGAGCTTTGGCTCTTTGGTCCCGTCTCTCAACTGTCAATCAACTGGTGTACAGTTGTGAAGCAATCTCGCTGAGATTGCTCCCTCCTAATGAGATGTATCAGTTACAAGAGAGCTGTCTGGCCTACTGAAGACCATAGTCTGCCCCTGTCCCCTTCCCCCCCTCTCACAGAGGTCCGGGGGGGGGGGTTAACGACAATCTGCCACCCCACTAGGAAAGCATCCAGAAAGTCAGCAAAGTTTTACAGATGACTGCAAGGTTCACAGAGCACAACACATTGAAACAACCAAATAACTCAAACAAAAGATTCGAGTCGCTCAAGACTAGCTTGAACCCATTAGTACCGACAGCTGCCACCAGGGAGCCTGGACCCCAGCCCATAGCTGACTCCCCTTTCTAGAGGAGTACATTTTGAGGGCTTTAAGGTAATTCAAATAGATTTGGTGCTTGGCCTACCAGAGACCAGAGGCAGACCCTGGCCCCCACACTGCAAAAATATCCAGAAAGTGGGTGAACAATACAAACCACTGCTGGGCTCAAAAAGAGATGGAAGCCTCAAAAACTGCCAAACGAACTCTCCCAACAATGTAAACATACGATAAAATCTCTCAAAACAAGTGCAAGCTTGTTAGCACCCCACCCTTCCCAACTTACCAGTTGGGGGAGTAGAGCACCCAGTGTCCTCTGGTCTACTACACCAGCTCTGGAGCAGTTGTACAAATAAAATTCCTCAACCAATGACCTGGAAGGGAGGGAATAAAATTTGGGAGCCATCGGGGCTTGCTCAAAAAGGTGTTTCATTACATTCAACTCTTTCTTTTTTTTTTTGGATGAGCGACTCGAAGACCCAAACCTGGCAAGCATCCGGATCCCTGGGCAGCAGATACACGGATTAACTAGCTGCCCACTCCAGCCAGGGATTGAGGTAGGTCAGAAAAAAAAATCCCTCAACAAACAAAGAAGAGTCATTGTGACCTTCGCCTTGTGGCACAGACGACAAACTCACACAAGGTGAGAGTGGGTTTGGAGGGGATATCCAATGGCCACACCAAAACCTGCAGTGGATGCCCAAGGCCTAAAGGACAAGCCAAGCAGTTCAACCAGGCACTGGGGTCACTTGCTGGATATTATAAAGTAAGCCGATACAGCCTGGTCAGTGCGGCCGTAATGTTCGACCTCGGAATACTGTGTGAACAAGTGCACAAACCACCAGCGCAGCCCAACCAGGGGCCTAAACAGAGGGGTGAAATGACCCTTGGTTTACCCAAGGAAAGACCAACCTCTAATAGCGTGATCTTCCTAACACAAGAAAAGGCAACTCTGTCAGTGCAGAGAAGGCGCTTGGGAGCACTCGGGTAATGTAACCCTGAGCACATACAGCTCCAAGTGCCCCTATGAGCCGGGTCCAAACAATACAAAACAGACAGAAAACACTTGTGAAGCAGAACTAAAACCAAGCAAATGGCTCATGCAAGATAGAGTCCAAGAATGGCTAGCATTTAGTTTAGAAGCAGCAGAACCTGCACTGCTCACTGATTACCATGGAGCCCTAAAGTGGATGTTCACACACATACCCTCATCAGCGATAGAACTGGTGTAGTAGACTAGAGGGCACAGGAGCTCCAGGACCCCAGCAACTTGTGGGGAGGGGAGGTAGTGCCAATACACTCTTGCTTGGTATGAGGGATTTGATCATTTGTTTACATTGTTGGGTGGTTTGCTTAGCAGTTTTTGAGGCTTGTTTTTTTTTAACCCAGCAATGGATTAAATTGGTCCACTTCTGGATGCTTTTTTCTGTGAGGTGTTGAAGTGTCACATGCTTTCTGTGCCTCTGTGAGGGGGACCAGGTTCTACGGCTGATGTGATCTAGTAGTTAAAGCCATCCCAGAAAGCCACTTCAGGCAGCCCCAAGGGTCTCACCGCAGGAAATACTGTACAAACAATAATATGAATACTCCTATAACCCAAGAATACTTCCTCCCTCCTCTGTGCTATACAGTAATTGTAAAATATGAGCATATAAAGAGAGAAAATATGATTGGTGGGTAAGTTGTTGGATATGTAGACACTTGGGGTAGAATTGTGAGTGGAAATAAGTGTATAGTGGGTAGAGGAGTGTGTGATTGGTGGTAGTGTGATGGTTGGATTACCTGCAGCGTAGGTAGGGTTAGGCTAAGTTATGTCTGAGTTGGGTAAGGTGTGCATTTTTTGTATAAAATTAGGGCCTGTTGGTATTCACCTAGTTGTGCCTGCGGGGGTTGAGCTCTGGCTCTTTTGACCCGCCTCTCAACTGTTGAACTCTCAACAATCAACGTATTTTATTTATTTTTTCCCTCACACACAGGAAGCAAAATCTCCCCCCTCCCCAGGTAGCAGCCCGTAACAGTTGTTGAACTCCCAGGTACCTATTTCCTGTTCCTGCTAGGTGAACAGGTGCATCAAGGTGAAAGAAGCTCTGCCCATTTGTTTCGGTCATCGCCAGGGATCAATCCCCAAGATTACGAGTCTTGAGTTCTGTCAACTCGGCCCCTTCTACACAGGCCCCTTCAGGGCCTGTGGCTTGGTGGTTTAACAACCCTGTTACCGAACCAGTATTTACACAAGCCTTTCCTAAATCTAAACTTATCCAATTTATACCCATTGTTTCGTGTTCTCTCTTGTGTTGATACTTATGGTAGAGACATATGGTAGATGTGGGGAGTGTAGGTGGGCACATGGTTCGTGGTGGTTGGGTGTGAGTGTAAGTAGAAAGTGTGGGCATAGTGTGTTCAAAGGTATCGGTAAGGAAAATTTAGATGAAGCGAGTCTTAACCTTTCGTTAATACCCCCAGCACTAAAGCACTAAACAAAATAAAATTTAGATGCTCATATTTCACAGTGGCAATACTAATATTCCTCATTTTTCTAGTACCTTCAAGGAAGCAATGAATAGAGTAAGGACTAAAGTTCAAGTAATCGTAATCTTTCTTGTGTTACAGGAAGAATCATTTTCCTTCTCTTAAAGAGTCTACAGTCATCCAAGAAAAAATTGCATTGGATTGAAAGGCATTCAAATCTGTTTTCATTACCTTAATAAATTGCTGTAAAAAACTTGGTATGTTTTACTGTAACAATATATCATACACAATACAAAATATAAAATGACTGTTTCAGACTTTACAAATATTAAAAACCAGCAGTGAAAGTAATCAAAATAGTTGCCATTGAACTTCAATTCTCAGACTGAAAGAAATCTTATTTGTTATAGCGCTACAGTAAAGTGTTTACTTTTAATAACAGGTTTTTAAGATTTGTATTTTATGGTATAAATGTCAAGAGAATATGATAAAAGTATTCTTGCAATACTCAACAGAATATACTCAATACAACAATGTAATGTATTGATAAAACAATGCAGTACCCTTAGAACAAAATAAACTAATTACAAAAATACAAGTACCTAGTGTACTAGCTACCTACAACAGATAAATAATTAAAACCATGAGGGTTTTAATTAAAACTGGCTGCCTCAACTAAGTAATTAGATTAACATAATATGCCCTAAGTCAAATTTGGAGCAAATTGAATGTTATCTGGCTTGGGCTTCAATGTTATTGTGATACTAACAAATTCCTTATACAAATTATAGCATTTGTTTCCATGCTTGGCACCATATGGCCAGACTCCAGAGCTTCAATTCAATATTGTGCTGTACATCAAATAGTTTAACCCCTGCACTGTGCAAAGCGCCTTTAGGCACTCTGAGAGTAGTGCTATTTTTTTTAATTAGGCTATATTTTAATGTTTTTTTTAATGTTTTCATTACTCTTTGTGTTTATAAATGAAAATAGTTGAGTTTGAAAACATTGACATTAAATTTACCTGAATATTTATAAAAACAACAAGAATATGTCCTTGACAATTGCCCCAAGAAGATTTTGATGAAATCAGGTGTGCAGTGCAGGGGTTAATCATAAGAGTTTGAAGAGCTGCCAAAAATGGGCTACATAAATCCTATATAAGAAAAAGCCGATTAAGGAGCCTTAGACCTGAACAAATCCACAAGGGCCGTGACGAGGATTCAAACCTACGTCCGAGAGCATCCCAGATGCTGAGCTACGACATGGTATAAGAATTGCAACCAGAAATTCTACTTAATTTACTTGGATCCTACAGCCTCTCCGAGACACAAACCAGGATTTTACACAATTCCTCCATGCACTTGAGCTATGCCAACCAACTGCCAGTCGATTAAGGGAGTATCTGGGATGCTCTCGGATGTAGGTTTGAATCCTCGTCACGGCCCTTGTGGATTTGTTCATTTGATGCATCATGCAATTGTGATTTCTGTGTGTAGCCTTAGATCTAATTCTAAGCAAGAGGGTAGGAGTAATGCAGATATATTGACCAATTACAAATAATTTCACACAAATTCAAAACAATTATTTCTCAAAAGAGCCACCAGGGAACTATAAAGTAAAAAAAAAAAAAGAGAATATCAAAATACAGTACAGTAACAAATACTGTACAGTCCTACAGTTTACAGTATGAGACTATAAAATACACTGGAAATGTACATGAACTGTAAATACAAAGAATTTTTATGGATAACCATTTTGTTATGTGCTTGCAGAAGGCACAACACAGGAACAATACTGATCTATATAACACAGTTGAACCTGTTGGAATTATACTTTTATGATAGTAAAAGTATTGTTTGTGTTTGTAAGAAGACTAAACTTCACTTTCTTCAATTATATTTGAATATATTTGTACAGTACATCTCTATTAATGCTATATTCTACCAGACACACATTATTTTAACAATGTTAAGTCTAACATCAATGGTATTGGTCCAACTTTTTCACTAACAGAGTATCCGTTAGCATCTTTATCCTATAAAATCTTTACAATTTATAAATCTTTGAAACTAAGAAACTAAAATATGCCAAAGTAAATGCATACACGTGTTTCAATTTTATTCTATATTTACGATATCCCAGTAATGAAGCTAATTATAAATGAAGCCTTGCTTTATCATAATACATTTTCCATTTATTTGACCAAACTTCCAAAACAAAATCTAAATTTATATCTTCCACTGGAGAACCTTCCAGTAAGATTAGAAAGGGGTGATGAACAGTACACGCATTATCATCATTGTTACTGGACAACACCTCCAAGACTGCAAGGTTAAACATATATTGATCAGTGTCAGCATGGAGAAAGGGCAACACTTTAACCTTTTGGTATATGTGAAACAAGCCTGGGAAGTCTTTACATAATTCTGGCTCTTTAGCAAAACATTCTAATAGCTCATATATACAGCAGTTTTTGTTTTTAGAGAGTTGCTTGCACATTCTTTGAAGGCTGTGCAAACACTGTGTACTTGCTCCTTCGTAATTGCACTTTAAATATGTTAGGATCTTCCCCACATCATTAACTGTCAATTGCCTAAGCTTCCTGGTGATGACTTCTACAAGTTCTTGTTCTGGAGTGTGTAAAGACGTTATTACATGAGAAAGATACATGTCAAATAATGACAAAACGATATACTCATCAGAGTCAAGTTTTTCAACCGATCTCAGTTTGGCACATACAGTAGATCTGAGTTTCTTACTTGATGTGTATAGTTCCATGTATGAACAATCTTCTTTGGTGAGCAGTTCATGTATTTTTGGTAGTAGTGACACACACTCGCGCACTGAATACATATTTTTCCCTTCGAATTTACTAAAACTAAGAGCATCCAGATTTCCAGTTTGATTAAAAAGATCAGTGCATGTTTTTTTCAGTTCATTATGATAACAAAAATAAAATTCAATGATTCTCTCATTCACTAGACAGCCATGGCTAAATGGATTCTCAACTTTGATAAATTCAGTCACTTCTGGAAATTTATTTAGCATATAAGTTGAAGACTTGCAAAGTCTGGTTAGAGTTTCAAGATGAGGAAAGACTTCCTTCAACAAATCAACCTTTTCAAGCCACTTCATAAACAGACTGAATGGTGGATAACGAATTGGCAATTCTGATTTTTTAACATTGGACGGAGTCACTATTTTGCCAGGAAAGTTACTAAATGAAATCATCTTTGTTAGGTCAACTTTCCTACTCTGTAGATAATCTGTAAATGCCATTGTTTTACCTGGACAATAAATTTCAGAACAGAAGAAGTGTTCTTCTGGCTCTCCCTTTAAATTCAGCCAACGTAGAATAGCAAAGTTCTTATCCTCAGCAGCAGTTACACTAAAGAATGGGCTCTTAGCCAGAGATTCTAAAAGACTAATTTCTACATTCTCAGCGATTCGCTTAATCATGAATGATGTAAAATATTTCATGTGGAGTGATGTTTGAGGGCCTGGAAAGGTTCCTCCATTATGTTTAATTACAGAGCTTACAAGATCATCAAGTCCATTATAAAAGCTCTCCTTTAATATAGGATATAGAATTTTAAATAAAGTAACTACAATGGTTCTTCTGGATTCAACCATTTTGTGAAAAGGAGCTTCTTGATGGAAGCGCAAATGTCCAGCAACAAAGTGTACATCAGAGGGAGCTTTCAGAGCAAACACTATATGAGAACAAGAATGTGCAGCACCCCATTCACATATTTTGCACAGAAAACTATGATCTGTTTCTCTGAACAGCATCCATGGGAACACCTTGAGCCAAGCATTAATACAGCTTGAAACTTGAGGAAAGCTTGAAACAGGATTATTTTGTGATGCTGAAGTTGAAATTGAACAAGCTGAAGAACGTGACGGGACAATTTCCAATTCTGAATTAGAACTTATTTTTTGGTTTACAGAACTTACGTTTTGTAATGTATGATTAAATATTACATCACTGATTTTATCTGCAGTTTTATTAGACTTTATTTGAAAGCTGCCTCTTTCATTAGAAAGAGGTAGAGTGGTCATATTTTCTGAAAGAATGTCAGGTGAATTATTTTGGGAATTCTGACCATATTGACTCTTATCAGGAATACATAACTGATTTCCACAGCTGGTATCCATACTCTCGCAAACTTTTAATATTTGTAATTCCATACCATCTCCATGCATAATATTCACAGTTGCTGGAGAGTCATCTTTAATATTCTGACACTTTTCAGTTTGATTAATAGATACTTCAGCATTTCCTGTCTGGTTACCATATATATTTTCTTTTTGGTTTGATGAAGAAGCTAGAGAAGTAACTTCAGTTATTATTGGAAGTCCTATTATTCCACTCTGTGAATTAACTAAGTTACAATCTTGAGTTCCATTCACAGCACCAGAGACTGAAGTTTCTGACCAAACATCCTTAATTACAGGTAAGTTATTGTCGAAGGTTTGATCAGTTATGCCCAAGTTGGGTAAACATTCATTCCTTGCAGTTTCATTTCTCATACTGACAACCTCAGTATCACTTATCTTTGCTGGAAGACAATTAAAATAATTAAAATTCATCTGATTATTATTTGATAAATCAACAGACTGGGACTGCAACGATAGTCCTACTGAGATGTCTTCTTGGATAAAATTATTTCTAATTATTTTATCGAAAGTCTTCCCAAGACTTGATCCTAAAACATTTTCTGATGAACAAAATCTCTTGGTTGCAGGTAACAAACTTGTGCTATTTTTGTTTACTTTATCATCATCATTTCCTTTTCTTTTAGTACCTATATTTTTCATAATTGTTATCAAATTCTTTGGTACCACTGATGCACCTCGATTTCCTTCAGTGTCAGATATTCTCAATGCCTCCTGAACCTCCTGAATATGTCTTCCAGACATTATTTAAACAGTTTTTGAGATATTCACAGAATATTTCTGCAATGCTTCCAGCTTAAGTTGCACAATTGGTGAAGTTTGATGACAGTATGCTTGCATATGCTGGTTCGCGTCTTGTGAACGGCTAGCGACACCAGTTATCTTGTCATTTCCTATATTACTCTCAACACTCGTGACTGGTGATGAATGTGACCACACAATACAGTAAGGCTTTGTTTCACACAGTTTGTGAATTATACAATACTGCTATTTATCACAGTGAAGTTTACCTGTGACTGACAGCCATAAGACAAAATTTTGTGGTGTTTTGGAATATTATGACTCAAATTCAAAACTGTTCATGATCATCATAACTCCTGTTCATACTGTTCACGGTTTCCTCATTCTAATGAGTGTTTCTGTTTTAAACAGGTACCAGGCCTATTGGCTAGTGTGTGAGATTTAACCCAAAGGCCAAGATAATGGACTCGTCCTACTTGCTTGATTCCTTTATAATTTGGCTTGCCCAAGAAGTCTTATCTTACTGTGCCAGACAGCATTACAGCACTTCTAGAAGTTCTGAAAAGTATAAATATTCAATAAGCTTCTAATAAAAAAATTCTCGAATTGTATATTTCTACATGTTAAGAAAACCAGTGTTGGGTGTAATAAATGTCTCTTTGGTGGGGTCTGAGGTGGCACCCTGTTGCTAGCCACTTTGGTTAGCTCCTCACCTATCCAGGCCCCTTGCTAGTCAATAAGAGTTTATTGGAGACAGACCAGAGTTCAAAACCTGCTCCCCCCCCCACCACCACCAACTCACTCACAGAGACACAGAGAGCAGGGAATCTGTGATCACCGTCATCATGACAGCAACCCCCAGATTGGTATGGCAAGACAAAGCAGACAACAGCATGGCAGATCAATAAATCAGCATATAATTCACCCTATTTCCATCTGCTCACCACCAGATGGCAGAACCAAAAGCTCATAAATTAGTCAGTGAGCCACCTTAGTCAAGAATCACCCTAAAGGAAATCGTGACTCACCTGGAGGGGTACAAGGGTCCAAGGAGCTACATCGGATTCACCAGAAAGACGTTTCATTACATTTAACACTGACTTTCAGGGAGGGCTCTGAGGTGGCTCCCTGTTGCTACCTTAAACAAAACATAAAAAAGGAACACACCAGGTGAGGAGAGCAGAAAACTACAATCCCTGTAGGTAGGGGAATCAGCAACGGGAACTCTACCCTACACCATGCAAGCCCAGCACAGACCAGGCACATCCACCAGAGAACAACCTGCCAACCCCCCCCCACCCCCCTGCCCTAAGCTCAAAACATTCAACCAAGATATATTCCTAAAGATGGCAGACAATGTGATGCTTGAGAGGTTGGCTGGCATCAGAACTGGTTTAAAAATTTGTGTAAGCACGCATTTAGAACCTTGTATATCATATATGTCAAACAAATCCTGGAGTATGCAGCTCCATACCTAGTTAAGCATAAAACAAAATTGGAGAAGGTATGCTACCAGACTAGTTCAAGAACTATGAGGTATGAGTTATGAGGAAAGGCTGTGTGAATTGAACCTCACATTGCTGACAGAAGAGTTAGGGGGGAAGGGGGAAGACATGATTACCACATACAAAATTCTCAGGGAAATTGATAGGGTAAAGACATTATTTAACATGGGTAGTACTAACATGAGAAACACAGGTGGAAATGTGGAGTACCCAAACTATGGAGGTGGACTATGTGGAGTACCCAAATAAGCCACAGAGATATTAACAAAAAAATTCAAGTGTCAGAGTAGTTCATAAATGCAATACATTAAAAAGTGATATGTTGGAGGCATACTGTTTCACACACATACTGTTTCAAATGTAGATATGATAGAGCCCAATGGGTTCAGGAACCTGTACAAATATGCCAAAGCTAGAAAATAGAAGAAAAAAGTGATATGATCACTATGTATAAAAGTTACAAGAATGAATAAAATTGATGAAAAAGAATTCTTGAGACCTGTAACTACAAGAACAAGAGGTCACAGATTTAAGTTAACTAAATGAAGCTGTAAAAAAATATATATATATATATTTGAAAATTCACCATCACAGAGTGGTAGACAGTTGGAACAAATGAGGTGGTGGAGGCCAAAACCATCAGTAGTTTCAAAGCATTTTATAATAGAGTGCTGGGAAGACAGGACACCGTAAGCGTAGCTCTCATCCTGCAGCTACACTTGAGTAATTACACTTAGGTAATAACCAGTTAATTGACAGTTGAAAGGTGTGACCAAAGAGCATAATTTCAACCGAGGGTTGAGTTTTCAAACACACATAATGATCCCCAGAGGAGACTGCAGACTGTGTTAAATTTGATGACACTGCAGATGACCTCAGATAAACAGGCCTTAGAGCAAGGAACCAAGGATACCAGACCAACAGCCAACGTGTTGCCCAGAGCATCCTGAGAAGTGCACAAATAATGGCATGCATCCACAACCAGGCAGACAGAAGACACCCCCAGCAGAACAAAACCAAGACTAGACAATGAAAGGACCCTACCAGAGAGCATGAATCTCCCCAACCCATCAACAAGAAGTCTAAGCCGAATGCTAATATAACAAAAAGAGCTCAAGAGCCCAGCTATTGGAGGAATGAAGGAAGGAGGAATTGAAGATAGGGGGAAGAGACAGAATATCCCGAGGCACTGTTAGGTACCAACCCGTGTGTGTGTGTGCGCGCGCGCAAATATAAGTATGTTTAAATCACAAATAAATTAACACATGATAAATAATGTGACACTGTTAAACCCCGAAGGAAAATGAAACAAGAAATTACTTATGCACGGACATAGGTCTTAATAAAAAATCATCAGAAGAATGAACATTACAATTCTGTGGAAGGAGATATATAGGCAGGAAGGATACATGTGAGGTGAAAAAACAATGTTCTTGTAATATTGGTTCATGAACATAAGAACTGAAAACAGGTGAAAGCCTAATAAGGAAGATGTGAGTTCTAGGAAGCAACATCCCTAGTGAGATCACTGTGTATTGTATTAATGTTCTTACTAAAATCATTTTTTTAATTGATCAATTAAATATAGATCCAAATTATACAAACCATTACAGTACTAATCTTCATACTGTATGGCTTTTATTATAGTGTAGGTTTAGGATTTCTATGCTGGTAAATGTCCCATTGATGGGTGGAAATTGTAGATAATTTTTGCCTTGTATATGTTGTGCTAAGTATCATTCCTATCATGTGTAGTAATAATATGACTAGATCCAACCTGGAACACTCCCTAAGTGTATGGAAATCCAACATTGCTTATAGTGACTCAAATAATATTCCTACTTATTGACCTAGTACCCCTTATTACCTAGTTTCTGTTGGACCCATATTTAATTTCAAAGATCTCATTCAATGGTGTTGGTAAAGACACGTTCAACATATATTTTTGTAAACTTTAAGGCTATGAGAATAAATTCAGTTCTTATCTTTATACTATTATTTAAAACCTTGTTCTGTGTAACTTAATGAAATTGTCCTTAACAGTGAGCCGCAGAAACCATGAGCAGTTTTAGTGGGGATATCCATTGGACCACTGAACCAGCAAGGGTTTTCCAGGGTCCGCAGGGAATGACCCTGCAGGAAGTTCAGGCACTGGGAATGCTAGTGCCTGATTAGGAAACACATCTCCCATGTTATCAAAAAGGGAAGTCTCTTTTGTGTTGAAAAATGAAGGGAATAGTATCAAGCAGACATTTGAACAGGTATAAGTAAGCCAAACCAGCTCACCAGAGGGTGAGAAGGCTGACCTCGACATACCGGGGTTAGGTCGCACAAACCCCAGTAAAGAAAACAGACAGGGAAAGGGCAGCACTAGGGAATACACAGCGAAGAAAACCCTGTGCACATGCAGCCCCAAGCACCCTATACTCCTAGCTCACACACAGTACAAGTGTGCTTTGGAACAGCCACAAAGGCAAAAAGCCACTACTTAGCTGAAGCAAGAAACAAGAGTGGACAGCCAGGGCACTTACTACCATTAGCAAGAACTGAGGGTGGAGCAGCTGGCTGACATGGTTTACCTTTGTCCTGCCCCAAACGAGGGAGCGAGATGAAGCGATTGCAGTACTTTCATGACTTTTCGACTGTTTCTTTACATGGAGTTCTTTTGGTAATTCTGAGGCATCAATATTTCCTCATAACTAGCAGTGGTCTGTTTTGTTTAGCTGACTTTGTGGAGGCAGACAAGATTCAAGCTCACTGATAATTTGATCGTAATGCCACTGCTCTCTGTTTCTTGTCAGAGGACCAGATTTTGACTGATGGCCCCTGGTAGGCCTAAAAGAATTGACTGATGGCACCTAGTTTAGCACTTTATCAGCATTGTAGCTTCAGGGAGCCACATGGGGCTCTTCTAAGAAAAAATAGGAAGTGTAAATGTGAAAATCCAAAGCAGCACAATTATCAATTGATGGCACTTACCAAACTGGGTAATTTATAATTCTGTTGCCAGCACTTACTAGGCCCAAGGGCCTGTTTTGAAGGTCAAGAGCCAAGTTGAATATTACATGATTAGCAAATGGTTTTTTAAGCACATGAACTTGGTCACTTATGTCCTAGGGTATATTTTTGTGAATAGATGGTGATCTCTTAGTGCAACCAAAGGGTTTAGAGATGATGTTTTTAAACATAGCTGGTATCCGGCTGATACCAGCTATGGTATCCGGCTTTAGTGTTGTTGACAAAAGCTTTCTTTATTGGAAGTACATTTGACTAAATTCTAAGTGTCAGAAAACAAACATAAAATAGAACTAAGATCAGACCCAAGAGAGATGGCCTACAAAGAGAGAGGTCCAGTTGGGGTTACAAGAAAAGGAATATGATTGAAGAGTAAGGGACGCCTTATATTTAGAAGAAAGCACAAAGTATATAACTTTCCACTTGAAAAGAATACGAGGAGAGATTAAAAGGTAGGATATAAGGATGGAGTGAAGAAACAGTGCACATGGTTCTTTCTAATGTTAAACACTGAAATTAGGAAGAACTTTTTCTGTGTCATAATAGTTAATGAATGGAATGCATTAGGAAATGATGTGGTGGAGGAAGACCCCATACACAATTTCAAATGTAGATATGACAGAGCTCAATAACCTCATGAATCGGTACACCAGCAGATTGATAGTTGAGAGTAGGGACCAAAAGCCGAAGCTCAACCCCCACAAGCACTGTACTGAATTACTGTTTAGATAGTATTTTTTGTAATTATTTGTACCAGTGTACATATTGGTACATAGGCATAATGGACAATTAAACAGTAGAATTTGGTATTACAAATATTCACTATATAAAAAAAGCTAAAAACCAAACTTAAGAAATTCCTAAGCCTAGAATAGCACATACATGTAATATTTTGGCCCTCAGATAAGAGTGTATTAGGCCCAGGAAGGTTAGATTAAGTTTTATAATCATACATTGCATCAGTACAAAACTTTTTCCAGTTTGTCCAAATTCAATAGTATCGATTTCTACTTTCTAATTGTCTTTCACGGCAATGTATGTACGATGGTGCTGATCATTACTATAAGGGAATTACAAGAAGCGAGGCTGTTACTGAACTGAACAGTTGGACAAAAGTTCAAAGTGGAGTTATCAGCATAAGAATATATAGCATAAGATATAATAAGATCTGAAAAGATCAAGGAAAATGTTTCAGAAAATAGACAACATAAGACAACCTTATGGAACACCCCAGTTTAAGGAGGGAGAGGGCCCTCAATGTCAGAGCCCATCATTGAGGGTTAAAGTGAGCCCTCGATGACAGCAGGGGACAGTTCTACCAGCGAAAGTTACAAACGAGCCTAATATAAGATCACTTTAGAAAACCCAAGCACGGCAGTTTGGAAAGCACAGATTCAAGTCATACAATAACAAAAGCATTAGGAAAATCCATAACAATGTATTATTGCATGATAAAATTATTTTTAAATTACTATCACTGCTAAATTAATAAGGACCTATTAACAAATGCACCACAACGTTTAAATGTTTATTTGATATTCTGTAACAAAAGATTACCTTTTTACAAAATACTTTATAAATCTCACAGCAATATATTATACCAGTTGATTATATCAGTTAATTTATATAATTTAAAAGCATTAATCAACTGAAATGCATAATGCATATTAAAACCATTTGTCCATGAACCCACATTAATAAACTAAAAATGTAGCATTTTCCATTTATATGCCCAAATATCCAAAAGTTTACCAATATCTATATCTTCAATTGGAGGACCTTCCAATATAATCAGCGAGAGCAAAGGTATATAATGCTTTTCAACTTTGTTACTAGACAGCATCTCTAAGACTGCAAGGTTAAACATATATTGGCCAGTGTCAGCTTGGAAGAAGGGCAACACCTTAATCTTCTGATAAAAGGAAAAGAGCTCTGGGAATGCTTTACACAATTCTTGTTTTGTAGCAAAACATTCTAAGAGCTCAAATACACTGCAGTCTTCACTTTTAGAAAGTATTATACAAAGTCTTAGAAGAGTTTGCAAACACTGTTCGCTTCCTCCTTCAAAACTGGAGTTTAAATATCCAGTGATCTTTTCTACATCATTAACTGTCACATGCCTTAACTTCTTGGCGAAGATATCGGCAAGTTTTTGTTCTGGAGTGAGTAAAGAAATTATCACATGAGAAAGATACAAGTCAAATAATGACAAAACTGCATACACATCAGCTTCCAAATTTTCTCGAACTTTCATTTTGGAACACACTGAAGATCTGAATTCATTAATCATTGTATACAAGTTCACATATGAGCAGTCTTTTTTAGCAAGCAGGTTATGCAGCGTATGAAGTAGTGACACGCAACCCTGAACCGAAGTACTGTTTTTTAATTCCCATTTGCTAAAATTAAGAGCATCCACATTTCCAGTTTCATTATGTATTTTAACACACACACTTTTAATTTCATTAATAGCACCAAAAAAGAATTTCATGATTTTCTCATTCACTAAACAGCCATAGCTGACTGGTTTCTTAATTTGAACTACTTCAGCTACTTCAGGAAACCTAGCAAGATCTGGATGTATCCTACAAAGTCTAGCAAACATCTCAAGGTGATAAAAGATATCTTTCAACAAACATGTCTTTTGGAGCCACTTCATCAGCATATTAAGTGGTGGATAACGAATTGCCAATTGTGATATCTGTGCACAAGATGGAGTCACCTTTTTGTTGGGGAAGTGACTAAATGATATCAGCTTAGTCATATCAACTTCCCTTTTCTGCAGATAGACTCTAATTGACATATCTTCTTTTGGATGACAAATTTTGGAACAGAAGAAGTGCTCTTCTGGTTCTCCCTTTTGATTTAGCCAACGAAGAATGGCAAACTCCTTATCTGCAGCTGAAGTTATACTGAAGAACGGACTCTTAGCAAGAGATGCCAAGAGATCCATTTCTATGTATTCAGCAATGCGCATAATCATGAAGTAAGTGAAATATCCCCTTTGTGGTGGATCTTCAGGGCCTGGAAAACTTCCCCCATTATGGATAACTGCATACTTTACGAGATCTTGCAGTCCCTTATACAAACTATGCCTAATAAAAGGATAAATACTTTTGAAAAGAGTAATGACAAGTGATATCCTGTGCTCAGTGGTTTTATGAAAATGAGTTTCTTGGTGAGTGCGCAGGTATCCAGCAACAAAAAGGACATCTGAAGAATCTTTCATAGTATATACCATGCTCTGTGCATGACATTCAGAAGTATTTGCACCCCATTTGCATGTTTTGCAAAAAAAGCCATGATCCGTTTCTCTGTACAGCATCCATGGGAACACTTTGTGCCAAGCCTCAATACAGCTTGAAACTTGAGGAAAGCTTGAAATAGATTTATTTATTGAAGTAGAAACTGAGCAAGCAGAGATACCAGATTTTGAATTAGAACTCATTTCTTGGTTTACAGTACTTAAATTTTGTGATGCATGACCATCAGTTATTTTAGTTGCAGCTTTATTAGATATGTCATTAGAAAGAGCAACAGTGGTCACCGTTTCAGAAATGTCAGGTGAATTCTTTTGGGAATGACGACCATACTGTCTCTTGTCTGAAGTGCGTAACTGATCTCTCCAAATGGTATTTATATTCTGGCTATCTTTAATTATTTGAAATTCTCTGCCATCTTCAGTCAATGATGTATTGAAGCCCCCAAGTTCATTTGGGTTTTGCCTATTTCCATAGATAACATTCATACCTGCTGAGGAGTCATTTTCAGTATTCTGACACTTTTCAATTTGATTAATAGATACCTGAGCATTTCCTGTTTGGTTACCATATACATTTTCCTCTTGGTTTGATGAAGCTAGAGAAGTAACTTCAGTTATTATTGGAAGTCCCATTATTCCACTCTGTGAATTAACCAAGTTACAATGATGAGTTCCATTCACAGCACCAGAGACTGAATTTTGTGACCAAACATCCTTAATTACAGGTAAATTATTGTCAAAGGTTTGATCAGTTATGCCCAAGTTGGGTAAACATTCATTCCTTGCAGTTTCATTTCTCATACTGACAACCTCAGTATCACTTATCTTTGCTGGAGTATGTGAATAATTAGATTTCAACTGAAATGCAGAATTACTATGACATTTGGCATGCTGAACATTATTTGATAAAACAACAGACTGGCCCTGCAACGATGCTCCTACTAAGATGTCTTTTTGGATCAAATGCTTTCTAATTTCATTATTGGAAGCCTTTGCAAGACTTGATTCAAAAGCAGTTTTTGATGAACAAAATCTCTTGATTGCAGGTAACAAACTTGTGCTACTTTTGATAACTTTATTATCATCATTTCTTTTTCTTTTGGTACCCATATGTGCTGTAATTGTTATAGTATTCTGTGATACCACTGACGCACCTTGATTTCCTCCATTGTCTGAAGTGATGAATGTTTTCTCCCCCTGAATGTCACTTGAAGAGGTGGCTTTTGACAAAAGTTGCACAACTGGTAAAGCTTCAACAGAAGGTGTTTGTTTATGCTGGTTCCCATCACCAGGACTACTAGTAACATTAACTTTATTGTTATTTATTGGAGTGTTCACATGCACAATGGGAGAATCATCACATAATAGAATAGGGCATTGCTGTACACTGTCTTTGTTCTGAGCTAAGTCAGACTCTTGTCTTTCATCACTTATAGACTCACACTCTGAGCGAACAGCTGATAATTGTTTAAGCCTATGACTTGTGTTGACACGGTTCTTTGTTTTCTTCCTCCCTTTTAACTTTCTGATACTAGTGCAGTCACTTGACCTATCGGCTAATGCGGGAGTTTTGCCCACAACATCACCAAAGTTATAAATTCTGCCATCTTGCCCGATTCCTTTATAATTTGACTTGTTGCAGGGCTCTAGCCTTCCTGCACCAGAGAGCAGTGCTTCCAGAAAATCTGAAAAAATTTAAGCTTTAATTACTTCAATTAAAACACATGGTTCTATATTTGTGTATTTTTATTTGCTAAGTAATTATCAAAAGAAAGCACCAAGCTTGGGAAACTATGTAGCACCATCAAAGTCGTAGGATAATCAAGACGCTAAATATCCCTAAGAATGCCAATACGAGAACAAAAGCGTATAAGGTGAGTGATATCAAAGGTATCGGATTCACCACGGATTTTATCAAGGGACATGTGACTGAGGGACAGGCAAGACACACTCATGTCCTAAAAATAAGTAACTTTGCCAGAGCCATTTTTCACCATCGGTTACTGTGGTAGGAGGAAGGCTAAGGGGACCGGCTACCCTCAATCACTGCACTGCACCATCCGACATAACACAGGGTATGGCGGTCAGCTACCCGACATGTGAGCGATGATAGGATATCTTAAGATTTCAAAACATGCACATGGTAGGTTGATTACGAGATGGAGGCCTCCAGTGATGAGGTTACGAGATGAGGTCTCCAGTGAGCGGCAGCCATCTTGAAAAAAAAATTCCAGCATGCCCCAGGGCTGTGGGTAGGTTCAGTTCTGATCGAGCAACCATGTCCTGTACAGGATGAGTGCCATGCGTGCTGCAGCCTCACAGGTCATCGCACCATGCCAGTATTATCACCACCACCTGTGTCATCTCCCATTGTTGACCAAGATGAATAATTTTCTGGGTTCAGTGACGCTTCTGATACCAGTAGCACAGATGAACCGAGTGTTAGCGGCTTCCGTGGTGGTGTTACTAGGCGGAGATTTGGCGGCCACCATGTCTCCCCCCATGGCAACATTGTTGCCTCTACATCTACTTTCCCCTGGTTGCCCTACTAGTATATAAAGTAGAAGAGCTTCATCTCCTGGCCAACTGAGATTTAGTGCAAGAAAACGGACCCGTAGTAATGATGCCCATGGGAATGGCCACCATGGTGGTGTGCCAGTACAGTACAAGGAGCATGGGTGAATTTGTGTGGGAGGACTGTGATAATTTTGTACCATACAAGCCTCAATTTGATGATATGTTGGAACAAAGACTGTGCTGTTCAAACCCGTGCTCACCGAATACATGTCATGAGACAGGTTCTTGATGCTACTACTACAGTACCTACATTACACAGAGAAATCACAATAGCGTGATGCATCAAATGAACAAATCCACAAGGGACGTGATGAGGATTCGAACCTATGTCCGAGAGCATCTCAGCATGGAGATGGTTAAAAGAATTGCAACCAGAAGTTCTACTGAACTTACTTGGATTCTGCAGCCTCTCCGAGACACAAACCAGGGTTTTACACAATTCTCCCATGCACTCGAGCTATGTCAATAGGCCATTCTCTACCTCTGCAGCCTTACTTCATTACACACAGAGATCAATAGCGATTTGTGATTTGTGTCTCGGAGAGGCTGCAGGAGCCAAGTAAGTTCAGTAGAACTTCTGGTTGCAATTCTTTTAACCATGTCGTAGCTCAGTCTATAAAGGCAGCGTCTGGGATGCTCTCGGACGTAGGTTCGAATCCTCGTCATGCCCCTTGTTGATTTGTTCATTTTACAGTACCTACACTTTGAAAATCTTCAAAATGTTGATCGAAATGATCGACTCTGGAAAGTGCAAAAAGTGTTCGGTGATATTAAAGGGAAATTTTGTGATTACAGTAGCTGCTCGACTTACGACTGCCCCTACTTATGACTTTTTCGAGTTACAACCCCCATTTCATTGAAAAATACAACTTGACTTACGACCTTTGCCTCGACTTGCAACTTTGTTGATACACGTATGGGTTGACCAAGCATGTGGTTCCTGGTGGTATGGGCGACCCCGCCTCAGTTTATCAGAGCCGTCCGTTTAGTGACGTTCGCGGTTGTAAAGAATTTCATTGTTTTTGTGCTTTTTTGTTTTTGAACACTAAGTAATTATTATATATCATGCCATGGGTCCAAAGAAAGTTAGTGGTAAGGTTCATCCTAAGAAAACACATGTGAGGAAGACCATAGAGGAAAAACAAGAGATCATTCGGAAACATGTAGATGGTGTGCGGGTTGTTATCTAGCTAGGCAGTACAACAAATCTATATCAACGATATTCACCGTACTTACTAAGAAAAAAAATTATGAGTGCTAAAGTGGCAATAGGTGTATCAATATTCACCAAACATAGAACACAAACACTTGAGGATGTTGAGTAGTTATTATTAATTTGAATTCACATTTATCACAGTTAGTGGGTGATAACATTTCAGAGGCCATCATTTGTGAAAAAGCAAGGCCATTGCATGAAGATCTTATAAAGAAAACCCCTGGAACGAGTGATGCAGATACGAAAGAGTTTAAGAGGCCTGGTGACTAAGAAGTATTTTTCCAAATATGAAATATAGTGAAAAAATTTTAAACAAATCTCCAGCTATTTAGCATCTCCAGCACCATGGTCGTAAAATTTTCATCCCAATGTTATGAAATGGATTTTTTTTTACAATTTTTTTTAAATAAATCTGTGCAAGACAGGAGGGAGGGGGGGGCAACTGGTACTGATAATAATGATAATACCTATTTACTGGAAATGAGGGATAAAAAGATGCAAGCACCTGTCCGACGCACAAAGAAGAATAGTAGTAGCAAGGAGTATGTATCGTATGAATGATATATACAGTACTCCTCACTACTCCTTCATATGATATATACTACTACTCTTTACTAGTAGTAGCAGTATCCTCCCCCACGATAACAGCCTGATGGTTAAATGCAACCTCAGAATACTGAGAAAAAAAAAATTGTACCACTTACGGGCTATTCATGCCCGTGCCACCTCTTGGGTGGCTTAATCTTTATCAATCAATCTAGTAGTAGTAGTATATATATCATATGAATACATTGCCCATTGGCAATATTTCTTATGTCCCTTTGTATGAAAAACTGACAACCACTTTTATTCTCCTCTCTCCTTTGTTTGTATGTGGATTGTGTTGTGACTTCTATATCTGGGAGAATGCATATTTGGAACTAAGCATGTAAAGTTGGAACAAAATTGGTCAATATGTTAATCAGCCACAGATGGCAGAAGTTGTGACATTTTTTTGGGGGTGGGGGTGGGGGGGAAGCAATTTATTTACAAATTTCAAACTCTATTCTCTTTGTCTCTTGAGGCTGCATTGATGAATGAGGACCTTATCACCTATACATGGGCAATAAGGTTACTGCAATATATATATATTTGCTATCCCTATATTTTTTTTTTGGGGGGGGGGGGGGTATTTTTTTCTTGACTACATTTCAAAACATATTGACCAACTTTCACATATTTGAGTACGAATGCCAAGCAATGTTTATTAAAACATACAAGAAAATTCATTAATCAGAACTACCATATTCATTGTCGATAACTTAAACTTCAATTATATCTAAAAAAAAAGTAATTTAAACTTTGAGAGCTTCAAAAATTCAGTTTCTGACCGATTCTCACCATTTTTACATATGTGCAAAGTTCTTAGTTCTAAGGATCGTTTACTCATAAAGTCATAACGTTTGGAGTTATACATTTATTGCGTCTTACAGTGTATTTGGATAGCCAAACTGAAAAAAATAACTGATATTATTATAAAATATTCTAATAAAGAATATTTTTTCCTTTAGGAACATGAACCTTACCTGTATATGCCATTCTTAGACCATAATGAATAAAATACCAGTTGGGGGACATTTTAATATATTTAAACCTGATTTGAAATTGTGAATTTTGTTTTTTCTGTTTTAACTTTTTTTCTGTTCATGGTATGATGTTGATCCATTAAAAAAAAGTTGGAGTGTTTGTCATGATGATATTCACAAAAACATTGAGTGTGTTTGAGGAAGTTTCGGTACACAGCCACTGGGCTCCTTAAGGCAAGCAGGGAATGGTTTGAGAAATTTAGAAAAAGACGTGGCTTTCACAGTGTTGAGAGTATTGTGTGTTGGTAGAGGAACATAGCAAAGAACTGACCACCAAAGAACTCCTAGCCCTTCACAAGGAGCAGCAACAAGAGACAGGAAATTTCTTCAGGGAAGGAGGAGGCAGTACAGAATGTCCCTTCCTCAACAATTAAGAAGTGGTGTGCAGTATGGGAAGAAATGCAAAGTTTTGTTGAAACGACTCACCCAAATGCCTCACTACATCAAGTGTTCAGACGTAGGGGAAAACAAGTCTCTATGGAAAGGTTCTTAGTGAGAAAAACAAGCAGTGAGCCACAACCAGGTCTCAGTGGTATACAGGCAAAACATACGAGAGTGTACCTAGGAGAAGTCATTACTGCCTAATGTTATAATGGAAGGGGACTCTCCTTTCAAACAGTAACACCTCTCCTCCTACCCCCCTCCTCACCGTCTTCCATACGCCAACAAGAGTCCTCAATAAAGGTAAGATATACATACTGTATTGTAGCTAGTATAAAAAATGCTATTCGGTATAAAATGTATTTTTAAGTTAATATTTTTGGGAGTATGGAACGGATTAATTCAGTTTACATTATTTCTTATGGTAAAATTTGTTTCGACTTACGACCCGGATCTGGGAACGGATTAAATTCGTGTTTTTAGTCATGCTCTCTTGTCGCAATTACTCGTTGAGTTCACCAGACCACACACTAGAAGTTGAAGGGACGACGACGTTTCGGTCCGTCCTGGACCATTCTCAAGTCGATTGTGATGAGGAGGTAGGGGCAGGCAATAAATAGGCAAGAGAGCTGAGGAGGAAAGTAAGGTGTAGGGGATAGTAATAATGAGAACTGCAGAAGGCCTATTGGCCCATACGAGGCAGCTCCTATTATAACCACCGAAGGAGATAGTAATAGGAATAAGAAGAGGATAGCAAGGGAGCGTAGGAGAAGACAATGAACAGAAAAAGGGAGAAAAGAGAAAGAAAAGGAAAGAGAAAGAAAGATAAATGGAAGGGGTAAGCTTATGTTAAGTCACGTTTGTTAGAAAGATTAGAGCATTTGAGTATATACTGTGAAAGGGAAGAGTCCACAGCAACAAAGCCAGGACTCAAGTTCATGTTGGGTACATTGTTTATAAGAGCCGATTCTACAAGACGGCGTCTGTGTAGAGTAGAGGCAGGAAAGATTATTTTGGAGGAAGACCAATCAATGGGATGATTAGAATTCCTCACATGGCAGAAAAGAGCATTGTTAGTGTCTGCAGACTTAACACTTCTCTTGTGTTCTTTAAGTCTGTCATTCAGTGTACGGCCAGTTTCGCCAAAGTATTGGAGAGGGCAAGATGAACAGGAAATAGAATAGACACCAGCAGCATTAGAAGCAGGAGGAGCAGTGCGAACTAGATTGCTTTGAAGTGTGTTAGTTTGCCGAAAGGCGAGTTTAATGTCAAGAGGACGAAAGGTATTGGTAAAAGTTTTGAGTTCAGATATGAAGGGAAGGCATAGTACAGTGCTACTAGTTTTGGAAGCAGGTTTAGGATGATAGAAATTTCGCTTAGCTTGAGAGTAGGCACAGTTGATGAAATGCAAAGGATAACCAAGGCGAGAGAATGATTTGTAGATAAAGGCAATTTCAGAATCAAGAAACTGAGGGTTGCTGATGCGTAGAGCGAGGAGGAAGAGAGAGACGAGGACACTTTTCTTAACAGGAGGAGGATGGTAGGAAAAGAAGTGAATGTACATGCCACTATGCATGGGTTTACGGTAGACAGAGAAAGAGAACCCAGACACAGAGCTGTGAACATGAACATCAAGAAAAGGAAGGAGGGAATTAGATTCCCACTCAACTTTGAAATGGATAGAAGGAGTCAGATTGTTAAGAGAGGATAGGAAAGGCTGGAAAAGATTAAGGTCATGGGGCCATAAAGCAAAAATGTCATGAACATTTTCCTGGCCATACTCATTGAGTATGGCCAGGAAGACAGTGTAAGGACAGTTGTTCATGTTCCAACAAGGACACCTACAGGAACTAAAGCCAAAGGTGCATTGTTTGCAAGCACACAGAACAAAGAAACAGGAAGCGAAAATCTGTGTGTACCTGCTACAGCGAGTGCAAAGTCGCGCTGCGTATCATGGACGGCTTCTTTGATTATCACGATTCCGAAGTACTGAGCGTGTGTTACTGTATAAATAATGTGTGAGTGTAGATATTGTAAATAAAACAAATACTGGATAAGTAATATTGAGACAATAAACAATTTTTGTGGACATATTAGTAGTACATGTATCACAGTTCCTTGGAATATTATGAACGTTCTACTATATACATATTGTAAAGGACACAAATGTGCATCAGATACGATAAAAAAAAGTAACTAGAAAGCATTTAACCACTGTGCTGCGCCAACCGAGAAATCTCGTTCTGAGAGTTGTACTATTTTTTTTTAATTTGGCTATATTTTAATGTTTACATCATTATTTGTGTTTTGAAATGAAAATGGTTGAGTTTGGAAACATTTTGACATTAACTTTACCTGAATATTTATAAAAACAACAAAAATATGTCCTTAACAATTGCACCATTAAGTTTTTGCCAAAAACAGGTGTGCAGTGCAGGGGTTAAAATGCATTGAAAAAATAAATGAAAATATATTTGTGACAACTTGCGAATCTTGAATTGCCAGCATGACCGCCTCTGGAAGCTTCCTGCACGGGCACATACATCTCAATGATATGACATCGTATCTTCTCCACGTTGCCACAGCCAAATTAAGCAGTTTTATATATTTGTTTTTTACGAATATATGTTAAAGGAAGGAACTTTAACAATTTAAAAAGAAAAACATTGGGGGGGGGGCACTATTTTCCACGCCCCACCAGAATGTCGCAATAAAAGCCGCACAGCATGAAGGTTAAGACAGTAACAACCCTGCTCCTGTGCCAGGTAAGTCTACTACTGGCTCGCCATAGCCCGTGCTACTTGGAACTTTTCATTCACAGTAGCTGAATCTTAAACAACAAGGTTAAGAGCATGCAGTTTGTTATCATTAACAGAAGCCCAATGACCCTTCCAACAGGCATGAATTGAGGAATGAATGACTGGATAGAAATAGGAATAGAGAACACCTTTTCGAGTAATAGGACAAGTGCGGATAGCCTCCTCAGCGGCAGTGTCCACACGCTCATTTAAGTAATACCAATATGGCTGGGAACCCAGCAAAACTCAACCTACTTAAATCTGCAAGAGATGAGAAACAGCCGATATTGGATTTCTCCTATTACATGATGTGTAAGGTTAACTGATTCCAAAGTCATGAGAGCACTACAAGAGTCACCCACTATGACAAAGGAGCATTTTATTTGCTAAAAAATCTTTAATAGTCCTCATAAAACTTAAGGGGACAAAATACTTATGATACAGTTTAAATTCAGGCCCCCGCAAACTGGCAAAGTGTTTGGGCATTCTTTTATACAGTATTCTCTACAATTTATTTTCCAGTTAAATTATGTGAGCCAGATACAGTACAAAAAAACTGTCAGTATGAATGAACAAAGGCAATACAATACTGCACTACATAAAATAGTTTAAACTTTTTTGAATGAACCAAATACAATAAAGACAAACTGCGTAACAGATATCATTCAGTCCGTCAAACCTGTGGCAATTTTTCTTGGCAGTATTTTATTCAGATTCAGATAGTGGTAAGATATATAGAGAAAATTGTTTAATTGGCATCATATGCCGAGTACTGTTGCCTCGTATTATGCAAAACTGGTTGAGCCACTGCAGTGTGTGTTCAGGGTCAATTCTGTCTTGTGCCTTGTTTTACCTTCAGTCTGCTCATGAGCCGCCTGAAGCCTGCTTGGTCTCTGAGCCATGTTTCTTCTCTGTTTATGGTGTCCCCTTCAGTCCATAATTTTTTCTTAAAACTTTGTTTTCTATTTGTCTTGGGAATTTTTGTTCTTTTGCCCTGTTGGGCTTTTTGTTTGCTTGCAGCCGGCTCCATCTTTTCTGGTGGAGAATGAATGAATGGCTCCTGGAAGGGTCTATTGGTCATTGATGCCCGGTTGGTTCAGGCTGGGGCGCAATATGTGCTTTGTCTGGTAGCGGCTCTCGGTTACTACCTTCGTGCCACGGACTCTGCCTTAGTGGATGCATTGTGGGCAGACCCCCCGTTTCCTTGGTCCAGTTCCAAGAGTTACTTGTCTAAGGTCATCCGCAGTGTTCCTCAGCCTAGCCAGCCTGTGGTGTAACCTCGCACCCATAATCTTAGGGTGTGTATGTCGCTCTGTTGGCAGTGTTTGCAAACCTGGGCTATTATATGAGTGTGAACAGGGAGGGGAGGTCCGAACAGGGTTTTGGTCACCTGGAATTTTGTTAATGTTCCTGTGCCTACAATTGGTAATCACATTTCAGCATGCATATCATATTACATTACATTTAACAAATACATAAAAATTCTCAAATTTACTTACTTGGTTGAGTTGTGCAAGCTTTGAGCTGTTCTTCATGACCTTTAATGGCATTTTTCATGTAAGTCTCCCATATACATTTCTTTGCCAAGTTCAGTGCAATACACAACTGGGCATTATCTGAATAAAAAATAGCAATTAAATCAAACAAGTCAGTACAATTAATAACATTTTTAAATTCTTTATTTCAATTACTAAAAGTTCATAAGAATGAAACAAGCACACATTAAATTACACGAGCACCTCAAAGTTGTGTAAAACAGGTTTAACATCCTCAAAATAACTTCAAAACAAAAAAAAATATAATTATGGGCCCAAATCACATTCATTCTTATGGGTTACATTCAAAACTACCAATTTTTATGGAACTTTATTAAGAACATACGAACAAACGTAACTGCAGAAGGCCTATTGGCCCATACGAGGCAGCTACTATCTATAACCACCCAATCCCACTCATATACTTGTCCAACCCGCGCTTGAAACAATCGAGGGACCCCACCTCCACCACGTTACGCAGCAATTGGTTCCACAAATCAACAACCCTGTTACTGAACCAGTATTTACCCAAGTCTTTCCTAAATCTAAACTTATCCAATTTATACCCATTGTTTCGTGTTCTGTCATGTGTTGATATTTTTAATACCCTATTAATATCCCCCTGTTATGTCCATTCATCCACTTGTAAACCTCTATCATGTCACCCCTAACTCTTCGCCTTTCCAGTGAATGCAACTTAAGCTTTGTTAACCTTTCTTCATGTGAAAGATTTCTAATTTGGGGAATTAACTTAGTCATCCTACGTTGACTAAGTGATACGTTCAAGTGAATTTATATCCATTCTATAATAAGGCGACCAAAACTGAACTGCATAATCTAAATGGGGCCTAACGAGAGCAAGATATAGCTTAAGAACCACACCAGGTGTCTTGTTACTAACGCTTCGATTAATAAATCCAAGTGTCCTATTCGCCTTATTACGAACATTCATGCATTGATCCTTTTGTTTTAAATTCTTACTAATCATAACTCCCAGATCCCTTTCGCAATCTCAACACCATCTAGCTCGTATCTTGTAACTCTATCAGCATTACCTAGCCTCAGAACTTTACATTTATCAGCATTAAACTGCATTTGCCAATCCTTTGACCATTTCAAAACCTTATCTAGATCAACTTGGAAGTGATAGTAAGTCCTCCTCCGAATTAATTTCCCTGCCGATTTTCGTATCATCGGCAAATTTGCTACTCAAACCTGAATCTAAATCATTTATATATATTATAAACAACAGGGGGCCCAGGACAGAGCCCTGAGGTACTCCACTAACAACATTATCCCACTCTGACTTAACCCCATTTATACTAACTCTCTGTTTCCTTTGGAATAGCCATGCCCTAATCCAAGTCAATATAGCACCCCCAATACCTTGAGCTTCTATTTTTTTAATTAGTCTTTCATGTGGCACTGTATCAAAAGCTTTGCTAAACTCAAGGTACACAACATCACAATCCTTACCACTATCAACTGCCTCAACTATGCTGGAATAAAAAGTTAGCAAATTTGTTAAACATGAACGGCCATTTGTAAAACCATGTTGCGACTCATTTATTAATTTATGTTTTTCAAGATGGAGAAGAATTGTATTTGCAATTATTGATTCAAGTAACTTCCCCACAATAGACGTTAGGCTAATTGGCCGATAGTTTGACGCAAGTGATCTATCTTTCTTAAAAATTGGTACCACATTAGCTACCTTCCATGACTCTGGCACTCTGCCTGACTCTATTGATTTATTAAATATGGTAGACAGTAGCTTGGAAAGCTCCTCTTTGCATTCTTTAAGCACCCTGGCAAACACTTCATCCGGCCCTGGGGATTTGTTTGGTTTTAGTTTTTCTAATTGTTTAATTACATCCTCCCTGGTAACTGCTTAACTAGTCAACCTGTCCTCATCCCCACCCACATAGACTTGTTCGGCTGAAGGCATATTGTTAAGTTCTTTATTTACAAAATTAAACACAAACTACCAATTTTTATGGAACTTTATTTACAAAATTAAACCTTCAACTGCTGGTTTCACAAGACTTGAAGCATCAAAACCACTAAACAACTGCCTGAACGATTCAATAAGAAATGAATTCACTCGAAAGTAGCAAGAACCTGTTAATAATAGCAATTGCCACCAACACGTAGCCTGGAGCTCAGTCCTCCACCATGAACCATATGGGCTCACCATAGCCAGTGCTACTTGGAATGTTTTGTTCCCAGTAACTGAATCTTAAACAACAACAACTGATGAACCTGGAATTAGGGAGGGAGACTGGGACTTGCCTATATGTTGTTGATTTCGAGACTAAACATGCCTGTAGCCTAGTCTATGACCAGGCTCCTGGTTGCTGGTCTTAACAACAAGGCTGTTCAATGCGCCTGCTTGCAGCCTGATGTTCGAGTCACAACCTAGCTGATCAGCTATTCGTAGAAGGTGCTTGTCGAGTTCTCTTTTGAACGCTGTGGGAGGGCGGCCAAATATGCCCATATGTGTTGGGGATGAGTATTGAAGTCTTGGGTTTTTGATGTTGAACACTGACAAAATGTGCCCATAAAGCAGTAGCTGCCTAATATGCTTTCACCTCAGATGCATGAATAGAAAGGGGATAGAAGTTCCCTGTGGGTTAGAACCCACAGGGAACTCCAGAGAAACCAGAGCCATAAGAATTGCCAGGCCAACAGGCAGCATAGCAGAACCAGAGTGAATGAACATCGCCATTGTTAGTAGATAGTGGTGTGGGAATTGATATGGAGGAAGGAGGTAATAAAAGTATGTGTTTGTGGGAGAAACAAATTGGCAAAATGATCAGGGAACACACTTAGTGTATATTACACTAACAGTAGAAGTCTAAGAAACAAAATAGACGATTTAAATGCTCTTCTCTGCGCAGAAAAATTGATATTATTGCACTTACTGAAACGTGGATGTAGAAAATAGAGAACTATTAGCTGAATATCAAATAAATGGATTTAAACTATTTCAGACATTATTAGACGAAGAGGGGAAGTAGCCATATATGTATGGGAAAATTTGAAATCAAAGAGGGAATCAAAACAGAGCCACATACAGAAACTATTTGGATAGAATTTGAACGAAAGAGCAAATAATCTTACAATAGTAGTTATATACAGGCCACCAAACTCAAACAGGATGGAAGCAAAACACCTATGGGATGAAATATCTAGAGCATCTAGGTCTAGCAGTATTTGTGTCATGGGCAACTTTAATTAGTGGAATAAATTGGTTTAACAGAACAGGGAATAATGAAGCATTATACTAATGAAAGCATAAGATTTTCTAGAATTAATTTCCGTAAGTAACAGACTAAATGCAAAGACTTTCAAAATCTTAAGAACATAAGAGCAAAGGTAACTGCAGAAAGCCTATTGGCCCATATGAGGCAGCTCCAATTTATAACCACCCAATCCCACTCATATACATGTCCAACCCATGCTTGAAACAATCGAGGGACCCCCACCTCCACCATGTTACGTGGCAATTGGTGGGCAATTTGAAAAATACGAACAGTTGCATAAAGAAGAAATTTGATATATGATTTACTTTGATATGCACATTATATAAAATAAATAAATACCTTACTACGGCCAATTCAAGTGTTGAAAACGTGCAGTCAATTTTATGACTCTCTTCTTTCCCTGCTTTTCTCAATCTGATGCAACCAATGGTAATATCCCAGACTATATACAGACCAAGTGAGGTGTATGGAGGTCATATGTTCCTCATTCTCTTAACAATAATCATTCATAAGAGCATACAAACATAAGATTTGTGAAAGCATCAGAAGGTCTGCTGACCAGTTTGAGGCAGCTTCAAATTATATCAACCATATTCAGAAATATAAGAACACAAGATCATAAGAATGAAGATAAATGCAAAATGTGAGAAACATAAGAATGAAAGTAACTGCAGAAGGCCCATTGGCCCACATGAGGCAGCTCCTATTTATATAACCAAATCTACAAATACTGAATATGTCTAACCTAGGCTTGAAAGCATGAAGGGATCCCACTTCTATTATGTTATGCGGTAATTGGTTCCACAAATCAAAAACCCTGTTACCGAACCCGTATTTACCCAGGTCTTTCCTAAATCTAAACTTATGCAATTTATACCCATTGTTTCGTGTTCTGTCTTGTGTTGATACATTTAATACCTTTTTTATATCTCTTTGTTATGCCCATATGCCCATTCCTCCACTTGTACACTGCTATCATGTCCATCCCAATTCTTCACTTTTCAAGAGAATGTAATTTATGCTTTGTCAATCTTTCTTCATATGACAGGTTTCTAATTTGTGGGATTAACTTTGTCATCCTATGCTGGAGGCATTCTTATGATAGACTTATGTATTTATCATGATAGGGGTGACATGATAGAGGTGTATAAGTGAATGAATGGGCATAACAAAGGGGATATTAATAGGGTATTAAATGTATCAACACAAGCGAGAGAACACAAAACAATGGGTATATATTGGAAAAAGTTCAGATTTAGGAAAGATCTGGGGTATATATGGGTTCAGTAACAGGGTTGTTAAGAACAAAAGAACAAAGGTAACTGCAGAAGGCCTATTGGCCCATACGAGGCAGCTCCTATTTATAACCACCCAATCCCACTCATATACATGTCCAACCCACGCTTGAAACAATCGAAGGACCCCACCTCCACCACGTTACGGGGTAATTGGTTTCACAAATAAACAACCCTGTTACCGAACCAGTATTTACCCAAGTCTTTCCTAAATAGGATACTGGTATTTATTATTTGAGGCGTTAGTTACATAAGAACATAAGAACAAAAGCAATTGCAGAAGGCCTATTGGCCCATACGAGGCAGCTCCTATTTATAACCACCCAATCCCACTCATACTTGTCCAACCCACGCTTGAAACAATCGACGGACCCCACCTCCAGCACGTTATGCGGTAATTGGTTCCACAAATCAACAACCCTGTTACTGAACCAGTATTTACCCAAGTCTTTCCTAAATCTAAGCTTATCCAATTTACACCCATTGTTTCGTGTTCTGTCTTGTGTTGATACTTTTAATACCCTATTAATATCCCCTTTGTTATGTCCATTCACCCACTTGTAAACCTCTATCATGTCACCCCTAACTCTTCGCCTTTCCAGTGAATGCAACTTAAGCTTTGTTAATCTTTCTTCATATGAAAGATTTCTAATTTGGGGAATTAACTTAGTCATCCTACGTTGGACACGTTCAAGTGAATTTATATCCATTCTATAACATGGCGACCAAAACTGAACTGCATAATCTAAATGGGGCCTAACTAGAGCAAGATATAGCTTGAGAACCACACCAGGTGTCTTGTTACTAACGCTGCGATTAATAAATCCAAGTGTCCGATTTGCCTTATTACGAACATTTATGCATTGATCCTTTTGTTTTAAATTCTTACTAATCATAACTCCCAGATCCCTTTCGCAATCCGACTTCGCAATCACAACACCATCTAGCTCGTATCTTGTAACTCTATCATCATTACCTAACCTCAGAACTTTACATTTATCAGCATTAAACTGCATCTGCCAATCCTTTGACCATTTCAAAACCCTATCTAGATCAACTTGAAGTGATAGTGAGTCCTCCTCCGAATTAATTTCCCTACCGATTTTCGTATCATCGGCAAATTTGCAAATGTTGCTACTCAAACCTGAATCTAAATCATTTATATATATTATAAACAACAGAGGTCCCAGGACAGAGCCTTGGGGCACTCCACTTACAACATTTTCCCACTCTGACTTGATTCCATTTATACTAACTCTGTTTCCTTTGGTATAGCCATGCCCTAATCCAGCTTAATATAGCACCCCCAATACCATGAGACTCTATCTTTTTAATCAGTCTTTCATGTGGCACTGTATCAAAAGCTTTGCTAAAGTCAAGGTATACAACATCGCAATCCTTACCACTATCAACTGTCTCAACAATGCTAGAATAAAAAGATAACAAATTTGTTAAACATGAACGGCCATTTATAAAACCATGTTGCGACTCAATTATTAATTAATGTTTTTCAAGATGAAGACGAATTTTATTTGCTATTATAGATTCGAGTAACTTTCCCACAATAGACGTTAGGCTAATTGGTCGATAGTTAGACGCAAGTGATCTATCTCCTTTCTTAAAAACTGGTATCACATTAGCAACTTTCCAAAACTCTGGCACTCTGCCTGACTCTATTGATTTATTAAATATGGTTGACAGTGGGTCACAAAGCTCCTCTTTGCATTCTTTAAGCACCCTGGCAAACACTTCATCCGGCCCTGGGGATTTGTTTGGTTTGAGTTTTACTATTTGTTTAAGAACATCCTCCCTGGTAACTGCTAAACTCGTCAACCTGTCCTCGTCCCCACCCACATAGACTTGTTCGGCTGAAGGCATATTGTTAAGTTCCTCTTTAGTAAATACAGATACAAAATATTTATTAAAAATACTACTCATCTCTTCATCACTATCTGTTATTTGACCTGTCTCAGTTTTTAATGGACCTATCCTTTCCCTAGTCTTGGTACGATATAACTGAAAAAACCCTTTAGGATTTGTCTTTGCTTGCCCTGCTATGCGAACTTCATAGTTTCTTTTTGCTTTCCTTATCTCTTTTTTAACATTTCTAACCAGTTGTACGAATTCCTGTTCTAAAGTGACCTCCCCATTTTTAATCCTTTTGTACCAAGCTCTCTTTTTACCTATAAGGTTCTTCAAATTCTTTGTTATCCACTTTGGATCATTGGTATTCGATCTATTCAATTTGCATGGTATACAGTACTACGTTCCTGTGCTTCGTTTAGAATATTCTTAAATAAGTTATATATTGAATCCACATCGAAATCCCCATTTACGTCACCTATCGCTGGGTTCATGTCTCGCTCCAAGACCGGCCCCCACCCCATACCCAAGACTTTCCAATCAATTTGACCCAAAAAATTTCTAAGGCTATTAAAATCAGCTTTTCGAAAATCTGGCACTTTAACAGAATTTTCTCCTACAGGTCTATTCCATTCTATGCTAAATCTGATTTCTTTGTGATCACTGTTCCCTAGCTCACTCCCTATTTCGATGCCATTAATTTGTGTTTCCCTGTTAGTTAACACTAAATCTAAAATATTATTTTCCCGTGTTGGTTCCTTAATGTGTTGCGTAAGAAAGCAATCGTCAATTAATTCTAGAAAATCTTCTGCTTCACTATTCCCTGTTTTGTTCAACCAGTTTATTCCACTAAAATTAAAGTCACCCATGACGTAAATACTGTTAGATCTAGATGCCCTAGATATTTCATCCCATAGATGCTTTGCTTCCATTCTGTCTAAATTTGGTGGCCTATATATAACTCCTATTATAATACTATTTGCTTTTTCGTATAATTCTATCCAAATAGTTTCTGTGTGTGGCTCAGTTTTGATTCCCTCTTTGAGACTACATTTCAAATTGTCCCTAACATATATGGCTACTCCCCCTCCTCGTCTAATATATCTGTGTGAAATAGTTTAAATCCATTTATTTGATATTCAGCTAATAGTTCTCTATTTTCTACATTCATCCATGTTTCGGTAAGTGCAATAATATCTATTTTTTCTGTGCAGACAAGAGCATTTAATTCGTTAATTTTATTTCTTAGACTTCTACTGTTAGTGTAATATACCCTAAGTGAATTGTTATTTTGAGGCCCTTCTCTTTCCCTGATCATTTTGCCAATTCCTTTCTCCCACAAACACGTACTTTTATTATCTCCTTCCTCCAAATCAATTCCCATACCTCTATCAGCTAACAGTTTAAACCCAAACAAACACCTCTAACCACTTCTTCCAACGAGTTCGCAACAGCAACAACCCCAGCTCTCGATAGATGCACCCCATCACGAGCATACATTCCATTTCTTCCATAGAAGTGTTCCCAGTTGTCTATGAAAGATATTGCATTTGATTTGCAATATCTAATACTGGTTCGGTAACAGGTTGTTGATTTGTGGAACCAATTACCACGTAACGTGGTGGAGGTGGGATCCCTTGAGTGTTTCAAGCGCGGGTTGGACATGTATATGAGTGGGATTGGGTGGTTATAGATAGGAGCTGCCTCGTATGGGCCAATAAGCCTTCTGCAGTTGCCTTTGTTCTTATGTTCTTTGGTAAATACAGATGTAAAATATTTATTAAAAATACTACTCATCTCCTCGTCATTAAACCTGTCTCAGTTTTTAATGGACCTATCCTTTCCCTAGTCTTAGTTTGATATAACTGAAAAAACCCTCTAGGATTTGTTTTCGCTTGCCCTGCTGTGAACTTCATAGTTTCTTTTTGCTTTCCTTATCTCTTTTTTAACATTTCTAACCAGTTGTACGAACTCCTGTTCTAAAGTATTATAAAGTATCTAACTAATTTTACAGATTTTCTCATAGCTGTATCACGTTATTATGATTTTGTTGTCTTAATCTTTCTTCGTAAGGAAAGTTTTGAGTTCCTGGGATTAACTTTATCATCTTTCTCTATTCAAGTGAATATATGTCCATTCTATTACTATCAGGATTTGCACTATACTATTTAATAACACAATAGGTTTTTACTCTTACCGTCATAGCGAGGCCGGCCAGGTCCTCGTTTCTTTGGAGATTCCTCTTTGATATACACTAGAAAATAGATAACCAAATTATAGTTTAACATTACCCAATACAGAATGCTTTATTTATGATGAACAGAGGAAGACAAAAATATTCAAAAAATGAATAATATAATCATCCTAGTTAATTTTTTAATTTTGTGGTAAAATCTCTCCCCCTCAATCCACTATAGGAAAATTCCTCACTGGCATATCCTACAGAAATGCAGGAACACAGACATATAGGACAATAAATTTATTTGCATGTCTATCACACACAAAGCCAGTACAAATATAATCGTAGCCTTCATTTAACAGAGGAGCTGCAGTGAACAACTCTTACAACAAATAACTGAGATCAGTACTTTGAATTTCAAATAGTTATTTCAGCCTAGCGAAACAACTCTAGGAGAAGATGTCGTTAGTCTGGTCCTGGTTAATAGAGACCTATGTGGAACACCCCCTTGTGGCCAGAATTTCCCAAGGATCCACCCATGATCGCATGGAAACGAGGTAAATCCTTGAGAGACCATCTAGGTACGACTAGGACGGCCCCCCCCCCTCCGCTCGTTGGTCTAGCAAAAGTGAGCCAGAAAATAAGCGGAGGTATAAATACATCCAAACTAACCTAACCTGACACAGGAGGACATCCTCCTCCTCCTGTAGTTTTAGAGAGTCTGAGGAGTGGTTAGAAGGGCCCTACATTACACACACTCCCCCCCCCCTTTCGAGGGAAGGGGGGTGGGTGCTAATGACCGGGCATACTAGTTGGATGTCAATTTGCTTGCTTGTTTGTTTGTTTTCATCTGAGGGGAGTTCTTTGGCTGTGTTCGGATGTAGGTTGCAATTATCACCAGTAGAGGGCTTGTATTGTTTTGCCTACCTTTCTGGGTGCTTTCCCTGGTCGATGGCAGACATGACATACTGTACTCTAAATGTAGAGTGCTCATATGGCCATTGCTCCCTGCACCTCTCCGAGAGGGCCAGGTTCTGGCTCGTGGCCCCCACTAGGCACTCGAACTCCCGGGACTGATGACACTCAACTAATATGACACGTGTCAGTTTGATAGCTTCAGAGAGCCAACAGAGCTCCCAACAAAAAGCAGGTGATAATAACTAAAATTGACATATAATTACACTACCCTGGGGATTGACGAGTTATGATAACTGCACTGTAAGGGCTAATCTCTAAAGAAAATCTTTGGAATATGGTGATGGAATAGAAACGGCATCCTAGGTCACCTCAGGCGCATGCTTTACGCATTTATTACAATATGCATATAAGTTACACGACCTGGCAAAATTGCATATTTTTAATTAAATCTGATGTTGGAGAGATATTTTGTTGGGTTAAATGTATAATACTGTACAGTACAGTATAATTATAATTTTGAAATACTGTATTGGGTTAGACCAGTCCAAGGCAAGCATCCAGGGTGACCCAGGATTATGGTTCAATTCTACTACCTTGATCAAAAGATCTTATCACTTTATTGTGATTTGATTTTTTACCTCTCATCGTAAGAAAGGTTTCCAATTCCTGAGAATAATTATCATCTTTCTCTTTACATGTACAATATGTCCATTCTATTACTATCAGCATTTCCACACTACAGTATTTAAAAAATTTAATAGATTAATATATATACTCTTACCTTGTTTGGGAGGCCGGCCAGGTCCTCGTTTCTTTGGAGATTCCTCTTTGATGCTTTGCACTGGTAAATAGATAACCAAATTATAGTTTATCATTACCCAATACAGAATGCTGTATTTATGATGTACTGAGAAAGATTTAAAAATATTCAAGCAATGAATAATAAAATCAACCTAGATACGTTTTGAATTTTGTGGTAAAATCTCTCCCCCATAATCCACTGTGGGAAAATTCCTCACTGGCATGTCCTACAGGCATGCAGGAACACAGACATGTAGGACAATAAATTTATTTGCATGTGTATTGCACACAAAGCCAGTACAAATATAATTGTAGCCTTCATTTAACCCCTGCACTGCACACCTGTTTTTGGCAAAAACTTCATAGTGCAATTGTTAACACTTTCACCCGGGCATGACACAGCATTGCGTCATCCGTTTACTGTCGGTAATGCCGAGGATGACGCAGCATTGCGTCATCCACTTTAACCCTTCAATTGCGCATCGCATCATATGATGCTTTGACCAACTTGCAGTAAATTGCGCATCGCATCATATGATGCTTTGGAGTACTACGCAAGATTTAAATGGCCCGCGGATACACGGGGTTCACCACACCTTCATCAGGGCTCTTGTAAACAGACGCCATTTTTAAAAAAAATCGTGGGCCAAACCCCAGGGTGTTAGGGGCCTCAGTATTGAGTGAGCTACCAAGCCTGACGCACGCAGCATGAGCTCACAGCACTGCTGTTCAGCTTGTGACCACAGCATCACCTAAAAATGCCATAATATACTTGTTCATGCTATTATGTAGAGATGATATTATTACAGAAGACCCCTGACTGTGATAAAACTGACCAGGGATCTGATAATAGCAGTATTGTGGTGATATTTAGCGCTGTGCGCCATGGAGGAAGGAGTAATGCTGTGGGAGGGAGGAAGGTGGCGTTGTCTTTTGAGTGTGTGTGGCCACCTTTTATTGACTGCACTCACCATACCAGCTTAGTGGTTCGCTATGGTGAACACAAATGTAGATACTTACATATAACGTGTGTATAGTGTGAGATAACAGCGAGAGTAGGAGGTTGGGAGCCGCCATTTTGGTGAGGGAGGTGCGTCATCTGCAGGACTTATCATGTTGTTTACTGATGACCACGATGGTCTTTGGGCACCATACCAGTTTACTTGTACAAGTATGGTGAATAAAACAGGTAGATATTTATATATAATGTGTGTATATAGCGTAATAACACCACAAACAGTATTGTTGTAGGAGAAATATTAGTGCGTCTGGCCTTGAGGGCGGCCGCCACCAGCTGACTGTGTGAGTAGCTACGTCTTTGTGCCTTTACTCACCATACAAGCTTAGATATACAGTTATGGTGAACAAAACATGTAAATACTTATATATAACATCTGTATATAAAAGCAAAAACAGTATGGTGGGTGGAGAATGGTGGCAAGTCAGGTGAGGTGAGGTGAGGGAGGGAGTGGCAGCCAGTCACTGCCTGCCACTGCCACTGCCACTCAGCATACCAACTTAGTGGTTTGTCATGGTGAACAAAACATCCAGATACTTATATATAACCTGTGTATATAGTGTAATAACCGACAAAGTATTTGTTCACTGTTTGATGAACATAATTGAATCAACAATACGCACACCATATTTTTGAGTACAGCGATGATTCACTCATTTTATTCTATAAATATATCACACTACACACTATTGAATAATATTACAGCAAAAAAACTACGAAAAATCAATCAGAGACATTGAAATAATTGGGTAATTATCTCTTTGTGGAAACTCTGGCCTGACAGCTGGCTATCAACAGACCGCCTGGGGACGCACGCTCAGTCAGCGCCTGATTTCTGTCACACTTCCCCGCCCTATAGTGGGCAATATATGCCACTTACGATTTTTTTATTATTTTTCCCGTGATCAGTGAACACAAATTAACAGGTTAGGAAGAAAAAATAATTTTTTTTTTTTTTTTTTTTCTATGTGCCATTTAAGGGTTAAATAATCGCCAAAAATCAGGTTTTTATCCGATTTTTTGGGGACTGGGTTTAAAATGCGCGCCAATGTCTTCCCATTTTCTTTATTGAGCCTCGTGGCACTCAGGTGGCTTGGCACACGCCGTGGGCCCATTGTTTTCGCTCCACTGTTGTGACCAATGTCGCCTCCCATTGCATCTCAAACGTGTGAACATTTCAGCTATTTTCCGTGGCTATATTTCTTACTGCGGCTTTAGAAACTATCTATGCTTACTCCACGATGGATAGTGATCATGAACAAGGCCCTTCCAGGAAGAAAATTGAGAAAGAAAGGCTTGAAAAGGGCGGGAATTGGGAGTGTAGCTGGAAGGCGTCTGAGCGCTCACTCGCGGCTAACGCGTGGCCCGTCTTCAACTCGTCGGCGGTTGGAGCGTGACCAGGTTTTTTATTTTATATGCTAATGTTCCTCTGTAGAATTCTATTGCGAATCCATTGAGGCCAAAATGAAAGACCTAGGACGAAAATTGAGGTGACCAGAGTGAAAATAGTGAAAACATTTTATCGTGTTTGCGCGCTCCTGGGTAACTCATTCGCACTTTCTCTGATTGCTGCGGGTAATTAGCCGGGCTTTTGGAGTTTATATGCATTTAGTGCTGTAGAGAATTCTATTGCGAACACAATGATACAAAATTTAATCTCGTAGGACGAGAATTAAGATGACAAAGTTGAAGAGATATACACTTTTCAGAATTTACGCGCGCTCCCGTGACACCCTGGGTCCCATATCGCACAGTTGAGGGGTGGCGCGCGGTGTATGCCAAAGTGTTAAGGACATAGTTTTGTTGTTTTTATAAATATTCAGGTAAAGTTAATGTCAAAATGTTTCCAAACTCAACTATTTTCATTTTAAAACACAGTGATGAAAACATTAAAATATAGCCTAATAAAAAAAAACGGACAACTCCCAAAACAGCATTTGCCGTTTTGCGCAGTGCAGTGGTTAACAGAGGAGCTGCAGTGAACGAAGTCTTACAACCAATAACTGGGTACCTTGAATAAATGATATAATAATTAAACATTACAGTCCATGTGACCAGTGGGCTCCCAGACTACGTGTCTAGACAGCAAGCATTCGACTCAAACTGGTTTAACCGAATATTTCAAAATATGATTATAGTGTGCTGCATTATACATTTAACCCAACAAAATAGCTCTCCAACATCAGATTTAATTAAAGATATGAAATGCTTGGGCATCATTATTGAAGAACAATTTATCTGATGATAAACACAATTACATAGGCGAAGTCAATACCCAACCCACACATCTCAAAATTAAAAAAAGATGATGTTTTGTTATGTCCTGGACCATTATGTAGTCGTGAAATACAGAAGGAGTAGAAGAGACAAACAATATATGGGAAGAGGGTGAGAAGAAAAGCAAGATGAATGTTAAAGACAGATGAAGGTAAAAATAAGATGAAAGAAAAGGATAAGAGAAAAGGCAAGAATAAGAGAAAACAAGGATAAAAAATCAGGTAAAGTAAAAATATAAAGTAAGGGAAGGGGAAGGAAAAGTCAGAAAATAAGGATGGTAAAAATAATGTACAACTCTTTCTCTTGCCTTGGTTATTCTTTGCATTTTATCAACTGTGTCTTTTCTTAGAGGGAGAAAAGACACCTATCGTTATCTCCAAGAGGTAACTCGATAAATGCCTCCAAAGAACAACTGATCAACTAGGCTGTGGAGGAAAAGGGGGAGGTGGTGTTGTCACAGCCAGATTGACGAGTGTCAACGAGGCCTGGTTATAGACCAGACTGTAGGGACATCAATCTTACGAACTACTTCAAAGAACATAGGTGTTTCAAATTACAAGCATATCTGAAGATGGCCTCCAGCAAAAGGGAGTGTATGGGGAGGAATAAAAATATATAATCAGTTATCAAACTGAGGCACACATAACTTATTTTACCTGGTATAACAATCCTTGTCTTGATAAAGAAGGATTTAAATTTTCCACATGTACTCTGACTGAATCTGGTATCCCACGATTTTTCATGAAAAATCCTGTAGTAGGGAAACAGCGCACTGAAAAAACAAAAATATATAATTATCCATTTTTACAAAATACAGTGTTACATAAAGGTATAAAATCAAATGATACTAATAATGATAAATTGTCACCAATTGAGGCGGTCGTCACTCGAGGTTCTACTGTACTGTATACTGTATATATATGTATATACAGTATATATATATATATATATATATTCAACAAACTCGCGTCCCGAGGTAACCCTCGCCTTCCGAGACATATTTTTGGAGCAAATCCTGCTCGTAACCCGAAAAACTCGTAACCAGGGGCTCTCGTAAGCCGAGGTACCACTGTACCTGTACAGTGGTACCTCGGAATGCGAGTGTCCCTGTATGCGAGTTTTTCGGAAGACGAGCAGGATTTACTCCAAAAATATGTCTCGGAAGGCGAGGGTTACCTCGGGACGCGAGTTTGTTGATACGTGTACAGGCCGACTGGCGCGTGGTGGCATGGCAATCGCGCCTCAGTTTACCAGTGTCTCGTGTCCAGTGACTATCCCACCTGAATTCTTCACAAGGATTTACAGTTTTTTATCGTTTTTTTGGCCATTTGAGCATAAAAGTTGTCATTATATATCTTGCCATGGGTCTCAAGAAAGCCATTGGTAAGGTTCAACCTAAGAAAATAGCTGTGAGTAGAGGCAGTAGAGGATGTCCCTTCTTGATTAAGAAAATGTGTGAAGTATGGGAAGAACTGCAAAGTTTTGTTGAAAAAACTCTCCCAGATAAAGCTGTAGCAGGCCATTGCATTGACCTTTTAAATGATAATGTGATGTCTTATTACAGACAAGTGTTAAAATGTAGGGAAAAACAAGTGTCATTAGACAAATTCTTAGTAAAACAAGCAAGTCCTAGTGGTATGCAGGCAAAATGTGCCAGAGTGTGCATACCAGTGAAGTCCTCACTGCCTGATGTGATAATGGAAGGGGACTCCCCTTCCAAACAGTAACTCCTCTCTTCCTCCCACCTCCTCACCATCTTCCATACGCCTACAGCATTCAACAGCAAGGTAAGTAATAACTTGAACATAGTTTTGTAGGTTTATTTAGATGAATTAATTATAAAAATTTAGTTTGATGTGGGGTTTTTGGGGTAGTCAGGAACGGATTAATTAATTTCCCTTTATTTCTTATGGGGAAATTAGCTTCGGAATGCGAGTTTTCGGAATACGAGGCGTCTCCAGGAACCAATTAAACTCTTAAACTGAGGTATGCCTGTATATGATTAGGACGAGGATCACTTAGCACCTATATGCCAAAGTGGCACCCACAGAAAGGCCTAAAGTTCCAGTTGGGCAACAGATAGGCATTTCTGGAATCCTTACTTTCAAGTGGTGTTAGTGGCTTAGTAGGTAGAGCAGCAGGCTACTGTCTATGTGGTCTGCAGTTCGTGGTGCTCCAAGTGACCAAATCAATGAAATAAAAGTTTAATTTGAATGGTCCCCAGCATTAGTTTTTTCAACAATACTCTAATCCTTCAGATCCTTGAGCCTGAAACACCAGGACGTTGACCACTAGCAGACAGTACCATACCTACTCTGTAGATTATATTGTCTACATTACGGTACTATAATTAACTTCTTACGTTATTATGTCTTTGACTTCAGTTGCTTTTAGTGATTTTGATGTTGTATTCTTCAATAGAAGAATCATTAGCACACTAAATTCCACAGGAGGTCTTGGAAGGGTGTTCCCAATCTTTTTCTCCTTGTGCTGAAATAGAAGATACCCCAATCAGAATTACATTACTGTACCGTACTTAGAATCATAAAATACAGACAATTCCAAATTAAATTCTTTTATAAATGGGCACTAGGGAACAAAAAACTTCATATTTAAATCCTTGAAACTTAGAACTGTATTATAAAGTTGCCAATCTTTGGATGACTCAGGACATTGATGGTTAAAAAAAAATCAAGCACTGAATGCAATGAAATGCCTCTTTTTTTTTTATTGATGGGTCACCTCAGTGGGCCCCCCCCCCTGACCTAGCCTCCTGATTAGCTCCTAGTCTATCATGTCCCATTTTGACTCATAGGCATGTGACATCAGCACACCAGCTGCCCCTTTTGGCTATTCATTGCTGATATGTCCTGGTTTGGTGTTTGGGTATGAGGGTTTCTGGCAGTCAACCATAGGTCTTGGCAATCAGATTTTCTGGTTCTTGTTCCTGGACCTGAGTGGCCCTGTGTGGCTCTTGGTAGGCTTTCTACACCAGCTGTCTCTTCTTGTTTTGATACCTGCGGTGCTCCCTCCTCCCTGGTATGTCCCTCTTTTCTTCTCCATGGGTAATCAGCTACAGGGAGCTACAAGGGGCTACCCCCAGAAAATCAGCGCTGAATGTAATGAAACGACAATTCCTGGGTGAGCCCTGGTGGCTCCATGTCACCCTACCCCCCCCCCATCCCAGGGAGTCAGTTGCTTCACATGATTCGTCAAACTGACTGGGTCGCGGTCTGGGAGCTGTGGACTGCCCACCCTGTGTCCAAAACAAGGGGTGGGGGTGAGGTCTGGATTTCCCCTTCCCCTTCCCGGGGAGGGGAGGAGCTGCTCAGACAGCAGGGCGGCAGCTGTGATGTCATGCTTGTTTGCTTGTTTTCTGATTGGAGAGTCCTGCTTGTTCGTTTGGCTTTCGGTTTGCAATTTTAACCAACTGTAGATTGTTTTGGGATTTCTATCTTTCTGGTGCCTGACCTGGTAGATGGCAGATATAAACTGCTAAGCGAGGCTAAGAACTCCATTAATTAACTGTTGCCACAGTCTAATATATACACATCAGCCCGGTATAGCTCGTTCTGTGGAGAGCCGGAGAGCTCTCCACAGAACGGTTAGTTGACAAGTAACTTGTCTCAGTGAGACCAATCATATTAGTAGTAACATGGGTAAGTCAATGGCTAGACTATGGTTTTAGGGGAGTAACAGAGGGGAACTGCCACAAACTACAGTATACCTGGTTACCTGGTTGATGGGGTTCTGGGAGTTCTTCTACTCCCCAAGCCCGGCCCGAGGCCAGGCTCGACTTGTGAGAGTTTGGTCCACCAGGCTGTTGCTTGGAGCGGCCCGCAGGCCCACATACCCACCACAGCCCGGTTGGTCCGGCACTCCTTGGAGGAATAAATCTAGTTTCCTCTTGAAAATGTCCACGGTTGTTCCGGCAATATTTCTTATGCTTGCTGGGAGGACGTTGAACAACCGCGGACCTCTGATGTTTATACAGTGTTCTCTGATTGTGCCTATGGCACCTCTGCTCTTCATTGGTTCTATTCTACATTTTCTTCCATGTCGTTCACTCCAGTACGTTGTTATTTTACTGTGTAGATTTGGTACTTGGCCCTCCAGTATCTTCCAGATGTATATTATTTGATATCTCTCTCGTCTCCTTTCTAGTGAGTACATTTGGAGGGCTTTGAGACGATCCCAATAATTTAGGTGCTTTATTGCATCTATGCGTGCCGTATATGTTCTCTGTATTACCTCTATTTCAGCAATCTCTCCTGCTCTGAAGGGGGAAGTGAGTACTGAGCAGTATTCAAGACGGGACAACACAAGTGACTTGAAGAGTACAACCATTGTATATATACAATATATATACATTGTATTTATACAAGTATAACTTGTATAAAAATACTGAATTGCAGGAAAGGAAATGGAAATTAAATAATTCAATACTAACCTGTTTCTCAAACTGAAGAGATGCGTGAGATGTACAATCTGCTGGTTTATATTTATTAATGGGTCCCTTGCCATAAGACGTGATTAATGATGGCTCTATTTTCTCTAACACAACACTAACTGGTTTCAGTAATAACTGCAATGTTTCATGTAATTTGTTTTCTTTATTATCAGAATCCCTGGACATTCTGTCTGTGGACAAACTGATTTTAGTAAAAGCCATTACATGAATTCAGTTCTACAGAGTTTTTCCACACACATGATCTTGGTTGGACAGAAAATCCCATTCTTGAATGATTCACACATTTCCTGGAAAAGGCAAATACTGTACATATTAGTTTCTAATTATTAGTGATACTGTATTTTAATTCAAAACTACATGCACATTTTAATGTTCTATGTTTGACAGAATAAATAAGCTTAAAGTCAGTAAACAATTCAATATTAATGACTTCCCAACAGCTTAAAAAGAAGAAGAAGAATTTATAAGAATAATCTCCATCTAACAACACGGTTACTTGCCACTGGCCAAGTCACTGAATCATGATCATACAGATTTGATATGATAAAAATGCCTTGGATGGCATGGTATAACTCTGGTGGTGTTGGGTATACTGTAATTGATAGTTCTAATTGACACTGAGTGCAGTTCTACATATGGATACATTCCTCAAGGCCACATATAAAACTGACATCTTGAGATGATTTCGGGTAATCGTTTTCGGTTGCAGCACGTATAGTAAATTGTTAAGGATCTTAATCCTATAGGGAAATAGGGTGCATTAAAAGATCAAGGTAAGGTATTTATCAGGAGAAAGTGCAAAGCCAGTACTGTACAACTATATAGCACTTGGAAGGGTTACAAGGACAAGGAGCAGGAATAGGACGGAAGGAAAGAACGATAGGGATTGGACAGTCAGGGATTGAACGCCGACCCCACAAGAAACGAAGCTGTTGCTCTACCGACCATTCCCAATGGTTGGATTAAAAGATCAAGGCTTTTGTTAAATTATGAAAATAATGTTCAAAATATCATAAATTTTAAAATACGTACAGTAAAGTGGAACCTCAATTCCACAAATCTCCAGTTGGACGTTTGGAATTTTTTTTGTTGGGCATTTTGGAATTTTTGTTGGCATGTTGGAATTTTTTTGGGGTGGGGAGGCATTTTCACTTTTTCACATCTTTAATGATTTTTTGTAGATTAATGATTTTTGTAGATGGATGCAACATCACAAGAAATAGTAATGGGGCCTTGGGAAAGCCATTGAGCATATTTAACCCTTAAATGGTGTAACTGTTAAATGCTGATAGCCTGTACCTGATAGCCTAATCTGAACCTTTGATAAATGTACAAGCACGGGGCCTAGCAGAGGACTACCAATATAACAGAAGGTAGATAAACAAAAGGGACAGACCCGCACCAGGCAAAATAAACAAAAAAGAAAAAACTTGGCAAAAGCACAATGTCCCCAGGAGGAACAGAACCAGCCGCCGTGTATAATGGGAGACAAGCTGCACAATACCTTGCGCCCCTCCAGCAACGATACCACTTCCTATCCAAGACCAAACAGTGGCTACAAAAAACCCCAGTTGGCCTCAAGAGCGGGCAGTTGCTGAGCAACAGAAGACCCCTACGGAAGCGGTTCTGAAATGGCCTGTGGAAGGAAACCCCAAGACGCAAGGGCAGAACTTACAGCGTGCCTAGGTAAGGGTACCCTAAGTGCATGCAGCCCCAGTACTGATCAAGTACTCCTGGCCTGTGCACCACAGAAATACACCACAAGGCACAGAACTGCAAAAAGAGTCAGAGGCCAGAGTAAACGACCACCACAGTCCACATCAGCCGAGGAATTGATTGCTGGAGCGGCCGCCGGCACGAGGGAGGGGCCGCACGGGCAAGCAGCGCAACAGCGTTAGGGATGTTTACTTCTTTTAGTTTTGGAGTTCTGCCTCCATATTCGAGTTTTAGGTAGCAATTTTTACAATGTGGGGTTTGTTTATTACGCCTACCTTTCTAGATGCCAAACCCCAGTCGATGGCAGACATGGAAGAGGCAGGGACAGTAGAGGAAGAAAGTTCAAATGGAATTCACGAGTTCATAAGATCAAATTCACCGTACTTCTAAGCTATCACAAATTAATTTGTTGCAAATTATTATTCATGAATACAAGGTACTGTAGCTGAGCACTAAATAACAAAACCTACTGGATACAGTTTACTTTGTACCCAAAATATATTACAATCATTTTGGTGACTTTTAAAATCACCAACAGATTTTAAAATCCACTTAATATAACTCAGCCCAACCTTACTTAATGATATAGATATAGTACATGGGTTTAACAATTAAAAAACAAGGCTTTTCAGAACACCTTTTTATAATTTGACCATACCAAACTTAACAGTAACCTGGGGCTTGTGTTTTGCCTCCCATCATCTTATGCAAATATGTACAGTATTAAATACTTTGTCCTAAAGTTGACTATCTTGCAGTAGCCTATACAAGGCTAGTGTAATAATTGTTTAGGTTGATCAAAGAAGTGTGATGAGTCGTCCAGAAAATGCGAAGTTGGTGAATGTCTTGGAATTCTGGAGAATCGATCTGCTAAAGAATGGAGTGCATAGTAAGCTATGGTACAGTACAGTAGTTTACTGTACTCGCATGTTCTTCATAGCATGCGAGTTTACACCCCATGTTCTGGACAAGGAACCATGTTTGAAATCGCATAATATTTTCTCTAGATTAGTTGAGAATCATGAAAATAAACCTAAACTTTACCCATTTGTTGTGGATACATTGGATACACTCCTATGGCTACTGCATTACACAAATGTAGTCTACAAGCTGCAAAAAGTTTGAACCTGCCATGCCCTCATTTCTCTTCAAACAAAGTTAACCTAACCCCTAACCTAACCTTATCTTTCCTAACCCCCCTAACTTAACCTCACTTTTCCTAGGTGCAGGTTTCGGATACTTCTGTATTACCTTGATACAATAATAATAATATGCAACTGGCATTGAATATACACTGGACACCGACTGATTTGACTGTAACCAAATGATATCCTCCCCCCTATGTACCTTTATCCTACATATCCACAATCCTTGGGGCTGGTTTATCACCTAATGTACCATAGACATATTTCCACCCATACAAAACAGCTACGCGTAATTTTCCGGCCCCTCTAATATTGTTGTAATGGTCTCGTGGTAAATGAAATCTAGCTTTCATTTTGCCACGGCCTACCGTCCTAACATATACTAGGCCTACGAGATGAGCCCAACACCATTCTCTCTGGCCTCAATACCCTCCAACACATGGTAACGAGACTGTTTAGCCATGTTTTATCCCCCCATGAATACCAGCCAAACATTTTCTGTGGCAAGAGTTGTTGTTAGTGGGGACCCCTAGTAGTTCATGAGGCAAACACTTACAAACTAACGCACTGTAACGTCTAGTGTTACTTACAAGACGATAAACGACGTAGTATTTCACTTTTCGACGAGAGATGAAGGGAGAGAGAGTTCTCTGTCATGCATCAGCGTCCCTTGTTGCGTGTTTACAGAGAGACGCGCGCCACGTCCCCAGCCCAACTGCCGGGGCGGAGTCCTCCCCCGCCTTGCCCCTATCCCGCAGACCCTGTTCCTCCACCTATCCCGTCCCTGCATCCATGCCTCATACCCTGTCCCTCCACCCATCCCTCAGACCCCGTCCCTGTCCCTCAGACCCCGTCCCTGTCCCTCAGACCCCGTCCCTCAAACCCTGTCCCTCCATCCATCCCTCAGACATCCTTTGTTTTAATATAGAAGAGTTCTTAAAATCTTGTAAAGCCACTAACACGCATAGCGTTTCGGGCAGGGCCTTAATCATATGTTCCCCAGAATACGACCTCCCCAAATCGTTTAACTAACAACCAGGTGCCCATTTTACTGTTGGCTGAAGAGAGCCTACAGTTAAGGATTGGCACCTAGTAAATCCTCCCCGGCTAAGGTACGACCTCCAGGACAAAGCACTCGCAAAACGCCAGGCGAGCGTCTAACCACTACACCACGAGGAGACAGCTGTCCCTCCACCCTCAGACTCCGTCCCTCAGACCCTGTCCCTCACCCAATCCCTGAGACTCTGTCCCTCTACCCATCCCTTAGGCCCTATCCCTCTACCTATCCCTTAGACCCTGTCCCTGTACCGATCTCTCAGATCCCGTCCCTCAGACCTTGTCCCTTCACCCATCCCTCAGACCCCGTCCCTCGATCCACCCATCCCTCAGATCCTGTCCCTCCACATATCCCTCAGAGTCCGTCCCTGCACACTTGTGTAATAACGTCGCCATAAAATATCTCAGGTGTATCACCACTGATACCACCACCAAGTGAGTTGTTACTAATTATGACTTAAATTAAAGTACGGGCACGGGCATGAATAGCCCGTAATCCCTCCCTCTCCCTTGATTGATTGATGAAGATTAACCCACCCAAAAGGTGGCACGGGCATGAATAGCTCGTAAGTGGTGGCCCTTTTGAGCCATTACCAGTATCAATAGATGATACTGGAGATCTTTGGAGGTGCAACTGCACCCTGTGTGACGGGAGATGTCTCCCATGCCCCCTCCCTTGATTGATTGATTGATAAAGATTAAGCCACCCAAGAGGTGGCACGGGCATGAATAACCCGTAAGTGGTGGCCCTTTTGAGCCATTACCAGTATCAAGAGCTGATACTGGAGATCTGTGGAGGTGCAACTGCACCCTGCGTGACGGGAGATGTCTCCCGTGTTACTGGTGGCTGGGCCCCTCCCTTGATTGATTGATTGATGAAGATTAAGCCACCCAAGAGGTGGCACGGGCATGAATAGCCCGTAAGTGGTACAATTTTTTTTCTCAGTATTCTGAGGTTGCATTTAACCATCAAGCTGTTATCGCGGGGGAGGATACTGCTTCACAGTCTTTACGAGGGTGTCCAGCTGCTGGACACCTTTGTTGACCAGGAGAGTGGCTGTGTTGATGGCTTCAGGGTGGCCACTGCATGATTCAGGAACTCTTAAAGCTCTTCTAAGGTCATTGGTTGCTTCACATTCCAGAAGATAGTGAAGTAATGGCTTTTCTGTGACAGTTTGGCAGAAGATGCACTCTCTCTGTCGGGGTTCACCAATCTCCCAGTTGCATCTGTAACCTAGACGTAGTCTATATAACCTAACTGCTATTTCCCTGTTGATTCCTTTTGGGATATTTAACCTTTCTAATTTGGTTGCCTGAAGATACCATGTTGCAGATGGCGAACCTGCAGCTATTCTCTGGTGCAGGTAGGCTTTGTTGAGATGTGAGAGTTTTTTGGTGATGATGTTTTTTATGTTCTCTAGGCTGGGTTGTTCTCTAGGCTGGGTTGAATTGTTTTATGTATCACTGGATGACGAGTTGCCAATTTAGCAATTTCATCAGCTTTTCATTTAATGGGATTCCAATATGGGATGGGATCCAGTTTAAGGTTATGTTGAGTCCTGCTCCAAGATACAAAATGGTGCCCCTCCCTTTCTCGTAACAAGCTTTTATACCCGTCTATCCCCAATTTTCCGTTGAATGGACGGATTTGAATCTGGTAACAAGGGATAGCATTCTAACCTTTGAAACTACTAGAGGTGAGGTTTGTTTGACCTTACCTCACCTCCCTGTGAATGTCTCGAAACATCCCAAGTCTCTACTCAAGTCACCTCAACAACTGTTACATCCCTATTTTCCCAGAGAAAAGACAAAACCATGTGTACGTTAGTTAAGAATGATTTTGTCTTATTCCCAGCTGTCAGGGCGCCTGACAGATGGGTGGATAGCGCTTCGGATTCGTAGTCCTGAGATTCTGGGTTCGATCCCCGGTGGAGGCGGAGACAAATGAGCAAAATGTTTCTTTCACCCTGATACACCTGTTACCTAGCAGTAAATAGGTACCCGGGAGTTAGACAGCTGCTACGGGCTGCTTCCTGGGGGTGTGTAACTAAAAGGATGATACAGCTGGGTTAGGTGTGTGCTCCGATGACTTTAGCAAGGCGACTGCCCATCATAATTACTCGTTGACGTCTAGCACCAGCTCTCCTTGTCATAGCTGATTGATTGATTGATAAAGATTAAGCCACCCAAGAGGTGGCACGGGCATGAATAGCCCGTAAGTGGTACAATTTTTTCTTTTTTTTTCCCAGTGTTCTGAGGTTGCATTTAACCATCAAGCTGTTATCGCGGGGGAGGATACTGCTTCACAGTCTTTACGAGGGTGTCCAGCTGCTGGACACCTTTGTTGACCAGGAGAGTGGCTGTGTTGATGGCTTCAGGGTGGCCACTGCATGATTCAGGAACTCTTAAAGCTCTTCTAAGGTCATTGGTTGCTTCACATTCCAGAAGATAGTGAAGTAATGGCTTTTCTGTGACAGTTTGGCAGAAGATGCACTCTCTCTGTCGGGGTTCACCAATCTCCCAGTTGCATCTGTAACCTAGACGTAGTCTATATAGCCTAACTGCTATTTCCCTGTGGATTCCTTTTGGGATATTTAACCTTTCTAATTTGGTTGCCTGAAGATACCATGTTGCAGATGGCGAACCTTCAGCTATTCTCTGGTGTAGGTAGGCTTTGTTGAGATGTGAGTTTTTTGGTGATGATGTTTTTTATGTTCTCTAGGCTGGGTTGAATTGTTTTATGTATCACTGGATGACGAGTTGCCAATTTAGCAATTTCATCAGCTTTTTCATTTAATGGGATTCCAATATGGGATGGGATCCAGTTTAAAGTTATGTTGAGGCCTTTGCCTTTAGCGACTGCTCCTTGATACAAAATGGTGGTAATTATTTCCACATTATCTTTCCACTGTTTTTGTCCTAGTATTTGAAGTGCAGCTTTTGAGTCTGTGTGTATGATTGCATTTTGAGTGTTTTGTGCAATCACATATGCGAATGCCTGTTGTATGGCGAACAGCTCAGTTTGGGTTGATGATACTAGTCCTCCCAGTCTCCAATATGCCTGAACGCTGGTCGTGCAAAGAGCAGCGCCAGCACTCTCATTTTCTGTGTCCACCGATCCGTCTGTGAAGATGTGGGTGGCTCCTGCTACTGCTATGCTATACATTTGCTCTTCTATTATGCGCCTTAGGATTGTCGGATCATAGGCAGCCTTTTTCATTGGGAGACTTTCTATTACTATTCAGCTTTGGCTCTTTGGTCCCGCCTCTGAACTGTCAATCAACTGGTGTACAGGTTCCTGAGCCTACTGGGCTCTATCAAATCTACATTTGAAACTGTGTATGGAGTCAGCCTCCACCACATCACTGCCTAATGCATTCCACCTGTTAACTACTCTGACACTGAACAAATTATTTGGGAATTTGGGGAATTAAGTTTCCACCTGTGTCTCTTTGTCCGTGTTCCACCCTTACCAAATAGTTTGTGTTTGTCCACCCTGTCAATTCCCCTAAGAATTTCGTAGGAGTTTATCATGTCTTTCCTTACTCTTCTGTCTTCCAGGGATGGGAGGTTTAGCTCCCGTATATATAGCCTTTCCTTGTAGCTCATACCTCTCAGTTCTGGGACTTGTCAGGAGGCATACCACCGAATCTTCTCTAACTTTGACTTGTGTTGAACTATTCAGTTAACTATTCAGAGAGATTCAAAGCAAAGTATATAATTAACAATTACAATAACTACCCTAATTATAATGTACATAAATTGATAATTATTATACCAGAAAAGTAATGAACATAAATGCCCTAAAAGATTATACATTAAATGCCGTAAAACATTTCAAACACCCTGTACAACAAGGAAGACAGCTTTATGTTTGTATAAAGATTAGATCAGCCGGAGAATAAAGTAACCACTATGAAAGGATCAGGAAAACAATTATACATTAACGTACAAAATTATATTGCATCTAATATTATAATCTAGTCAGAGAAATCACACACTGAAACACAAAGCCTTATACGAAGGATTGGCCAGGGTGGTGGACATTGGCCAGGGTGGTGGACATTGGCCAGGGTGGTGGACATTGGCCAGGGTGGTGGACATTGGCCAGGGTGGTGGACATTGGCCAGGGTGGTGGACATTGGCCAGGGTGGTGGACATTGGCCAGGGTGGTGGACATTGGCCAGGGTGGTGGACATTGGCCAGGGTGGTGGACATTGGCCAGGGTGGTGGACATTGGCCAGGGTGGTGGACATTGACCAGGGTGGTGGACATTGACCAGGGTGGTGGACATTGGCCAGGGTGGTGGACATTGGCCAGGGTGGTGGACATTGGCCAGGGTGGTGGACATTGGCCAGGGTGGTGGACATTGGCCAGGGTGATGGACATTGGCCAGGGTGATGGACATTGGCCAGGATGGTGGACAAGAGTCAAGGTGGTGGACAGGTCCTTGCATCGCCAATCTTGGAGAGGATCCAGGGGACGTAATCTGCCGGTAACAAGGACACAATTATACTGTTTTGTTTAATAATTTGTTGGTAAATGAAATAATCCTGACTAGCTTAATGCTTGAAGTGTCTGGACCTACACTAACTCAACCGGCATAGAAATTAGTTGGATGGTCAGTTCAGTAGTTGTTTGCGTGGCCACCTTAGTTATTACTTGTGTGGCCACCTCAGTACTTGAGTGGCCACAGCAGTACTTTTAATTATTATTTTCTACCACAGACGTGGCCATATATTTACAATGCTAATCAGCATATATTTTTGGGTTCGTATCTGTGGACAGAGATGGTGTCTGTTAGTCTGGGCTTGTATATATGTAACATAAGACACATAGTAATTAAGGAAACTTGGCCCGTATATGGCAGCTCTTATTTATTTCCACCCAAACCCATACATTTATACAAGTCTAACCTACGCTTGTGACAATCAAGGGATCCCCCCCAACTTCTATTTCGCTACCTACTAATCTGTTCCCCGAATCAACACTTGCCCCCTTGGTGTAGACACTCACTGGCCACTCTGGTATAGACGCCGGAGACGTTGGGGTTGGCGCAGCTGGTGGGGCCGAAGGAGACGACGCCCACCACCTGCCAGTGCTCCCCCACCTTGGTCATCAGGGCTCCGCCGCTGTCGTCCTGAACAACAAACACTTTCTTACGCACAGAAATCACAATAGCGTGATGCATCAAATGAATAAATCCACAAGGGCCATGCCGAGAGTTCGAACCTACGTCTGAGAGGATCAGGATGATTTCCCGGTTGCAATTTTTTAAGCATGTCGTAGCTCAGTCGATTAAGGCAGCGTCTGGGATCCTCTCGGACGTAGGTTCGAACTCTCGTCGTTGCTCTTGTGGATTTGTTCAACAACAACTTTCTGTTAGTCGCTGTCTCCTTAACATGTACATCTATTGTACATCTTGTGCATGTTAGTGTACAAGATATACATGTTTCGTAAGTGGTTGCATAAATGCTTGATGATTTCTGGTCCTTAACAATATGTCTGCAATTTTTTTTGTTAAATTGACGCGCCAAAGCATGCCACATAAATACAATAAAATCAATAACAAAACACAAACCACCAGTCAAATCACAAAAGGACATCCGGCCTACCAGACATAAACAGGAAATACAAACATAAGGACAGGATAACAAGCAAGTACACACTACAATAAGCAAAACACACACATGACCAAAGGTACATAAACAGTAAAGAAACAGAACGAAGGCCGGAAGGGCCCTCAACTGTATATTTACATACCTACAAGCCAACGGCACGTGACAAAAATAACAGGGGACAAATACAACAAACCAAGGCAACGCCTTCACTTAGGGGCGCCTGGTGGCTGAGTGGACAGCACTCAGTACTATTAATCCTGGGGACTGGGGTTTGATCCCCGGCGATGGCGGAAAACAAATGAGCAGAGTTTCTTTCACTCCGATGCCCCTGTTACCTAGCAGTAAATAGGTACCGGGGAGTTAGACAGCTGTCATGGGCTGCTTCCTGGGTGTGTACTCAACCATTTGTACTCACTTATTTGTGCCTGCAGAATCAAGCATTGACTCTTTGATCCCGCCTTTCTAGCCATCGGTTGCTTACATCAATGACTCCTATCCCATTTCCCAATCATATCTAGTTTTAAAATTATGAATAGTTTGCTTCCACAACCTACTCCTTAAGTGCATTCCATTTTTCCTTTACTCTCAAGCTAAAAGAAAACTTTCTAATTGTGTGTTAATGGTCGTGCGTAATGGACGTGAGATAGCTTGATTGTTTAAAGCATAGTTTGACATGTGTCAATGTTTGGGTCTATATAATTGAGACCTGCCCCCTGGAAACACAAACCGAAACTGTCTCTATTTTCCGCTTGTAACAACTTGTAATAAAGTTGTTACATCTTGGCTTAATGTGTTTATGACGTATTGGAACGTTGTTACAACTTGATATATTGGTTGTTATAACTGGTTAGGTGGTGTTAAAACTTGTTCGAACGTTGTCCCAACGTCGTAGTTTCGGTGTGTGTTTGGAGGGTTATATGGGCTAATAGGCTTTCAGCAGTTTGATCTTCTTATGTTGTTATAACAGAGGTTCTGAGACAGAGCTCTGGGGTACCACTTATAATAGTTTCCCACTCGGATTCGGATTAGTAAGACAGTTTTTGGCCCTAGGTAGAGTATACGTCAAAATGCCACGTGCTATTAGAAGGAAGGGGTTGGAACAGGTTTGTAAGAGTCAAGATATATAAATGTCGTAAACCTTTCCACAGTCAAAACGAAAGTGAATTTGAGAAACACGACTCACTATTCATAAAGCTGGGGAAGTTTGTAAAAGTTAGTGCTGGTGAAGGACTCAAAAAGAAGCTGATGGACTCGCAAAGCAGGTGATGGACTCACAAAGCAGGCGTCCTTGTCGGGGGCGGCGGCGCAGATCATGTTGTCTGTGATGATTCCAGCCTGGTACTGTTTCATACACTGTGCTAGAGGCACCGTCGCCAGCTCCACCTTCTGCAGCACTGTAGCCTGGTGTCCCGGGAAGTTCGTATACCCCCATCTTCAGGTAAACACAGTATGCTTAGGTTACATCCAAAATTGTCACGGAATACACTGAGTGCAATACTTAGGTTTAATACTTTGGAAAATATTTGTTTTCGGTCCCACTTACTCTAACTCAAGGTCAGTATTTATACCCAGTATCCTACTGTGCCAGATGTTGTTACTGGTGGGTAAAGTAGCGCGTTACTTAACGGTACTCAGTCGGGAACAACAGGTGAGTAAGGTACTCACCCGAGGAGAACACGAGTTAACAATACTCACCCGATGACAGTGACGCGGATGTCGTCATACTGGAGGCTGGGATCTGGGGGACAGGCCGGGCCGATGTTGCGACTAGCCCCCAGGTCAACATCGGTGGCCAGCTCTATCAGACCAATGTCGTTATCCTTGGGGCTCTTGGAGCGGCGGTAGTTCTCGTGGGGTATGACCCGCTTGGCTGTCACCACCAGGGTGTAAGGTGTCTCGTCCGGCCGACTCCGGTCGTGTTCCCCCAACACCACCTCCGGCAGAGCTCCGCTTGCCAGGGCCAGTCTGCGCATACCTCAAGGCTTTTCATAACTCTTTTAATTATTTTATAAAGGGTAAGCAACATTCGTGACCTATGAAAATAATTGTGGTCATCACCAAGTAAACATGAGGCTGCCGTTCTAATAGCCTAATCTTACAGGCACACGCTACTGAATATGACCGAATGGGTTAGATCAATCATTCTAGAAAGTTTTTTTTTATATTTCTTATGTTCTTCACATGGGAAGAAAGTTTTAAAATCAACTTTTCAAAGTTCATTTTATATTTTGAATGAGCTTGAAGTGTCTTGTTGAATACAACTCGGCATCCTCAGAAGTAAAAAGAAAAAAGTGAACACAAATGGAGAAATACAGCAATATAATGTCCGCCATACGGGTGTGATGACAAGTGACTTAGTTACCCCTCTCATAGGGGCTGGTCATCTGAAGTAAGTGTAGTGGAAAAACTTCTCCCCAAGATCTGATGGCATTATTGAAAGGTTACAGTAAGAGATATACATTGGGTTAACATGTGTACAAATTTGTGATCATTCGTAACCTATTACCGTCACGCCATGATATAGCCAGAGTGAGCCCACAAAGAGAGCGTACTTCTATAGCGGTAAGTTTGAGAACTGAGAACATAAGACTTCTTGTAATACTCCACTTGCCTTTTTGTATATTTACAAAAGTATTATTTTCTTATTGTCATGTTAATACTTGTAAGTGGTGACTTTTCCTACTGCCATGCTGGTATTCCAGTTACTCTCCTCTCTGAGGTGGTTAATGTCTCTTCTCTCTAAGGTGGTGACTGTCGCTACTGTCATGGTAGTAGCCTCGCTGCCCTGACACTTCTCTCTAAGGTGGTGACTGCCCCAAATACGATGACAGTAGCCCTAATACTGGACTCCTGCAGAGTGGTGTCTATTCATCACCATTTCCAAAGCTAAAGTATAAACATAGACGATTTTGTTTAGCTTAATAAATCAATATTTGACTAAAATATCTGTCATGAATTACTGCACATACAGTGGGCGTGGGGGGAGGGGGGGAGACTCACCTGTAGATATAGTGCGCATGGGGGACTCACCTGTTGTCAAAGTGAGCGTGGGGGGACTCACCTGTTGTCAAAGTGAGCGTGGGGGGACTCACCTGTTGTCAAAGTGAGCGTGGGGGGACTCACCTGTTGTCAAAGTGAGCGTGGGGGGACTCACCTGTTGTCAAAGTGAGCGTGGGGGGGACTCACCTGTTGTCAAAGTGAGCGTGGGGGGACTCACCTGTTGTCAAAGTGAGCGTGGGGGGACTCACCTGTCGACACAATGGGCGGCAGTGAGAACAAAGCGCTCGTTGATAAGGGTTCCCCCGCAGAAGCCTGTAGCGATGCGCACCTGGGCCGCCCAGGGGAACTGGTGTAGGCCCGCCTCCACCCCTCCCACCACGCGGGTGTTGTAGCCTTCACGCCCACATCCTGCAGGGTGCAGTGGCAGGGAAGGACAGTAGTGAAGGCAGTGGCAGGGAAGGATAGTAGTGAAGGCAGTGGCAGGGAAGGATAGTAGTGAAGGCAGTGGCAGGGAAGGATAGTAGTGAAGGCAGTGGCAGGGAAGGATAGTAGTGAAGACAGCGGCAGGGAAGGATAGTAGTGAAGACAGCGGCAGGGAAGGACAGTAGTGAAGGCAGTGGCAGGGAAGGACAGTAGTGAAGGCAGTGGCAGGGAAGGATAGTAGTGAAGACAACGGCAGGGAAGGACAGTAGTGAAGGCAGTGGCAGGGAAGGATAGTAGTGAAGACAGCGGCAGGGAAGGATAGTAGTGAAGGCAGTGGCAGGGAAGGATAGTAGTGAAGACAGCGGCAGGGAAGGACAGTAGTGAAGGCAGTGGCAGGGAAGGATAGTAGTGAAGACAGCGGCAGGGAAGGACAGTAGTGAAGGCAGCGGCAGGGAAGGACAGTAGTGAAGGCAGTGGCAGGGAAGGATAGTAGTGAAGGCAGTGGCAGGGAAGGATAGTAGTGAAGACAGCGGCAGGGAAGGATAGTAGTGAAGACAGCGGCAGGGAAGGACAGTAGTGAAGGCAGTGGCAGGGAAGGATAGTAGTGAAGACAGCGGCAGGGAAGGATAGTAGTGAAGACAGCGGCAGGGAAGGACAGTAGTGAAGGCAGTGGCAGGGAAGGATAGTAGTGAAGGCAGTGGCAGGGAAGGACAGTAGTGAAGGCAGTGGCAGGGAAGGATAGTAGTGAAGGCAGTGGCAGGGAAGGATAGTAGTGAAGACAGCGGCAGGGAAGGATAGTAGTGAAGACAGCGGCAGGGAAGGACAGTAGTGAAGGCAGTGGCAGGGAAGGATAGTAGTGAAGGCAGTGGCAGGGAAGGATAGTAGTGAAGACAGCGGCAGGGAAGGATAGTAGTGAAGACAGTGGCAGGGAAGGTTAGGTTGAACTTTTAACATAACCTAACCTAGTCCTGAGTCCCCAGGGACATGATTCTAAATAAACAGGGGAAGAAATGATCCTTAAGGCACACATAGGCATGTACAAACGCACACGTAGCTAAGGCGGGTGTAGTAAAGGCTAGACTACGGGAAAGTCTACGGGAATATCTACTTTAATTTCACACCCTAAAAATCCATAAAGGCCAGTCTATGTCGTACTTTATACTACTGTGTCACTACTACTACTACACCCTAGTATTGTTACAAGGTATACCTAATTCATTAGTTTACCCCGGTGATTGTTACAAAGTATACCTGACTAAGTTATTGGTATATACCAATTATTACACCCTGGCATTGTTAGACGGTATATTTGGCTAAGTCATTGGTATACCCTGGTATTGTTAAAAGGTATAGCTGGCTAAGTCACTGCTTCACCCTCGTATTAATCCAACATTCTCTTCATTAATACAAAGATGAAAAAGAAAAAGGAACTTAGCATGCAAGATTTAATGTCTGTAACAGGTCACACGTAATAGTTTGGGGGGGATCGGTGGAGAAAATTTGACATTAGGATTGTGAATGTAATTGTGATACTCACGGCAGGTTCCGACAGACTGTGAGGCGAGCCTGAGACTGACGGTGCACTGAAATCCTCTCCTACTGGTGTTCCGCCAGCTACTCCAGAAGTGCACGCTCATCAAACTACTTTCTGAGACCACGTTCTGCGGGCCTGTATTTCCACAGAACCTGTATAATTGGTTGTTTTAGCGTCACAACCCCCCTGGATATGTAAAGGTTTACTGTCTAATATCAGTGAGAAAATAACACTCAGTATCCAGAACAAATACGGTGTTACGCTGAGTAAACAAGGAGTGTAAACACTATCTTACCACTGAATGTTCCTGGCGGGTTCTTGGAGAGCGAGGAAGGACGCCCCGGAGCACGTGGAGGACGCCTCCAGGTCAAAGTTGGAGCAGGTGAGGTGTACACGCCGGCTGCTGCTCCCGCCCTGTGGCACAACTCGTTTACACAGACAAATGTACACGTCACACTGAATAACTGAATATATTAATCCATCCCAGCTGGGAGCGAGTGAAAGCTTCCGTGTTGTATAATTTAATCCAAGATGTTAAGAGGAGGATTTAATCCATCTTGATTGAAAATGCAAATAATATTTTCAGTCAAATCGATTAAATTTTTCAGGTTGAAAACTGAGAGGTGACTTACATTGAAGGTCCAGCGGCAGTAGGTGAAGGGCGGGTATGGAGCAGGGTAGCCAGGAGTGGTGAAGGTGTAGGTGACACCAGGCCGCACCATCACTCTCGATCCGCATGCCAACTCTGCCACACACACAACACAACAACACATTACTTATATGTACCTGAATTTACCTGAGGGGCCTCTAACACTCTTCTAGTGGCCTCGACGAGGACAGGAAGCCGCCCCTATGGATGATAAAGCATCTCCTGTTTTGTGTTCTACGCTGTGGCCTGTTGAGCCTGAAACCGTTGCTCCTTGTTTGTGTTACAGCTGACCTTTTGAAGACATGTTCTGGTGTTGTGAGAGTGAAGACGTGGGGGAAGGCTGAGGTAAAGGATTATTGTAGATAAGGGAAATACAATTAATTTGGCGCATTGGTCAGTGTAGTCGGCTCACAGCGAATAGGCCCCGGATTCAATTACCACGGCCGAAAAGAAGCATATACAAGAATTGTTACATTCTTGTAAAGCCACTAGCACGCATAGCATTTCGGGCAGACCCTTAATCCAAAATTATCTCCGGAATACGACCCGTCAAATTGTTTAACAATCAGGTATTTCATTTCAACTGATCCCATATTCATGTGAGTATAAATATATGTGAGTATATTTACTTATGAATATGTGAGTATTACCATTATGAAATTTATTACTAGGTGCTTTTAATAATAACATACTGTAGGACCTAGAATTTGCTTATTAATATAAAATAAATAGTAATATATTATTTTGATGATTTTATTAAAAATACGAAAGTGATGACACCTAGGCAATATTGGAGGACCTTGGGATTAATGTATGTGTTTGTTGAAACATTTGAAGTCAAATTTAACACCAAGAGATGTAAGATAACTTAAATAAATCTGAAAAATGAATAACATATCCTAAGGTTCTATTTATCCTTATAATAAATACCGGTAATACGGCATTATAATTGAACAATAAATATGAAAGATAATCAGGGGTGAAATTATGAATAATTAGTGAATAAGAAATATACTGTGTAAAGGAGGTTTAAAATAGTCAATAATACACAATGCAATATGTACATACGAAATGCATGACTTAGTGGATATGGTACCTTACCTTGGTTGGTATTTGGTGATAATATATCCTTGTTGTTGGGTAGCTTGGTACCCCAGGGTACATTACCCTGACTGATGGGTAGCTTGGATCCCCAGGGTACTGAACCTTGTTGGTTGGGTAGCGTGGTACCCCAGGGTACCATACCCTGCTTGTTCGGTAGCTTGGTACCCAAGGGTACCGAACCCTGGCTATTGGTAAGCGCAGAGGACGTGGTAGTGTTGCTTAGCGCCTGTCTGAGTGAGCCGTCCCACACGATGCTGAATGTTCTCTGGAACTGAATAGTGAACTTGCTTATGGAGAAAATACAACAATCCTGGCCTCCACCACTGACCAGAGAAGACTGCAAATACTGGAAGCTATACTCATAAAACAGAGAACAAAAAAGACCCATCTTAAAATATACAGAGTAACGACTTCGATACCTTGCCTACGCTCAGACCCAGACCTCGCTAAACAGCAGCGGGTAAAGACATCTCTGTCGAGTTCTCACCGCCCACTGCTTTACCCAGTGTTTGATGGGCATTCATTCCCATTATGCCCATATTTCTTTACCTATGTGTGATTACTTCACCTTATATCCCACACAATTTCTCTCTCACATGTGTATGTAAGATCAACATGCAACTTGTATATTCATCCCTTACTTGAAGATGGTCCAGAGTGACACGAAACATTGTAGAAAATATACCCTTCAATTATCATTAGAGTTCCTTTACCATGAATTTCGACAACTCGATTGCTCTTCTTAATCCCGAAAGTAAGAAAATAGTTAGAACCGAAAGCTTATACTACAAGATCAACAACGCCAGTAATGCGGCCATATTTAACCAAATATGCTTAAAGGAACGCGTGTTGCCCAAGCATACTCAGGTACCTGGAGAAGAGTGAAGACGAGGAGGAGGTCGGGGAAGAGGAGCATGTTGACTAGCAGCGTCCTGGTCACCTGGGTCACGCCTGTGCACCTGGCGAGGGGTGACATAGACTTGTTACTTGGTCCACATATATACTCTGTGATCACTTGGTACACTTATGGGTCGCTATTATATTTAACCCTGATAATGCAGCCATACTTATACGTCTGATGATATAATAGTTGAGAGGACGGGGGTACCGTACCTCGACCATTGTTTCTCATCCACCTGGTCGGCCGCGTAATGATAATATCTGATGACCAAACCACACACTAGAAAGTGAAGGGACGCCGACATTTCGGTCCGTCCTGGACCATTCTCAAGTCGATTGTGATGAGGGAAGGAGTTAAAGGCAATAAATAGGCAAGAGAGAAGTGAGGAGAAGAAAATCTTAGAGGAAGAAGAGCAAGGCAAAAGGTACGAAACGTAAGGCGACTCCTCGTCTGATAACATCTGAGCCACCGCTCACTCTGGGCACCTCTCCGGTACAAGTATTCACAGGTCTCCCCTTAACTCAGTCGATCAGGTTTTAGTGTTTCTGTTTGTTTAAACTTACTGTCTGCCTCTGGTCCGCAGGCAGGCCCGGAGACCCTCCAGGCCTGCCTGCTGACCATTTTACATACTTAACACGGACGTTTGACACCATCTTGCTGTCCGCTGCTCCTTTAAGAAACCTTACCCAAACACATCATATTTTCTCAATAATTTAAATGTTTTATGTGATTTATCTTCTTTGGGTGTATTGTTATGAATATAACAATAACTAGTCTACATGGCAAAATCATTGATAAATAAAAGATACTAATAAATGAATAAGCATATTTAATAATACTTCTAGTGAACAGAGGCCAGTGGGCTGAACCCAATCAGTGGGTTTTACTTACACATAATAATTAAGAAATGCACCTGTACAAGGGACGAGAATGTGTAGGCTCTCGAACCGTCCTCATGACAGCCACACCATTACCAATATTCACTGCCTCCTTCAGGAATATGCATGCAGAATATATACAAAGGCTTATAAATACTACTGAAATATCTGGCCCCTCAAACTATACAGTAATTCCAGATACAAAATTCTCTTGAGCCATCAGACTATGATAAGTTTATCCTCCATGTTCCTGACAAGCATTACTGACTCACAACTTGCCTTTGGCGAGTTCCCTCCCTGTCACCTCAGCGCCGACAATCATCAATACTTCCTTCACATCTCCATAAATTCCAGAGCCAGACGTAGCCTCCACTGATGCTAGCATCCAGTCCTGTCAAGTACCATCAAGTCCTGTCAATGGCCATCATCCCCCTCTACAATATTGACCCCCACGTGAACGAACCCTGTTTATGCAGACGAGGAGTCACAATAACGTGGCTGAAATATGTTGACCAAACCACACACTAGAAAGTGGAGGGACGACGACGTTTCAGTCCGTCCTGGACCATTCTCAAGTCGATTGTGAGAATTACAATCGACTTGAGAATGGTCCAGGACGGACCGAAACGTCGTTGCCCCTTTACTTTCTAGTGTGTGGTTTGGTGAACCCTGTTTATAAACAAATCTCTCCGACAGAGCTGCTTCCTGGCAGAATGCCAGGACGCTTTTTGACTCTGGCTTCATCGAGTTCATTGGGGAAAATGTTGGGTCTTCCATCACTCCCATGCCACGCTACCTCACATCTAGACTACCAATTGGCTCAAGGAGTCATGATCCCTCACGACTGCCGGGAAATTCATCTAGCATCCCTTATCTTCGTCATCTTGGTCACTCACAGCAGGAATCTCTGAAATCAACACTACCCAACTTTTCAAGTCAAATGGAACTCCATTTAATGTACGGGCTTCATTTGTTAATTTAGAAATCACCCTAAAGCTATGTTAAATGCGTCGACAGCTCAGTTCAGTTGTTTCCTTCCACAAGACAATAAGTAATATAAGCAAGTTAATGTGCATTATTTTTTATAAAACGTTGCAATTTACCGATTGAGATTCTAAATTCATTCTAATGTCTATATAGGTTTTTAATTCAGTGAGTGATAGCATTTTGTGCAGTGTGGAGTGTGACGGTGGTGGAGAGTGTGACGGTGGTGGAGAGTGTGACGGTGGTGGAGAGTGTGACGGTGGTGGAGAGTGTGACGGTGGTGGAGAGTGTGACGGTGGTGGAGAGTGTGACGGTGCTGGAGAGTGTGACGGTGGTGGAGAGTGTGACGGTGGTGGAGAGTGTGGCGGTGGTGGAGAGTGTGACGGTGGTGGAGAGTGTGACGGTGGTGGAGAGTGTGACGGTGCTGGAGAGTGTGACGGTGGTGGAGAGTGTGACGGTGGTGGAGAGTGTGACGGTGGTGGAGAGTGTGACGGTGCTGGAGAGTGTGACGGTGGTGGAGAGTGTGACGGTGGTGGAGAGTGTGACGGTGCTGGAGAGTGTGACGGTGGTGGAGAGTGTGACGGTGGTGGAGAGTGTGACGGTGGTGGAGAGTGTGACGGTGCTGGAGAGTGTGACGGTGGTGGAGAGTGTGACGGTGCTGGAGAGTGACGGCAGTGCATGGGTATCACTAACCCCTCCTCCTCCCGTACCCTGCTCAGCCACCAATAAAAATGTGTAAACAACACCGCGTGTGGTGGTGGTGGTGATGTTGTCAGCGCAGGTGCAGACTCCGCCCACCACCACCACCACTACCCGCCACTCCCAGCACCCACTTAACCACCACAGGAAGTGAAACAACTGTTGTTCGACTATCATATGTTGTTCGGCTTCCGGTCATTTATACACACACCGCCCAACGTACACGTAACACCCCCCCTCCCTCCTCCCCCCCCACTCTCACAGTTCCGTACTAATTTTCCTTTGTTTTTCTCTAATATTTTGTGTATGGTAATGGAAATTCAGCTTGTTGTCTCTGCGAACACCAAGGAACTTCACGTCAACTTTTCTCATAATTTCGATATTGTTAATTCTTAGGTTAATTCGTGTGTTGGTTTTGTTATCAAAGTATATGGACAAAATTTTATCGATGTTTGATATCGATTACTGCCCCGAAACGCTATGTTAGTACTCATCTAGTTGTGCTTGCGGGGGTTGAGCTCTGGCTCTTCGGTCCCGCTTCTCAACTGCTCAATCAAATGGTGTACAGATTCCTGAGCTTCTCGAACTCCATCATATCTACATTTAAAACTGTGTATGGAGTCAGCCTCCACCACATCACTTAGCTCAGCATTCACAGTCATTAATAATATGTGGGTTAGCATAGTTAGTATTTAGAATATGTGGGCTTGCAAGAATGTAAAAGCATCAATGCTATGTACTCTGGTCAACACGACTAATTTGGACACGACATAAACCCAATGTATAAATATATAAGTGCTTTCATATACCCAATGTTCTTGTATATATATAAATAAATTAAATAAATAAATACAAATGTTCAGGGTAAGTTTGTTAGAAGTCGCTCACGCACACACAACAGTGACACTAAACACCCAACAGTGACACTAAACACCCAACAGTGTCACTAAACACCCAACAGTGTCACTAAACACCCAACAGTGACACTAAACACCCAACAGTGACACTAAACACCCAACAGTGACACTAAACACCCAACAGTGACACTAAACACCCAACAGTGACACTAAACACCCAACAGTGACACTAAACACCCAACAGTGACACTAAACACCCAACAGTGACACTAAACACCCAACAGTGACACTAAACACCCAACAGTGACACTAAACACCCAACAGTGACACTAAACACCCAACAGTGTCACTAAACACCCAACAGTGACACTAAACACCCAACAGTGACACTAAACACCCAACAGTGACACTAAACACCCAACAGTGACACTAAACACCCAACAGTGACACTAAACACCCAACAGTGACACTAAACACCCAACAGTGACACTAAACACCCAACAGTGACACTAAACACCCAACAGTGACACTAAACACCCAACAGTGTCACTAAACACCCAACAGTGACACTAAACACCCAACAGTGACACTAAACACCCAACAGTGACACTAAACACCCAACAGTGACACTAAACACCCAACAGTGACACTAAACACCCAACAGTGTCACTAAACACCCAACAGTGACACTAAACACCCAACAGTGACACTAAACACCCAACAGTGTCACTAAACACCCAACAGTGTCACTAAACACCCAACAGTGACACTAAACACCCAACAGTGTCACTAAACACCCAACAGTGTCACTAAACACCCAACAGTGACACTAAACACCCAACAGTGACACTAAACACCCAACAGTGTCACTAAACACCCAACAGTGACACTAAACACCCAACAGTGACACTAAACACCCAACAGTGTCACTAAACACCCAACAGTGACACTAAACACCCAACAGTGACACTAAACACTCCACGAACCTAGGTTGTGGAAACCACCAACAACAGCTGAGGTAACTCACTGTTGAAGGGTTTCTTGACCAGGCAGACCAGCTGGCTTCTGGACCCGTCCGATCACAGGGTCGACCTCCTGTACCCCTGAAACGACCTGTACTGGTTCCCAGAGTCCTCCCCTGCTGACCAACTCTGTGACCACACACATACATACACACACACACGCGCGCGCGCGAACTGGCCGACACCTTGTTGTAGACTGGTTAGCAATTATGGTTTCCTGCAGTCCTTTCTCTATGCCAGCCGCTCTCTCTACAACCATCCCTCCCCACAGACCCTCTCCCTCTATCCTGCTCTCCCATTCACTCTCACATACCCCTCCCACGTATTCACAATACTTTCACCCACCATTAGCCAGTCCCATTGTTTATTGTGGTATCCACTAACTTGTGACACATTGTTTCACCTATCTGCATCATTGTATCATCCCACCTGTATTACAGTACCCGACCTGTGTCATTGTATCACCCCACTTGTGTCATTATACCACCCACCTGTGTCACTGTACCTCTTGTATCTTATAGGTTGATAAAGGTGCTGAGTTCGCCAGTAAGACCAATTACATGCCCACATGAGCTTATTTCATGTCTTGTTTTCTCATGAAGTCTGAAATTCAGATTTGTTTTCCGTATTTTTTTTAGCATTTTTTAAATGTTTAAATCTCTAAATATATTAGAGAGAGAGAGAGAGAGAGAGAGAGAGAGAGAGAGAGAGAAAGAGAGAGAGAGAGAGAGGGCAGTGGGGGTGAGAGAGAAGGGAGGGGGAGGATGTTGGGGGAGAGGGGGGGAAGGGGGAAGGGAATTATTAGGAGAAATCGCCAAGCCAATACGACTATATAGCACTTGAAAGGGGTCAGGATAGGGATTTGGGATGGGACGGAGGAGAGAAGGAATGGTGCCCAACCACTTGTGGACAGTCGGGGGTTGAACGCCGACCTGCATGAAGCAAGACCGTCGCTCTACCGTCCAGCCCGGTAGGGTGCAAATATTAGCTTGTATGAATATACTAGGCAGAGGTGATAGCCTGTATGAACATACCGGATTAAGGTTACATTTTTTTTTTGTTTTTTTTTGAGATATATACAAGAGTTGTTACATTCTTGTACAGCCACTAGTACGCGTAGCGTTTCGGGCAAGTCCTTAATCCTATGGTCCCTGGAATACGATCCCCTGCCGCGAAGAATCGTTTTTTCATCCAAGTACACATTTTACTGTTGCGTTAAACAGAGGCTACAGTTAAGGAATTGCGCCCAGTAACTCCTCCCCGGCCAGGATACGAACCCATGACATAGCGCTCGCGGAACGCCAGGCGAGTGTCTTACCACTACACCACGGAGACGACACTGTATGCATTTAGAGAGCAGAGGTTATCAGTATGTTTCAGTATAGCTTGAGCAGTGACCGGAGGAAGTCCGTACTCCTCCTCTCAACTAATACGTCGAATTCTGTACGGTATGGTCCCCAACATACAAAATAAAGGTCACTATGACAAGTAACGGCTTACTAATAACTACGTTTTCCCATGTATAGGTTGGTGGCTTGGTTCGTAAGTCATAGTACCCCATATTTTGTCCGTTTGTGGACGCATCAAGAGAACGGGCAGGACCATCATTGTGCTCAGTTAAATGGCCCCTTGTGCACTGTTGAAGTCCATCTCAAGAAGGACCTTGCTGGACTTACTAGCTTTCACAAGCACTTGGACTTACTCCAAGGGCTATGTAGTCGTAAGGGCTTATAGCGCTTTCTCTTCATCACTTCTCGCACACATCCATTTATGTGTGTGGGAAGTGATCAATATTAACGATCAATATATATGTGTGTGTGTGAAAAGTCATCAATATTAACACACTGTTTGTGAGGGATGCTTTTATTCCAGGTATTGTTTACATATAAACTGTGTTGAAATATTAAACTATGCACACAACTGCTAAATGTTATACAGTATATGTAAATTATTTACCTGCAAATAGTATTTGACATTTATAAGTAAAATTAAGTAGACAGTTGGTCCAATACCAAAACTTCCATATTGACCAGACCACACACTATAAATTGAAGGGACGACGACGTTTCGGTCCGTCCTGGACCATTCTCAAGTCGATTGTGATGAGGAGGTAGTAGAAATAACAAACTTCATAACTCTAGCTAGCCAATAGCAGTGACGGAATAATATTGAACTAGTATGTGCAACAACAAGAGAGGGAGAGAGAGACAAATACAAATTCATTATTCAATATCATTATTCATTTACCGTATCTCTGCCGCCCTAGACAGTGAGGGGGACTGAGAGAGCTCTAGCGAGTGAGAGCCCCACAGTCCGTAGCCCCTTGGGTGTTCGCCCTGATCCAGGGCAGGTACCTACTGACCCGTGTGTACACCCCTGGCGAATTGGGCCTGGCACAACCGTCTCCGAAGGAAGCAATCCCCACCTGGACGTATCTGCCTCCTTGCAGCACAGTGAGGGGGCCTCCAGAGTCCCCCTGACACGTATCCACGCCTCCCTGGGCCGCGCCGGCACATAGCATGTTCCTCGTTATGGTATAAAAGGCAACAGTTTGGTTATTGCAGGTTGGGCCGAGAATAGGGATTTGAACTTCCCTCATGATATCCGGCTCTGTAGTTGCAGTCTCTGATGTGTAGCCCCAACCCACAGCTGTGCCTTCGAGGCCTGCGTAAGTCAGGTTGTCGTTCGCGGGCAGACAGACTGGTCGCACCTCCCTGTGTGAAGTCAGGTCTAGCGGCTCTGCCAGCTTCACCAGAGCGATGTCATCAGTGACGTTGAAAAAGGTGTAATTTGGATGAATTGTGAAATTTTGGATGCTGACAAGACGGGTGACACCGGGGATGTCGTCAGCATGGGAATTTTGGTTGTAGTCGGCTACCCCGACCTTAATGGTGGAGGGGTTGCGAGGCTGGAAGGTGTTTTGGTCGTAGAGGCAGTGAGCAGCGGTCAGGATGTACTGGTTGTTGATGATGGTGCCGCCGCAGCTATAGGTGGTGTTGCCGTCGAAGGCCAGACCCACCACCCAGGGGAACTCGTTCGGACTCGTCTCAAATCCTCCAACGATGCGGTTCTCGTTAGCAACTCCGCACACACAGGTTTGTTCTGTGAGGAAAACAGAAGAGAGCAATGGTGTAAAACTTCCTTAGACTTAGAGTAAATATGTTAATCTATATCTAATGAAAATGAATGTCTGTTAGTTTGTCTGTCTGTCTGTCTGTCTGTCTGTCTGTCTGTCTGTCTGTCTGTCTGTCTGTCTGTCTGTCTGTCTGTCTGTCTGTCTGTCTGTCTGAGGTTGGGTGGCACATTAGGGCTAGCCGCCCCAGACAGTGTAGGGTGACTGGGCTCTACATAAAATAGCAAATTTCAATAATTTCCAATATCGCTATATATTGCTGACTCCGTCCTGACTAAGATTCACCTAACAAACGTGATTTAATGTTAGTTTCTCTTATGTGGTTTACTGATCGACGAAGTGGGTTTAGTGAAAATGATTAAAGGGTTGAAAGGAAAGTGGTGAAGGGTAGGTTAGGTGGTGAAGGGTAGGGAAGGTGGTGTAGGGTAGGGAAGGTGGTGAAGGGTAGGGAAGGTAGTGAAGGGTAGGGAAGGTGGTGAAGGGTAGGGAAGATGGTGTAGGGTAGGGAAGATGGTGAAGGGTAGGGAAGATGGTGTAGAGTAGGGAAGGTGGTATAGAGTAGGGAAGGTGGTATAGAGTAGTGAAGCTTTACCTAGCTACTCTGAGGCCTCACTTGCATTACACTGAAATGTTCCGCTCACCGTAATACAGAGTGCATAAACTATCCCGGAAAAGAAAAAAATAAGCAAGTTAAACTCCACCATAAGTAAACGTTCCTTATGAAGACAGGTTAGGAGCACTGACCATCTATCCTCTTGAGAGTCGTAGAGTGAGGAAGACAAGGCTGAAGCAGACAAAAAAAAAGGAAAAGATCAAGCTGATCAACCTCTCAACCCAACATAAAACGGGACCTGAGCGAATAGAAATTGCTAAACATTTAAGCTTAAAAAGGCGGGTTAAAACATCAACCAATTAAATCAGTACAGTGAGATGTAGGTGGATGAAAAGACACAGTCAAGTCTGAGAGGAAATGACATTAAACATCATGTTCCTGAAGGAAAAAAAAACTCACGTGGAATGCAGCAAGCACAGGAGAGGCCGGTACAGACGTTTTCCATGACCTGGCCGTTAGTGCATGCGAGGGTGTTCCTGTTGGAGCAGTACCCGCCCACAGCCGCACACCCCCCGTGATCCACACACTCCTGCTTCCCTGCACATGTCAATATATGATAGATTATTGAATACAATAACCAATAATTATTATTATATATAACCAATAATTCAATAATTACTGAATACATACATACATACATACATATATATATATTATATAATATATTATATATATATACTAGTGTGGTTGATAATTATATATATATATATATATATATATATATATATATATATATATATATATATATATATAATATATATATATATATATATATATATATATATATATATATATATATATATATATATATATATATATATATATATATACACTATAAGAGAGAATGGCTGTTCGTCTGCCTGCAGCTCCGTCCATGTATATGTGTATATATGTATGAGTGTGTGTGTGTATGTGTGTGTGTTTGAGTGTGTTCCAACACCAGAGTTCAGCAGACGAGACTGGCTGTTAGTTTCCTGGATTGTACTTCAAGATTTACTGTATTGTTCACAAGCACAATGTAACAGTGAATCAGACTGTTATGAGCAACTTTGTGGTCTCATTCCTTATCGTTGAGCATCCACGGTGTGGCTGGTGGAGCCCCTGGGCCTGCCACCACACACCTTGAACCAGGAGTCATATATATATATATATATATATATATATATATATATATATATATATATATATATATATATGTCAGTGTGGACTGCTGTTTATATATACAGTTACAGCCCCGCTCCTGTGCCAGGTAAGTCCACTACGGGCTCACCATAGCCCGTGCTACTTGCAACTTTTTGTTAAACAACAACAACATGCTGTTTATATTCAGTGGAAGGCTAATGGCTCAAGATCTCAAGGCAGCTGAGGGAACAGACGCGGCTGATGACTTTCCTCAGAATTGCTTAAATAATTTAGATAAGAGCTGGAAGCTGTATCCAAGATTTAGATAAATAACGCTCCTTTAAGAGCTGAGATCAACGTGAACATAAGTGTAATGTATTATAAGTGTTTGTAGGTGTGGCTGTGTAGATGTAGGCACTACGGGCTCACCATAGCCCGTGCTACTTGGAACTTTGTTCCAGGTAGCAAATCTTTAACAACAACATGTGTAGGTGTGAAATGACCCCCTGACAGCCGGCCGGCAAGTGTCAACTGACCTGGGAGGCAGCAAGTGCAGTGCCGCCCCTTGCACCACTTGCTCTTGCTCTTGGTGGGGCACGAACCCGGCTGGTGAGAGACACACTTCCCGCCTTTCCTCTCACACTTGCGCGATGGTCGGCATTTTCTCAAGTGTGTCTTATCTAGCGTCCGTGACCCTGGCATAAACACAAAAACTGGTTAGGTTGTGTCTGCTGGCAACAGTTTTTTTTTGGGTAAAGTTTTACATTGTAATAACAGATATTATATATATATTGGTGGGCAGAGGCTCTACGTTGTTAGATCAGAGGCTTTTCTTGCACCAACTTATATAGGTCGGCACAGTTCTGATTGTCGGCACAGATTGCACTGTATAGTCGAAAATCAGACTTCCATTTTGAGTGTAAATCAAACTCCCATTTTAATAGTAAATCCAACTCCCATTTTGAGTGTAAATCAAACTCCCATTTTGAGTGTAAATCAAATTTCCATTCTGAGACATAAATTGTAAAATATTTGTCTTACATTTTGAATAGTGATATATATTGGTTAAACACTAGTAACGGCAGTAGGCCTAGTAATAATACCAGCAGTAGTAGTAACGACAGTAGGCCTAGTAATAATACCAGCAGTAGTAGTAACGGCAGTAGGCCTAGTAATAATACCAGCAGTAGTAGTAACGGCAGTAGGCCTAGTAATAATACCAGCAGTAGTAGTAACGGTAGTAGGCCTAGTAATAATACCAGCAGTAGTACTAACGGCAGTAGGCCTAGTAATAATACCAGCAGTAGTAGTAATGGCAGTAGGCCTAGTAATAATACCAGCAGTAGTAGTAATGGCAGTAGGCCTAGTAATAATACCAGCAGTAGTACTAACGGCAGTAGGCCTAGTAATAATACCAGCAGTAGTACTAACGGCAGTAGGCCTAGTAATAATACCAGCAGTAGTAGTAATGGCAGTAGGCCTAGTAATAATACCAGCAGTAGTAGTAATGGCAGTAGGCCTAGTAATAATACCAGCAGTAGTACTAACGGCAGTAGGCCTAGTAATAATACCAGCAGTAGTACTAACGGCAGTAGGCCTAGTAATAATACCAGCAGTAGTAGTAACGGCAGTAGGCCTAGTAATAATACCAGCAGTAGTAGTAACGGCAGTAGGCCTAGTAATAATACCAGCAGTAGTAGTAACGGCAGTAGGCCTAGTAATAATACCAGCAGTAGTACTAACGGCAGTAGGCCTAGTAATAATACCAGCAGTAGTACTAACGGCAGTAGGCCTAGTAATAATACCAGCAGTAGTACTAACGGCAGTAGGCCTAGTAATAATACCAGCAGTAGTACTAACGGCAGTAGGCCTAGTAATAATACCAGCAGTAGTACTAACGGCAGTAGGCCTAGTAATAATACCAGCAGTAGTAGTAACGGCAGTAGGCCTAGTAATAATACCAGCAGTAGTACTAACGGCAGTAGGCCTAGTAATAATACCAGCAGTAGTACTAACGGCAGTAGGCCTAGTAATAATACCAGCAGTAGTACTAACGGCAGTAGGCCTAGTAATAATACCAGCAGTAGTACTAACGGCAGTAGGCCTAGTAATCACAATAATAACAGTAGAAGTGACAGTAACAATAGCAGTAAATAACTTAAAAATCATGGATACACGCATGAGTGATCAGTCTGACGTCCATTTTGGAATCTTTATATATCAGGGACTAATATATAAACCTCTTGTTGAATAATAATGCTTCAGCCGTACAGTTGTATCCTGTGTAAACCTTATCTAGGTTTATCTAGGCTAATTCATACGTCAGCGCGTCCAACAGCCTGGTTGACCAGTCCACCAACGAGGAGGCCTGGTCGAGGACCGGACTGCGTGGACGTTGAGCCCCGAAATCATCTTAAGGTAACGCAAGGTAGGTTCTGTTTTTTCCTATTACGTGTCTTAGTTGTCCTATATGTCACTTGCCTGAGACTGGCTTGCTCCGCAGCCTGACTCAGACCTTATAGTCCCATATACTTGCTCGGGGGCGCTGCTCAGCGCATGATTCTGTAAGTGCTGTCCAAACAATATTGTTGCTACACTGTGTATTCACCGGCTTCGCCTGGGATCCTGCTTCGTCGTTCCGGTCTTCATCACATGGAGTTGTTGGGCGCCCTTCGTTCATGCCTTGTTCAACGCATACTTGTTCCAAGCTGTGGCAAGAGATGGTCAAGCTTCATCGACTGAGAAGGCTCTAACTTTGGGCGCAAGGACCTAGACTAATCCATTGGATGGAATAAAGGGTTTCCAAGTTTAGGATGTTAGCTCTAAGCTTAATATATGGACCAGTTAGGGTATAGTGTGTGAACTAATTAGGGTCCAGTGTCTGCACTGGATGAATATTCCACACGCTGGATGAATATTCCACATACCGGATGAATAATCCACACGCTGGATGAATAAGCCACACCCTGGATGAATAGTCCACACCCTGGATGAATAATCCAGTGTGTGGACCGGTTGACAGATATTTTGAACCTGTACACAAGATAGTTGTGTAAATTCCTATAGCCTATTTAATGTAACCAATACTGGAATGTATTAGAGCCGTAGGGGGCTGCGGAGGGCGGCCAGCAGGAGGGGACGCCAGCAGGAGGGGACGCCAGCAGGAGCGGACGCCTGCAGGAGGGGACGCCTGCAGGAGGGGACGCCAGCAGGAGGAGAGGGGAAACTCACCTGGCTGGCAGCAGGTGGCTCCGGTTGGGCAGCTCTGTGTGGCCACCGTCAGACATCCTTTCCTGCCGCTCTTCAAACATCTCCCGCCACGCGCCTCGCAAGTCTTCTGAAGAAGACAAACACAATACATCCGTTAGATCACATTGCCGAAAGAACTTCACATGTTTAGGGGACTTAATCGATAATGAGAGTTCAGATAATTGGAAAGAGAGAGACTCGTCGCGCTCCGGACACTTCATGTTTAGTGAAGGTTAGGAATAGTCCACTAATGCTCCTGATTCACAGGCTAACAAGAACAGACTAACACTTATACAGATCCGCCATAAGAGACTGGTAGGCAATCACACACCCCCATAGGTCAGTTAGTAAAATAAAATTGTTTTAGATTCCATTCGTAACTTGCAATCTGGTTCGAGCGGGGTGATGATATCGACAAATCACAGGATCGGATCTGGTAATCGGTGACGTGACTACAACCGAAGGTATATAAGTCACTGAAGACTTAGGAAAAAAGGTGTAGCCAAGTATCAAGAGTTAGATTTGACCTAGAATTGAATAAAACTATTATGTTACCAGAGTATTTACTGTGTGTAAGTAAATGATAAAGCCTGACAGTGGCCTTAGATAATCACCTTCCTAATACCCTCACAGGTGTGATCCTATAGCAACCTATTAGTACGGCTCAAGAGATTATAGGGAGTGGAATATACAGAAGAGTGTAAGTGAGATATTTCAAATGAAATATAGTTCGAGAAACTCTGTAAACACAACACTAGCAAGCTCAGTACTGTACTCACTCCCCCTACGATCGTTACAATAACAAAAACGTGTAGGAAAGTCCTGGCTGAGACCCAAATACCCCCCCCCCCCACACCTAGGTGTCTGAACTGTAATGAGATGTTTCCAGTAATTAATTATGACCTGATCAACTTCCTGTGAATTATTCGGTGATTGACATTTACATTTCTATTGACCAAAAATGCCTGTGTAAGGAGTTGATGAGAGTTAAGATTGCTTAAAGTGCACTTTTCATGGCTACAGAGAAAATATTCTAGGTGTGATATTTATTCTGTTTAAGTGTAAATCTGTGTGTGCAAAGTTATATATCATTGTATTTATTGAATATTTTTTGTCTATATTCTTACTAAGTAGGTTCTTTCCTTTTTTTACGTTTGACACTACCTGTGAGGAACAACATGAGGTGTTTGACACTACCTGTGAGGAACAACATGAGGTGTTTGACACTACCTGTGAGGAACAACATGAGGTGTTTGACACTACCTGTGAGGAACAACATGAGGTGTTTGGCACTACCTGTGAGGGACAACATGAGGTGTTTGACACTACCTGTGAGGGACAACATGAGGTGTTTGACACTACCTGTGAGGAACAACATGAGATGTTTGACACTACCTGTGAGGAACAACATGAGGTGTTTGACACTACCTGTGAGGAACAACATGAGGTGTTTGACACTACCTGTGAGGAACAACATGAGGTGTTTGACACTACCTGTGAGGAACAACATGAGGTGTTTGACACTATGTTTGACACTACCTGTGAGGAACAACATGAGGTGTTTGACACTACCTGTGAGGAACAACATGAGGTGTTTGACACTACCTGTGAGGAACAACATGAGATGTTTGACACTACCTGTGAGGAACAACATGAGGTGTTTGACACTACCTGTGAGGAACAACATGAGGTGTTTGACACTACCTGTGAGGGACAACATGAGGTGTTTGACACTACCTGTGAGGGACAACATGAGGTGTTTGACACTACCTGTGAGGGACAACATGAGGTGTTTGACACTACCTGTGAGGAACAACATGAGGTGTTTGACACTACCTGTGAGGGACAACATGAGGTGTTTGACACTACCTGTGAGGGACAACATGAGGTGTTTGACACTACCTGTGAGGGACAACATGAGGTGTTTGACACTACCTGTGAGGAACAACATGAGGTGTTTGACACTACCTGTGAGGGACAACATGAGGTGTTTGACACTACCTGTGAGGCACAACATGAGGTGTTTGACACTACCTGTGAGGAACAACATGAGGTGTTTGACACTACCTGTGAGGGACAACATGAGGTGTTTGACACTACCTGTGAGGAACAACATGAGGTGTTTGACACTACCTGTGAGGAACAACATGAGGTGTTTGACACTACCTGTGAGGGACAACATGAGGTGTTTGACACTACCTGTGAGGAACAACATGAGGTGTTTGACACTACCTGTGAGGGACAACATGAGGTGTTTGACACTACCTGTGAGGGACAACATGAGGTGTTTGACACTACCTGTGAGGGACAACATGAGGTGTTTGACACTACCTGTGAGGGACAACATGAGGTGTTTGACACTACCTGTGAGGGACAACATGAGGTGTTTGACACTACCTGTGAGGGACAACATGAGGTGTTTGACACTACCTGTGAGGGACAACATGAGGTGTTTGACACTACCTGTGAGGGACAACATGAGGTGTTTGACACTATCTGTGAGGAACAACATGAGGTGTTTGACACTACCTGTGAGGGACAACATGAGGTGTTTGACACTACCTGTGAGGAACAACATGAGATGTTTGACACTACCTGTGAGGGACAACATGAGGTGTTTGACACTACCTGTGAGGAACAACATGAGATGTTTGACACTACCTGTGAGGAACAACATGAGGTGTTTGACACTACCTGTGAGGAACAACATGAGGTGTTTGACACTACCTGTGAGGAACAACATGAGGTGTTTGACACTACCTGTGAGGAGCAACATGAGGTGTTTGACACTACCTGTGAGGGACAACATGAGGTGTTTGACACTACCTGTGAGGAACAACATGAGATGTTTGACACTACCTGTGAGGAACAACATGAGGTGTTTGACACTACCTGTGAGGAACAACATGAGATGTTTGACACTACCTGTGAGGAACAACATGAGGTGTTTGACACTACCTGTGGCTTGGCTGAAACAATTACTGCTAGGGTGAGGAAGGCCACAACAGCCACCAGTGGTCTCATTCTGCCGCATCTGCCAGAACCTGAGAGCCGTTGAGTACTTTCTCTGACTTTTGGATCGTAGAATATTTCTGTTCCACTTTCCCGGACTTTACGATTGCCAAGTATGGTTCCTAAGTCGCTCTACGTCTTAGATGTTGACTGGCAAGAGTGAGGAGGGTCACACCACGCCCAGGTAAGAAGAGCCACACGACCCTCAGGTAAGGCTGTTCCCCCACAGAGTACTGAGCCTGTCTCACTGAGCCTGTCTCACTGAGCCTGTCTCACTGAGCCTGTCTCACTGAGCCTGTCTCACTGAGCCTGTCTCACTGACTGGTGTGTTCTGAGCGTGTGGCCACGTTACTCTCCGGCCTCCCAGCATGAGATCACCGCTACAACACCTGTTGTAGAATCCAACTCCCAGCTGGGAGGATGAAACGATAATCAAATGCTGTATAATAAATGTGGTGGATATATATAATCACTTGATATGTGAAGCCGGTAAACAATATCACTTCAATCCGCATCGGTGCTTACCTGTTTGTTACTACGGGTTATCTTGAGGTTATCTTGAGGTTATCTTGAGGTGATTTCGGGGCTTACCGTCCCCGCGGCCCGGTCCTCGACCAGGCCTTCTTTTTGTTACACACCACTAAGAAGCATCCCGTAGCATCTGTCTAACTCCCAGGTACCTATTTACTGCTAGGTGAACAGGGGCGTGAGGGTGAAAGAGGGAGCCGAGCACCGGCCCCACACGGGGCACACTGGGTAGTCAAGGTAAAAATTTTGCCTCGCCTAAACTCGTGCCCAAATGAGCAAAATCGCAAACAAAGTCATCTAGTGTCCTCCGGCACTTCACCATGAGGGCACACCAGGAGCCCACCATACTCTGAGGGCACACCAGGAGCCCACCATACCCTGAGGACACACCAGGAGCCCACCCATACCCTGAGGACACACCAGGAGCCCACCATACCCTGAGGACACACCAGGAGCCCACCATACCCTAAGGACACACCAGGAGCCCACCATACCCTGAGGACACACCAGGAGCCCACCACACCCTGAGGACACACCAGGAGCCCACCATACCCTGAGGACACACCAGGAGCCCACCATACCCTGAGGACACACCAGGAGCCCACCACACCCTGAGGACACACCAGGAGCCCACCAGACCCTGAGGGCACACCAGGAGCCCACCATACCCTGAGGACACACCAGGAGCCCACCATACCCTGAGGACACACCAGGAGCCCACCATACCCTGAGGGCACACCAGGAGCCCACCATACCCTGAGGGCACACCAGGAGCCCACCATACCCTGAGGGCACACCAGGAGCCCACCATACCCTGAGGACACACCAGGAGCCCACCATACCCTGAGGGCACACCAGGAGCCCACCATACCCTGAGGGCACACCACCAAGACCCGCTAACCTCTGGTGCCTTTGGGCCAAGCCGTCACCAGACACCTCCTCGCTAAGGTAGGTATGGTAAGTATCAGGGGAAAGCGCTGTTTGTTGTTGTTTTAGATTCAGCTACTGGGAACAAAAAGTTCCAAGCAGCACGGGCTATGGTGAGCCCGTAGTGAACTTACCTGGCATAGAAGCGGGGCTGGGAAAGCGCTAAACCATTACGACTATATAGCACTTGGGAGAAACGAGGATAGGGATTTGGGATAAGAGAGATGGAACGGAAAGGTGCCCAACCACTTGGACGGCCGGGGGATTGAACGCCAACCTGCAAGAAGCGAGACCGTCGCTCTGCCAAGCGAGTCAAGGAGGTTGGGCGTGCGTCTCCTCGCCAGAAAACGTATAAAATCTATCAACTTTATCAACTTTCTCCGTGACCGCGGGCGATAAGTGCGTTACAAACCGTCTGCATACGGCCAGACGACAGCGTCCAGACCCAGCAAAATAAGTAGCATAACAAGTTAAGGCGGACCCGAGGCGGAGCAGGTGACCAGACTGCTGCTGGTCGCCAAGATGAACCAGTATTCCAGTTACTAAGTGTTAGTGCCTTTACAAGAATGTGTCATTTAATCACCAAATATGTACTTACACAAACCATTGTACTCTATCAACAACTTGTGCTGGACGGTAGACCGACGGTCTAGCTTCCTGCAGGTCGGCGGTCAATCCCCGACCATCCAAGTGGTTGGGCACCATTCCTTCCCCCGTCCCATCCTAAGTCCTTATCCTGACCCCTTCCCAGTGCTATATAGTCGTAATGGCTTGGCACTTCTCCTTAAAAAGAAAAGTTGTACAGTATTATAAATGAATAAATAAATAAGTTAATTCATTTTCTCTGTATGCCGCACCTCTTTGTTATTTATACCTAGTGCGATATATATATATCTTCTGATGTTTAAGTTTCCACCAGAATATTCCTTATAGTTTGAGATGTAAGTTGCTTCGACAACTTCTTCCTTCAAGGCATTCCTCTTGCAGACTACCCGTGCAGGGAGGCAGTGAAGGGGGGGGGGAGAATTTCCTTACATCTCTGCTACTCAGTTGTGTATCCAGCTTCCACTGATGTTCCCTTGTTCAACTTCCTTGACAATGAAATAGGTAGCTCTTGTTCATATTGGATACTGCCCTTAGTATCTAGCATGTAGAGATCATATTCCCCTTCTGTTTCTTCTTTCTACTAATTCGTGAGGTTGAGTTTCCTTAACCTGTCCTCATTGCTATGTCCTCTCAATTCTGACACCAATCCAGATGCAAACCTCTGTACGTTCTCAAGTTTCCTTTTGTGTTTTACAATGTGAAAGAGAAACTTGAGAGGCAGATGGGAGTAAATAAAAGGGTTCTAACATAGTTAAGGAAATAGCTAACAGACAGGAGACAAAGGAGTCAAACACTAGCGAAGGGTAACAGGTGGAGTATCTCAGGGATCAATACTGGGACCTAAACTATTTATCATTGACTTTAATGCAATAGCTATAAGAATTGAGATTTATAAGTTGATGTTTGCAGACTATGCAAAATTAACGAGAAGCGTTCAGACAGTTGAGGACTGTAAGATACTCCACGATGACTCAGACAAGATGCAGATTTGGTCCGAGAAATGGCTACTAGATTTCAACAGGTGTAAGGTAATGAAAATCAGAACAGGTGACAGGAGCCCAAAAGGAAAGTACACAATGAAGGGAAACTATCTCCCTATAACGACTAGAGAAAACGACCTGGGAGTGGACATAGCCCCAAAAGAAACTCTGGAGTCTCATATAAATATGACAGCAACAGCAGTATACTCTACACTTGCGAAAGTCAAAATATCATTCAGGAAGCTAAATAAGAAAGCATGTAAAGCTCTGTCCAGCGGAAATGTCAGATTCCATAATTGTGAGAAGTTTGTAATGAGGCTCGTTCCAGCAATGCGAGGGATGGGGAATGAAGGAAGACTAAAAGAACTAGAGCTGACGAAGCTTGAAAAGAGGAGATAGAGAGAGAGAGTGGAGACATGATTGAGACGTATAAAATACTTAGGGTGATGAACGGTGTGAGGGAAAAAGAGGAAATGTTCACAATGAATACCACTTAAACAAGATGGCATGGGTGGAAGCCTGAGAAAGATGAATCACAGATATATCTTCATCAATGGCAGTTCGTTTGTCATTGATGAAGATATGACCAACTTGATAAGATAAAGTCGATTCTCTGATATTACAAATGCGAAGTCAACAACGAGGGATAATATTAGTGCTTCGAGGCAACCACGAAGAGACACATGCCAGGCTGGTTCTCCAGCCCATAAGGGTGCATGGTCGCTGGAATGAAAACAACCAGTAGCAGAGACTCTGCCTCTCAGGGATATCCAGCCCAGCTTCAGTCAAATATAAAGTCGTGTTGAGAAACTTTTACAGTGCCAACCACTCCTTGTCGATGGCATTTGTTATGAAGCAGAACCTGAATTCAATAATTGCTGTGTGACCTGAATGGTAGACCTGAGCAGCCTATATGGTTGATACCTGGTTGATACAACCAGGTATCAACCAGGTACCAGGTAGCCTATCGTTGACAAGTAAGGCCGTCAAGAGTGAGAAGATGTTGCCGCCAACCAGAGACAAACCCTCACGCTGTACCACCAGCGTAAAATGAGGCCACAGGTAGAGCAAGAACATAAAAGATTCCAGCTCTGAACAAGGCTGCCTACAGTTCGAGCAGCTTCTTTGAAACTTGTGAACTGAGGACGCCTGGCACATTGACTTCAAAAAGGAGAAGAAAGCACAAGTGAACATTTAGCCCGAGGGGGGTTGATGCCACTGACTCCCACAACCCAGCTGGCATATCAACTCATATACAGATGAGTTAGACATTTTATCTTCTGCACCCTCGCTGGCTAGACTCATCACAGGGATGTATAATAAATCTAGCCTCAAGGAGATGGACAACTATGTTTTATGGGATTGCAAATTATGTGTTATATTACGAAATACATAGATGGGAAATATGAAATTTTACCAGATAAATACAGAGGCTGGGAACACTTGCATGTTAATAAGGTCTAAAATCATACAGAAACACAGTATGAACTAATTTGACCTCAATGATCTTGAAAACTTACCCTCCAAAACAAACTCGACCATCAACCTATAACTCTCTCATTATAGTATTGGTGTATGTAGTATGGGGATAACAAACAATGCCGTCAAAAGAATAAACCCCACTTCTGGCCGGTCCGCTGTTAGCAGAGAGTCTGCTGGCCATAGCACATTGACAATGTTCAGTGTTTCAACCGGTCGTTCACCCACACTCGTCTCTCCACTTCCAGCACCTCGGCACCTTCCCGACCTGACCTACCCACCACCCTCTGGGTCGAGCCCACTCACACACACACCCACACTGCCACCCACCACCCTCTGGGTCGAGCCCACTCACACACACCCACACTGCCACCCACCACCACCCTCTGGATCCAGCTGACCGACCCACCAACATTGTCACCCACCGGTGGAAGTCATGAGATAACTATCACCACTAGATGAAACTAAAGCTATTGGACCAGACAATCACCATGGATGTCGGAAGAGGCGGCACAGACCCTCTACATACCTCTAACTCTGCTCTTTAATGATTCATTTGAATGGGCAGGTTTTCCAGCAGTTGAACCAATATACAAGAAAGGGGATATAGAGAAGGCACTTAACTACAGAGCAGAAGTAACTAATGGGCATCCCCCTGCAAGGCACTCATAAGAAAAAAAGAATAGGACTGGTTAAAACTTTGAATTAAGAATTCAAACAAGTACCAGCATTGCCTTAGGGGAAAGGAAATCATGCCTAATGAGCCTACTGGAGTTCTATGATGAAGTAACAAAAACAATACAAGACAGA